TATAAACATAGGTACTTATAACTTTAACGTTCCAAGTATACCTACCTATATAGATATGTATTTTTGGTAAAACACCTTAGTAAGTGCTTATAGATTTCGCTTCGCCATATATTTAACGAGTGTTTGGAGTTAGTAGTCAAGGCGACATGCGACCAATCGATAGGTGTAAGTAGTGACACTATATGCAAATATTAATTACTAGAAGTTATCAGATAACAGTGTACTATTAAAGTTATATGTTGAAAACTGTCACTGTAAAATCTTTACTTTCCTTACGTTAAAACATAGTGTAATGACAAGAGAGTAAACTACGATAACGTTACTACGTTTTAATTTTTTTGTATAGTTCTAATATTATAAATATTATGGCGAAAATCGAACCCGCTAATGCCTTTATGACTGTAAAATGTTTGCCGCGTTATCATATAACTATGAAGTGAATAATCATTTTAAAAATATTACTTAGTTTTAAAAAACTTTTACAAAGGAAAAATTGTAGAATGGCAAGAACAATTTTTAAAGGTTGAAAGGCTTTTGTTTTTTATTATAACTTGGCTGTTACTACCATAAATAATTTTATTTCGTGGATTTTAATTTCAAGGTTAATTTTTACTTTTAGTCATAATAAGGATAAACTAAGGTTACTCATAAATGAAATGTTCACATTTAGTAAGTTTTTTATTGTTTATATTCGGAAACATTTTTAATTTAATAAATAAGAATATAGCAAAAAAATTGTACCTATTTATAATTATTTTTTGAGATTCAGTCCAGTGGTTTTCTCGTGATGCGTTCCCAGAAAGACAAACAGACAGGAATTCTAAAAACTATAGATTCGGCCTCTATATTGATTATAATGACTATTGCAATAAGATTTTCCAAAAAATATCTAACGTACAGATTCGGCTAAGTTACAATTTTATTATATGTATAGATTATATAAAAAATAAATTTTGATTACTATGTCAAACCATCAATTAGTCGTAAGCCTGCCACAAACATTAATCACAGTCGCCCCATACATATTACAAAGTTTGAAAACATAAAGCACTACCACTTACCAGTAATCTTCCAAACGTGCCTTAGAGCGCCCGCCCTACGTTCTCTACAGGCGGATTTTCACGGTACGTCTTTAAACGTTTTTTTTTATATTTTAATATAATATACCTTATATGTTATGAATTATGAATTATTATTATATATTCATTTTAAGAAAATATTGGTTATTTCTACATGAGAAGTATTGTGATTTTTTTATTGTGTAAGGTAACTTTAAAAGTTACTTTGATTGTATATAAAAACGATATATGTACATATCTAAACTTTTAAATTATTTATAAAGAGTTTTCATATAATAAGAAAATGTTTTTGAAATACTGAAAATTTTCGTATATTAATGAAAATTTGTGTAAAGCTTTTTAACTGACACTTTATTAACATCAATAAAAGTTCATTCAATTATGTAGTTGCCTTTTTTAATTTTTTATTAAAAAAAAAGACTAATAAGATATTTTTATGAACTGATAAATGATTGTTTCAAATAATAATTGCAATAAAGTACATATATTTTAAATATATTTTATGCTTTTGTGTGTCTCAACAGCAGCGATAAATATTTGTACTATAATAATTATAATTAGGTAATAGAAGCTATGTGATGCAAATCATTTTCGAAATATTTTGGAGTCATTAATTTTATATCAAGGCAGTGGTAGCCCAGCGGTGACGCGCTCGCTTGGGAAACCGAGTGAAGCGAGTTCAAATCTCGGGTCTCGCACCTCTGATAATTTCATGTGCGAATCATTTCCAATATGATTACCACTTGTCTTAATGGTGAAGGAAAACATCGTGAGGAAACCTGCATGTCTGAGAGAACCTAGTAAGTTATCAAAAGACATGGTGAAGTCCGCCAACCCGCACTTGGCCAGCGTGGTGGACTATGGCCTGATCCCCGTCGTATTGAAGAGAGGCCCGTGCCCTGCAGTGGGACGTTAAAAATACAAATTTATATAAATTAATTTCAAACGAAGTTTTTATTGCTGTTTGCCTCTTTTGTCCGTATTATCACGTTGAAGAGATTGTAAGGTAAGGTAGGTTTTTACTATCACTATATAAAGGCAAATGCGCTTGCTTGGGAAACCTAGTAAGGCGCACGAAGTCTCGTACCTCTGATATTTTCATGTGCGATTCATTTCCAACATGATTACCATCTTGTTTTAACGGTGACGGAAAACATCGTGTGGAAACCTGCATGTCTGAGAGAACCCAGCTAGTTTTCAAAAGACATGGAGAGTCCGCCAACCCGCACTTAGCCAGCGTGGTGGACTATGACTTGATCTTCCTCGCATTGAAGAGAAGCCCGTGGCCCAGTGGGACGTTAAAAATGGCTGAATATAATACAAAATAAAAGAAAAAATCTGCTAGTTATATTTTTTCTGTCTTCTTGGTATCTTCTGGATTTTTAGGGATTTAACAAGCTGCACTTTGTACGATAGCTTAATCATTTTTTATCATAGAAACAGAAAAATACCGAATGGAAAAGTAAAAACAAACTGCTTTATTTTGCAATTTTATAACACAACCTTCTAGTCTTATAAAATTGCAGATCATAAAATATTGGGTTTAGGTCAAATGGTTAACTTGCTTCAACGGAAAATAAATTCTCAATAACAGTCAGAAATTAGGAAATGAATGGTGTAGGTACTTCTAAAATTATTGGTAATACTCTTGATTTGTGGCGAACTACCGTCCCATCGGACTAAGAATATGAGGAAGAATGAAGCTTGCAAATGCGTATTCGCATATAATTGACTTTTCTCAATTAGATTGCTCGTAATTTAGTATTCTTAACAACAAGACTTAATTGTTTTGTAAATAGAACTATCTGACGAAGGGGAGGGGTCTACGGGAGAGACTCCCCAGTGTACCGTGACTATGATTGCTGTAAAGCATTTGAAATGTCGGCAACCAAAAATCAAAATAAATCCGCGAAAAGATCCGAAAAGATAAGCTTTTTTTAATTTAAAATGTCTAATATTCGCGTAAATCTAAGAAATTATTATATTTTGTTCTAAGATTTCTTGTAAAAGTTTACCTAATTGATTAAGTCTTGATCGTTTATGTAATCTAGGATAGATACAAATTTGACTAAAGTAGGTCAGTAGTGAATCGCCGTAAAAAGTAGGACAAACTGTTATTATGTCACGTGTATACATTTTAAATAACCATAAAAAATATTCATTGTTGATTTGTATTATACATATAAGTGTATATTGGATAAATAGTTATCCGTGTTAATTTGATCCTAGGCTCATAAGCGTGCTTTAAATTATGAAGATCAAATATAGATGTAATTTTTGACTTTTGTACAATTCTCATTATTTTTAAGGATGTCCTTTTCAATTGTTTTAAGAAGAAACGTTTTATTTTAGAAGTCCAAGTAAAAATAAACTATTCTTCTATAGAGTCTACTACTATAATAATATGATCTCGTCTAATATGTCCTGCGAGATTCGTTATAAAAATGTCTAAAACAGCATCAAATATTGCTTTTTTTATATTAATCATGATATATGTAGTTAAATGTACTGAACGGAACTGTAATACTGTTCCTATTAATTATGTAGTGCTTCTATTGTCGGTAATTTTGAAATAGCCAATCTATACATTAGTATAAATAGGTAAAGATATAAAGAGGTAAAGTTTGTGAGTTTGTGACGTAGGGGGAAATCTCTGGATTTACTGAACCGATTTTTAGATTAATTTTGACAAGAAGATAGTTTGAGACCCTGGGAAGGACATAGGATCATCCCTTAAGGGGGTGAAAATGGGGATGAAAGTTTGTATGGGGAATCAACCTGGGACGAACCCGAGCGAAGCGAGGGTGGGTCGCTAGTAAGTAATAATAAACAAGTTTTGTTTGAATAACCAAATGTAAATAAGGGATTGTGATAATGGAGTTTGTAAGTAAAAATAAGTCATGCATGATAGATACGTGACTAAATTACAATAAATATACCTTTCCATATGAAAACATTGCCTTTATGATCCATCAAGAATCAAGGACGAGTGTTTCATAAGTTTGTTCAGTTTTATGAACTTTAGAAATACTATGGAGCTTTAAAGAATTTATTATAAAATATTACAGCTAAATAAGAGTTTTAGTTATTTATAAGGCAGTGGTGACGTGCTCGCTAGGGAAACCGAGTGAAGCGAGTTCAAATCGCGGGTCTTGATTTCTGATATTTTCATGTGCGAATCATTTCCAATATGATTACCACTTGTCATAACGGTGAAGGAAAACATCGTGAGGAAACCTACATGTCTGAGAGAACCTAGCAAGTTTTCAAAAGACATGTGAAGTCTGCCAATCCGCACTTGGCCAGCGTGGTGGACTATGGCCTTCCCCTCGTACTGAAGGGAGGCTATGCCCAGCAGTGGGACGTTAAAAACGGCTGAATACAATAGTTTATAACAATTTTTCTGATATACTTACGTTAGACTAGCGTTTTGCTCGATCCCTGTGTACCGCACCGTATTTCTACAGGCAGCGCCTTATTTTGGTAAGTCTAGCATTACTAACAGTCTAGTCTGCGTATTAAATTTCATCCAAATTGGTCCAGCGGTTACAACATCGAAAAGTAAAGAACATACACACATACAAATTTTAATGTAATATTAATAACTAGCGACTCACCTTCGCTTCGCTCGGGTTCGTCCCTAGCTTGCTTCACAATACAAACTTTCATCACCATTTTCACCTTTTTAAGGGATGATTTCCGGGATAAAAAGTATCCTGTGTCGTTACAGGGTCGCAAACTATCTTCTTACCAAATTTCATCTAAATCGGTTTTGTAGATCCACAGATTACCCCCTACAACGTCACAAACTATAAAACTATAAAAGTCTTTATAATATTAGTATAAATGATAAAAAATATGTAATATTAATGGTAAAAAATGGCAAACAATAATAATGGTAGTGTGATTACAGTAAAAGAAATGGGCGAGAGGTGTGCAGGACGCAGCGTCGGCGCACCTTTCTATGCCCCGCGTCGGAAGACATCAGCTGAGATCATCAGTGAAGCTCGTGCTGCTATCAGTACTGGTATGTTACAGTCATAGAGAGAATTATTTTGATGTATATATACTAGGTTGGTTTAGGACTCTAGTTGATGGTATAACCCTTATCCGCTTTGCTTCAATGGCTGACCTCGTCAGGTAGTTACTTGACATGACAGGAGGTCCTGTGCCAACGACGACTCGGGCTAAGTAATCGTTGTCCTGTACCAACGGTCGCGGGTTCGAGTCCTGCTGGGGGCATTCATTTGTGTGTTTAGACGAGTGTTTGTACTCCAGTGATGGGTGTTTATATTTAGAATATGTATGTATGTATTTAAAGTTATATAACACAAGTCTCGTAGCTTACCATGGAACTAGATGGTGCTGTGTGTTGATGTCCCAACATATTTGTATTACTTAATTTTTTGATTTCTCATCTTATAGTAATGCGAATAAAAAGTTTGTTTCGAGTTCATCCCTATACAATACAATAGAATATTGATAGTGGAGTAAAATAATCACCAAAAATTTGTATTTTTGCGATAAATTGTAAAAGTCACGCGATCTACAAGAATTTCTTTGTTCTTTTATAACAATGACGTGACACAAATGTGAAAGGCATTTTCGAACGCCTTACATGTTATATGCTTTACTGTCTGCTAATTTTTCCGCATGAATAGAAAAAAAGTTACAACGCCCTTTTTTTACTGTTGGGAAATGCATTAACGCATACCACCTGTAGACATACAAGACTTCTTACTATAATCAAAAGACTCTTTGAGGCCAACTGAAGTTTAGTACAGAAACTACGGTAAGTCACAAGACACACAGGCATTTTATGCAGCACGGATAAGATAATTTTTTCAGTTTTTGTATGGATATCGTGTTTTAAAATTACACGTTTAGTTGATTTACTTTAATTTTATTCTTATTTGTCGATGTAACTATTATTTTCTACTTAAGTACGTACTTTTGCTTCTAGGTACAGTATGCCACAGGACCGGCTTAACATAGAGTCCATCCGGTCCCATAGAGTCTTTTGATCCCTACGTGAAATAGGATCGAATGACATAAAAAAAAATCATTGGTATTTTAGCATTTTTTCGCTAACTGTACATTTTTTCCAAAATCAGTGAATGCAGCTTAGAATATCCCAAAAAGTTATGGATGGTCCCCTAGGAACGTTTTCCTGCCCTGACTGTCCCGTCTCAAAAATCCACCCTGTATATGAGCATTATACCTATACTTGTGAGATGGAATTTAGCTACGTTTTAATTTGAATTATAATCTGTAGTACAAATTAAAGTTTCAAACTCTTGCAAACTCCCCAAGTTTTGCCGTGTTGCATATATTTGTCAGACAGACAAACAATCAGTCAAATGCTATTAAACTGTCGAATAAACTCATATTATGCAAAAAATAATTACTTTAGAAAATTTTATTAATTCTGAATCGTTAATTTTTACATTCAAATTATGCAAAAGGTTAATGTACTGAAAATGACATTCACGACATTTAGCGCTATGATTACTATTTCCTTCTAATAGCGCCAAGGTAGGGTGCGACTTGCTTGAAATTTTTACCAGTTTTTTTTATAATTAATGCATTATGGACCTTAATGCTTAAGAATAAAGATAGTTATGCCTCGTACCTTAGACTTATATAAAGGTAGTTGAACTTAACAAATAAGTTGTTGGCTGTAACTATGGCGTTGCCAAGTATCCTTATATTATTTACATGTGGTATTAGGAACGTAATTTATACTTAATAGTTTAGTGGTCATAAATATACTGATAGATAAGGTTTTAAATAGAGAAATATTAAATACGTATAAAAACTCTAGTACGTAATCGATTCAATGCTTTAAAACGTGCCATTTGAACACATTACTTTGCCAATATCACGTTGAATGGAGAAGACACAAAGGAGATTGTTCGGTAAAATAAGATTATCTAGTATTGTTCAAAAGTGCCTATTATTTTGTTTGTAAAATTTCTGTTCTGTGAGTATAAAAAAAAAAATAAAGTAAAATTAAACGTAACTTTAAAAAAATAATAAAAAACAACAGCTTGCGGCTTTGCATACATTTTTACTTCTACTTAGCATAAAGTCGTTTTAAATAGAACGATTATTGTAATCGATATAAAAGAGATCGCTGATACTGTATTTTTGGATTTATTGGACCAATTGACATAAAACTTAGCTGGATATATTTTTTATTCGTATTATTATAAACAAAGTTTTTTTTTTCACTTTTAGCATTAATTTCAAGCCTTAAATATACGAAATTACCTGTAATATTTAATACGCAAAAAATATGAAATAACTCTTGAAATCTCTAAGAAAATAGCTTAGAAATGTTTATATTGAAAAATTATACAATACAATTATACAACTTACTTACTCTTCCTCTGACTGACTGACTTACCCTCGCTTCGCCACATCCAATTTTTATATTTGAATTTTTGGATTTCTATTAGTCCGGAATAGGATAATAAGTATTAAAACATCAGAAAAATTAACGAAAAAAAAGTAAAATTATATGGTTAACGCTGGCTAATAACTATTTATATCAATTTATATATAATATTACTCAGTATACATAGATAATACCAGAACATTATATGAGATATATGTAATAATGTAAGCAGAAATGAGCAACGTCGCCGGCACGGGTGTAGGGGCGCTACGTCCGCTGCGCACGCGCCGCCCGTTCACGCCGCGCGAGTCCCAGCGCACGCTGTTCACAGAGCGCACGCGCAAGAAGGACCAACGGCCGCCTAGCGCGTTTGAGTAACTGACATTATTTTTATTTAATTACTTAGAACTAATAGCTTTTTATCGATAAATTTTAATGATAATAATTAACAATTATGACAAACTGTAAAGTACTTAAGTCCAGACACAGACCCAGAGTAAAAGGATTTGAAGAGTTTGAATTTTTGTGGTTACTATTATAATTATATACGATCTGCGTGATATCTAACTAAAAAAACAAAGGATTGAAAGATGAGATTGAATGGCATAGAAAAGGAAAACATACATTACTTAATATACAAATATTATAAAGAGGTAAAGTTTGTGAGATTGTGAGTTTATGACGTTGTAGGGAGTAATGTCTGGATCTACTGAACCGATTTAGATGAAATTTGGTAAGAAGATAGTTTGAGACCATGGGAAGGACATAGGATACTTTTTATCCCGGAAATCATCCCTTAAGAGGGAGAAAATGGGGGTGAAAGTTTGTATGGGCAATCAAACTAGGAACGAACGAACCCGAGCGAAGCGAGAGTGAGTCATTAATTAATTACTAGCTACTTACTATGACAAGCTGGTGCTTACCATCACAACTCGGGTGCGTATCTAGATGCCTATCAGTAGCCTATATGTTACTCAAAGTTACAGTCTGTTTGTGTAAATACATTTTAAATTTTATCCAAATCTCTTCGTAAAGGAGTAACAAAAATACAAGCATTTACATACACATATACAAACTTCCATATGTATTATGTATATTAGTAAATTGATTTATGGATTTTCAAAATATTTTTTTATTATAATTTCAGCCTTAAATGTCTTACCTTATCGGAAACGGCGGAAGACGTTTTGGTTGCGTCTGGATCACATTTTGGTTGTCTAGATGAAGATAGTATCATTGAAGAAACGTTGACTGAATTACATAATACGAAAAAGAAACCTGAAGTAAGTACTTACATAAGAATTTGTATTTATAAGGATTATTTAAAATAGTGCAAAACAAAAACAAATGTATCCCACACAAACCGTACATTTTTCCGGGATAAAAAGTAACCTATATGGTATTCCAGACTATATAAATCTATCTTTGTGCCAAATTTCATCCAGATCCGCTTAGCCGTTCTGGCGTGAAAGAGTAACAAACATACATACTCACAAATGTTCACATTTATAATATTTATATTATGTATATTATACAGATGATCCATACACATAGGTTTTTGAACTTGAAAGTATCTATTTACTCGCCTTCTACAGGTAAAATCCCAAAAGGATCGTTTAGGGGATGGATGGGGTGGCTTCCCCAAGCTACCACACCTCAGTGGTAGAAGTAAGCCTTTGCATAGAAGAAATAATACAGGACAGTCTGTTGACGGTAGGTACTTCACATGATTATACTTTTGCTTATATTTACTCACTTTCCTTTCCGGATTAAACAGGGACAATAGAGTCTTTTCATCTTGCAATGTCTTCATACGTTGTCATAAATATGTACCATGTGTATACAAATGGTGCCAAAGTTTATGCGCTGCAACGTCTTCTATTGGCAAGTTACAGCAAAATCAATAGGCAAACGTTTATAATAAGTATCAAAATGTTCAAGCAATCGGTGAAGGACTTTTGGAGATTTACGGTTAAGTACACGTAAACAGTAAATGTTTATTTAATAAAGATCATAAAGTGAAAAGAAGTAAGTCCCAGATCCTTCAGCCTTTTTTATAAATGAATGACTCTTATGAGTAAGAAACTTTGTTTTGCGGGACGCCCAAATTTTTTCTACCAAAATTATCGATAGTGGTGTACAATAGAGGACCCCACGTGATTCAATTCAATTTTCTTGTTAATGGCTTTAAAGCGTGCCAGTTGAGCACAAATTACTTCGCCAATGTCACGTAGAATGGAGAAGACACGAAGGAGATTGTTCGGTAAAATAAGTTTATTAGGGTATGTATGTAGGTGTAAAATATGTCGAGCGTTGACAGACAGCTGAGAGACTGTCAACCCATTGAGATACAGCTTGATAGTATTTTATCATTTTTAAAAATGACTCAGGAATTTTTGACCATAACTAAGGAAACAAGTTTATATTCATTTTCAGCATTTAAAGACTTCGATCTATCTCAGTCAATTGCTGTATCACAACCGCTAGGTCCTTCAAAAGGTTCTTCGAATTTGATCAATAAAAAATCCAATAATGATTTAGCTAAATGTAAGAAAGAACTTTTATATATGTTCTAAATGATAAGTATAAGTAAAATTGTAAAGCGATTAATTTAGTAGTATTCATAAATTAGTAGGTACATTTATATTTAGTTTTAGAGTAATAAATTTACTAATTAAACACACATTAGGTGTAAATGCCATTTGTATTTATTATTTCTGAGTGTGGGACGATTATATCAAAATTGCGAAAATGCTTTTATAACTATGTAGATAAATCATAGTTTTTTAACTTAAAAAGTACACTAAGTTAAAAGTAAATTAACTTAAGAGTAATTAATATAATTTGTATAAAAGTCGGGAACTTTTGGCTAAGGCAACTAATCTCAGTGAGACTAGTAAACTGCACAGTAGATAATATAGTGCATAATTTTACACGCAAACACAATTGCACTCTCTTTTCCTTTCACACTCAACCTCCGGTGGTACGACGATTTGCCTGCATGAAATAGGTCCCTTGTTTCTTAAGACCGCAAGTGTCGAAGTAATGGAAATGAAAGTAATGAGGACCACGCGCGAAATTTAGTGGGCAGCACTATTGTCCCCCTAATGTTTAATTCTTGAAGATAGTGGAATCAAAACATTAATTTGTAAGCATAGAATATTTATAAATATTGAAAAATAATAAAATATGGATTTCAACAAGTTATCAATAATACTGAACATGGTCAGAGTAATGAGAAAGGTAAAAAATTATTCAAATCCAACCATGTTTATGATGAAGTAAAAAAAACGTAATAAATGTAAAACTTTAAATAAAATTATCTCTCATCATCATCTATTTCCGCGAAATAATCCGAAAAGATAGTTTTATTTGAAATGTCAAATATTCGCGTAAATCTAAGAAAGTATTAAATGTGAAACTGTCTTAACCGCAAACATTGTACCACAAACGAGTGTGTTTAGTATATAATATGATGTCAAAATTATGGTATGTATTAAAAAAATAATAGTAATCAAATTAAAAAACAACAATTTTTTTCTTGACGTTGACATAATTGAAAGATGTTCCCAATAAATTCAGGTATTTGCCACTAGTTGGCGTAAAATTCCCACGATCCCTATAGAGAGTTTACTTGTATTTGCGCACATTCACTACACTATAATTATCTATTGCGCAGATCTCATTATTATTTTTACTTTTTTTTCCAATTTCAGCCGTAAGTCCAGACTCTTCAACAAAAAAGAAACATTTTTTTGCTGGAAGGTCCTTGTCATGTGACACAGCAGTCGGCCTCGCAGATGTGTCGGTCAGACAACTGGCCGTACAGCTGCCCAGCACAGTGACCAATGATTATGAGAAGTAGGAATTAATATAGTATATGATGTATAATATTTAGTAAATAGACAATGGTAGCCCAGTGGTAACGCGCTCGCATGGGAAACCAAGTGAAGCGGGTTCAAATTTCGGATCTTGCACCGCTAATATTTTTATGTGTGAATCATTTCCAACATGATTACCACTTGATGGAAGGAAATATCGTGAGGAAACCTCCATGTTTCAGAGATTCTAATAAGTTTTCGAAAGACGTGCTTGTTCACAAGTTCTAAAACGTGTGAAGTCGCCTTAATAATTATTAGTCGCAAAATACTTTCATAGATTTTTAAATAAAACAAGCAAAAATTAAGTATCTAAAATCCGAAAAAACCGAAAAAAATAGTTTTATTTAAAATGTAAGTCGTAAACCAAAACTCAAACAAACTTACTTCCTCAGCATGACAGTATTGGAACTAGCGGAAGCACTGTCACAAAGGAATCGAGATTTTGAACAAATTTTGCAATTGATGCAATATTTACAAAATCATATAATAAAGACATCACCAACCAAAAGTCTACGAGAATTGGTCCTCCGGTCGTTATACACACATATAGATAGCAATGATGAGAGAATATTGGTGGCTATTGCGAGAGCGATGCTAACGGTAAGTTTTCCTATGGTAAGTAGAAGCCATAGCCATATAAGCTTGTCATATCTCCTATAATTAAATTATTTACAATTCAATTATATTTTACATCTATTCTAATATTTATAAAGTTGATAATAACGTTATTGTAACGTACCGTTACTTTCTTAGATTTACGCGAATATCGGACATTTTAAGTAAAACTATCTTTTCGGAGTTTTTCGCGAATTTATTTTGATTTTTGATTTTTGAATGCTTTACAAGCAATCATGGTCACGGGAGAGAAGATAAGATGTTAAATGTCTCAAAGGATGTCTAAATGTTGTCGGTAACCAAAAATGAAAAAAAAAATCGCGAAAAAAAATCCTAAAAGATAGTTTTATTTAAAATATCTAATATTAATACTTGGGATCGGTGCAGTAAGTCTTCCACTTCCACTCTTCCCTATTACTCGTAATCTTATCATTCATCCCTTTTTCTTTTATCTCCTGTCTCACACAGAATCTTTTCTTCGGTCTCTATCTATCTCTTCATCCATCCACATTCATTTCAAACACTTCTCGTAACATGCGTTTCGTCCCTCCTCTTCACATGTCCACATTAACTCTGACTATTTCCTTTTAACTTCTCTATCACTGGCGCTACTTTCAACTTCATCTTATGTACTCATTCCTTACGACAGGAAAATATACCTACATATAAAAATAGATGTGTACAAACGATGATGATGTTTACAATTATACATAACCGTAAATAAACTATTCGAGCGATAATTTAATAATTAATATTCAATTCAATTATCTTGTTATTGGCTTCAAAGCGTGCCAGTTGAGCACAGTTTTTTTTTATGGGACTAAAGGGGCAAACGGGCAGGAGGCTCACCTGATGGAAAGTGATCACCGCCGCCCATGGACATCTGCAACACCGCAGGGCTTGCAGATGCAGATTTCTTCGCCAATGTCACGTAGAATGGAGAAGACTCAAAATCATGAAACTATATTAAATTATAATTAATTTGCATTAAATTATTTTAGATGCGAGTGACGGGAGCACATTTAGCGGCGGCTTGTAAACTTATATTCAAAATTGCAAGGAACGATAAGAACGATCATTTCTTCAAAAATAGCAATCTTTTAGGTAAGACAATCACACTGTAATATTAAGAAAGTTTATGTGTGTGTATAAATACGGAAGTTTGTAATGACCCTACTTGCTGTGCCAGCGATTGCTGGTTCGAGTCCCGCTGGGGGCATTCATTTGTGTGATGAGCACGAATGTTTGTATTCCAGTCGTGGGTGTTTAATATTTATATTTATAATACGTATGTATTTGATAAATAAGAATACCGATAACCAACAGATGTTTTTGTTGGGTGTTGAAGCATTTTTTTTTTAATTATATAACGATGTAAGCTATCGTATAAAAAAAATCACGCATATTCCCTATTCCAGAGCTGCTAATAGAGGGCAGTGGTAGGATAGAGCCGATAGCGGAGAGCGAGTGCTGCGTGTACGCGGCGGGCGCGCTGCGCTTCCTGGCGCTGGAGCCGCGGCTGCGCGCGCTCGCGCACCGCGCCGGCGCGCTGCACCTGGCCGCTTTGCACCTGAAGATATTCAACAATGCTGTGAGTGTATGATACTACTAGCGACTTGTGTAGGTATGTTTTAAAGGTTAGTAGGTATAGAAAAGTTGGTAAGTAGGTACTTAAAAAAAAATAATATATTTTTATTTTTTACCTTGATTTGAACTATAAATAATATATGTTATCTTGATTGGTCAAAAACGCCGAAATATTCTTTCTTACCAAAATTGTAGTTGGGGTAGGTGTGAGGCTCCTATGTTTGACTCCCGGGTAAGGCTTTGAAAATGGTCTGGAGTTGGGAAGTGGTTGGTGTAATGCCGTAACGATGTTTGCATTTGGCCTAGTGAATATATTTGGGTAGGTTCAGTTGAGAATGATGAACCAAACAGGATTTAACATGTGCTAAATACTAAAAAAAAGAAAATCTCGGCATTAGGCTAGATTAGGGATGTTGGTACTAGAATCATGGTGCAGCTGACGTGTTGTGTTAATTCTGTGAATTTAACAGTCAATAATTCTATATAAAAACGCTTTTAGTAAATTGATCGATTGAACAAATAAGCACTGAGACGACGACTAATTACTATTAACATTTAATTTATAATAGAAAGCAGAAAGACCGCGACAAATGACCGAACAGGCAACGCACGCGTTGTACCAAGTAACAGGCGCACTACGTAACCTCGCAGCGAGAGATGGAGAGAAAGAAACCGAAGGAGAGTTGGAGAGAGAGGAAGATAGGGAGGGAAAAGGAGAGAGAGACGGAGAAGAGTGGGATAGAGAAGGGCGGACATTCGTTTCTAGTGGTGCTCTAAGTGAATTAGTCACGGCTCTCACCTTGCATACTGATCGTGATGTGCTCACAAATGTTGCTAGATGTCTTAGGTAAGTGTTTGTATCATTTTTTTATAATAATATGATAATATGAATAATTGTTTTTTTAATAAATAAGAAAAAATATGTGCAATCTAGGAGGTATTTCAATATGTTTGTGTTAGTGTAAAGATTGACTTCACTGTAACCAGAGTCGGGTTTAGGGGAGGGCAGTTAGCAGGGCAACACTATAGTTCGTAATAGTCATATTTTATGTGATATTAATGAATCTTCATTTTGAATTATAATATATTCCGTGTGAAAATCCCCATAATACACACCACAGTGTGCTCTCGTCCCGGCCGTCGTGCTGCGCGTCGCTGTGCGCGTCGGGCGCGGGCGTGCGCGCGCTGCTGGCCGCGCTGGCGGCGTGCGCGCAGCGCGCCGCGCTCGCCGTGCGCCTCGCCTACACGTTGGGGAACATGGCCGCTGCGGACGAACAGGCGAGGATTAATGTACGTCGTATATATAAATGTTATTTCCTTGGTGATCTAGTGGCAAGTTTGTATGACTGCAGATTAGGAGGTTGTGAATTCGAGTCCCGGGTCGGGACAAGTTTAGTTAAGTCTTTCTGTTTAGAAAGTCTATGTAAATGCTTGGAGTTGGAAAATTGATGGTGTTGCACCCGAACCGTGTGTAACACGTAAAGTTTTCGGTCCTACGCCTGATTTCACGTTCCAGCGGGGAGTGAAAGTGAAAGTAATAAAGAGTGCACATACACGCTGCCCTATAATATGTATATATGTATAGCCTGCGCAGTTGGCTTGGTTTTAATTTTTAATGAATACGTTATGAGTGCCTCAAGTTAGTAGCGACTCACCTTCGCTACGCTCGGGTTCGTCCCTAGTTACGTTTTAACCTTTAGTATAAATTACTCAAAGATGAAATATTTTCCTGAGTATAAAGTATCCTATATGTTGACCCAGATAACCAGCTACCATTATAATGGTATACCAAATTTCATCAAAATCTGTCCAGTGGTTTTCTCGTGATGCGGTCACACACAGACAGACAGATAGACAGGCAAAAATTCTTAAAACTATAAATTCGCCCTCTGTATCAATAATAATAATTATTTCAATAAGATTTTGGAAAAAATATTTATTGCACAGATTCGACTCAGAATTTTATCATCATATTATGTATTTATTGTATAGATTTTAATTATACATACACAGATGATACACTTCTTATTTTTGAAATCAGTCAAAAATTCAATTAATTGTATAATATTGTCATAATTGTTAATGCATTAATATATTTTAGATATACAATGAAGAAGGTGGTGTGGACGTTCTTTTAACGATACTAGAGTCGTACACGCAAAGGAATGAGAGTGAATGTAGAGATGTTGAGTCTGATCCGGATCTACATTTAGTGGGTAATGAAATTTATTAGAAATAAGAATTATATATATATATATATATATATATATATATATATATATATATAAATGTAAAATTTTCTTAGATTTACGCAAAGATTAGAAATTTTCGGATTTTTTCGCGGATTTATTTTGATTTTTGGTTCCCGACGTTTCGAATGCTTTACAGCTTACAGAAATCATGATCTCAAGAGAGACCAACGAGAACAAAAATCAAAACAAATTCGCGAAAAGATAATTTTTCTCTTTATTTTTAATTTAAATAGTTATGTCAAACATATTTGTGGTCTATGTAAGATGTTTTTTTTTAATAAATAACTAAGCTGTAAATGTTACAATTTTATGGTTTAACATAAGTTTATTCAAAACTTGTTTTAGGTTCAGATCTTGGTGGATCAGACGGTTCTAATGAAGACGTCCTCATTAAGGTAACTAACTGACCCTATCTGTTGCAACTATTTATATAACACCACAAGTTTATGACGCAAAGACACAACATATCTACATACACATACACACACAAACTACATATTATAAAAGTTGTGTCAAAGTATCGTCCCATCGGACTATGGCAGGAGTAGTGAATGCATTTGTGTCTGTGCGTACACTTATGCACTATAATATCTCCTGCATGTGGCTAGTCTCAGTGGGTTAGGCTGCCGTGGTCGAAATCTGTCAGGAAGGCATTATTATATTACACACTAGCGACTCACTTTCGCTTCGCTCGGGTTCGTCCCTAGGTACGTTTTAACGGTTAGTATGGAATAAATAGACTATTATATATACATATACACATAGGTATGATTATTTTTTGTGGTTAGTATTATAACGTGTTTTTCCGTGGGAATGAGATAATCTCCCGTAGAAATGGATATAGTATGTTATCCTTAAGATATAGACTTTTCTGTAGACCTATAGGTGTATATCTTATATATAAGATACACAATTCCACACATACATTATTTTGTTATATCTCAAAAAGTTTAGGCAGCTTTTTCGTTGAAAGCTCCCAGACGGCTTATTTTTTCCGACACCTCCAACAAATATTGTTATATTTTAGCCAATGTATAAAAATCTTAACAAATCACTACATAGTATAAAACAAAGCAGCTTCTCGCTGTCTGTCCTTATGTATGCTTAGATCTTTAAAACTACGAAACGGATTTCGGTGCGGTTTTTTAAATACATTAATTCAGGAGGAAGGTTTATATGTACGAGTATATATGTACATGCATATTATAGTACAGAAAAGCCGATATTTGTATTTCATACTAACCGTTAAAACGCACCTAGGGACGAATCCGAGCGAAGTGAGGGTAAGTCGCTGTTATATACTAAAACCTTCCTCGAGAACCACACTATCCATTGATAAATGCAGCATGAAAACCGGTGCAGTCGTTTTTGAGTTTATCGCGAACAGACAGACAGACGCGGCGGAGGGCTTTGTTTTATAATATGTAGTGTATATATCACATTACAATACAGACAGTACGAGTGGTAGCGAACCTCTGCCTGGCGGAGCGGGCGGGGCGCGCGCTGGCGGCGCAGCACGCGGCGCGCGCCGGACATGCGCTCTTATCTTGTCTCGCCCTGGCGGAGAAGACACCTGATGATAAGGTATGGTATATCACAGTAAAAGGCAGTGGTAGCCAGTGGTGATAGTGGTGGTTGGGAAACAGAGTGAAGCGGGTTTTAATACCCGGCCTCGCACCATTGATATTTACATGTGCTAGTCATTTTCAACATGATTACCATTTACCACTTGTCTTACGGTGAAGGATAACATCGTGAGCAAACCTACATGTCTGAAAGAAGCTAGCAAGTCCGTCAACATCCGCAGTCCGCCAACCCACACTTGGCCAGCGTGGTGGGTTATGGCCTGATCCCCTCGTATTGAAGGGAGGCCCGCGCCCAGTAGTGGGACGTTAAAAGGGCTTGAATAATACATACATCAAAATATAATAATCCATACAATAGCTACTACTAGGTAGGCCTTTAATCTTAACGGAAATCCCAATTTTTAACATTGCAAGGTACTCTGGTCTATTTCTGTTTCTCTCTAAATTATTGTATAATTTTTTGGGAAGACTCTTGGCATGGTTTGTTAAAACTATGACTTTTGACAGGTTAAAAAACTTAGTCTCTCCTGTGACCATGTTTGCTGTATGTACATACGCATTCGAAACGTCCAGAACAAAATATTTATAATTTACCTTCAGAAAACATGATCATGAGAGCGACTAAGATTGTCTGCAATAACACAAATCAATAAGACTCGTACAGTTATTTTAGATGGTGTCTACTCACAAGAGTTATAGGTATATTACGTTTCAGTTAAAAACATTAACGGAAAAGGAACGAATTGTATGGTTAGAGCGTCGCGAAGAGTTAGCAACGGCGGTATTGGCGACGTTAAACAACATCACTTTTTATCTGGAACCTTCTGAAGTTTATCCCGAGGATAACACGCTTGAATTGTTATGTAAGGGTAAGTATGGATATCTTTTTTAACCCCCAACGCAAAAAGAGGGGTGTTATAAGTTTGACGTCGATGTTTGTACGTGTGTGTGTGTCTGTATGTGGCATCGTAGCTCTCAAACGGATGGACCGATTTCGGTGCGTTTTTTTTTCATTTGAAAGCCAGTTTCCTTGCGGTGGTTTTAGCTATGTTTAGTCAATATCGGTCCACTAGTGTAAGAGTATCAGCTCTTTTCCAAAATGATGTAAGGCATTTTGGCGTATGATTACTCGATTAAGTGATTCATGCGTGACAGTGTAATCATTAAATCATAATAAATTTGCGTAGGGTTTTTTTTTAATTTTTAATTTATATAGCTTTACTAATTAATGATGTATCAAATATTGTCAATTTTAACCCATCCACTTATTGACTGTGTTGATTTGAAATTTTATAAGTATGAAAAATCCGGATGATGATACAGTAATTGTGTAGCAGTGATAGCATCGAGCTAATCTGAAGCCAGAAGGTGGATGGTGGAACTCTTCATTGGCTAATTACGAGTGTTGTGAGACATTTTAGAGAAACTGATTGTTCCTATGGTAGAATATTATATTGAAAGTTTAAATCAAAAACCTAAATAAATCCGCGAAAGTATCTGAAAAAATTGTTTCATTTAAAATCTAAATATTTGCTTAAATCTAGGAAAACATAGTATATACTATATATTTAATAAACTTATAATTTATAAATTTATTAAATTTCAATATATATACATTTCATGCTAGCAGTACCCGCGGCTTCATCCGCGTTTAAACTTCCAATCGCTACCAAACTTTACAGTGTCAACCGTTGGCTTATCAGAAGATTGCCTGAAAATTTCATCAAAATCGCTCCAGCCGTGTTGGAGTTAATAGAAAACATACATACACACATCGATTCTTATATTATATATTATTTTTATACATATTCGTAAAGCAACATGTAAATGGATCCGCAATAAGAGCAACGCAGCGTGCGAGGCGATACGCGCGCTCGGCAACCTGTCGCGGTCGCGGCGCGCGGCGCAGCTCATCGTGTTGGAGGGGGCCTTGGACGATCTACCGGCTTTTCAACAGCATGGTAGGTGTTTTAGCTTACGCTTAGCCTGCGGTTGCGGGTTCGAGTCCCTCTGGGGGCATTCGTTTGTGTGATTATTACGAATGTTTGTACTCCAGGCATGGGTGCTTATATTTATAATATGTATGTATTTAAAGTTATATATGTGTAGTATATCGCTATCGACTATCTGGTATCCATAACACAAGCCTCGTAGCTTACCATGGAACTAGATGGCGCTGTGTGTTAATGTCCAAACATATTTATATTTATACTCGAGAAACGAGTACCTACATAATTTAATTGTTTTTTTGTTTTTTTTTATTTTTGTATCTCATAATCCCATATAAATCTTATAGAGTAAGTTTACCCCCAAAGGGTTGGGTATTTAATCATAAAGTGATTGTAGAGTCGGTTCAAGATTAATGATAACATAATATTATGATAGCATGTTTTTTTACGTATTTTGTGAGAAACGTGTGTGTCTGGTGGTGTGCACAGGAATGTTTGGGGCATTCCATGTGAATACGATAACGAAAAAATATATTGTATGTACATCATTATCATATTATATTATTTATAAAAGTACTAGATACACAATCAGCCATAAAAAAAGGCCTCACCTAATGAGCGCTCATTTGAACATTTGAGCGGGCTTTTTTTTGTGAAAACAACTTTAAGCATTGCATTTAAGATTCGATTTACATTGTTGTATATTTCAACTACAATAATTACCTAAACACAATTGGTGACAGTTTTAAGAGAACTTTTGCATGGGTTTGTGTATCTAGTACTTTTTTGATTGATGCTATCAATAAATTTATCGTTATTTAAAATTTTCCACCACACAGAAGATCCGAGCGTACGCTGCGCAGCCGCAGGGGTGTTAGTTAATATTTGCGCGGCGGGGGGTGTTGGGGGTGCCAGTACGGGGGGTGTTCGTGGTCTGGGGGGTGCGGGTGAAGCCGCGGCACGAGCACTAGTCGCGGCGGCTCGAGCACGCGATGCTATCACAGCAGCATTGCTGGCTCGAGCCCTGTGGAACGCGCAGGCGCATGGACCGCTGGAGGCGAACCATGCGAGGAATGCGGCGGCCGCTCTTGATATGTTTTTAGGTAAGTTTGTGTTTATTATAGGTACAGCATTCGTTTTTAATTGAAGGTGGTTAAAGTTCGAACAAAATATTATACAGGATGATTTTTGTAAGGTTTTAGGTGAATGGAATGTGGACGAATAGTAAGTATGAAGTCTCAAAGAAGTCTCAAAGGTCTCACGAGGTTAATTTTAATTAAAAAAATTGAAATCGAATTTACTGTTTTGACACTTAGGAATGTTTATTACGCGAACTAAGAGATTATAATAATTTGTATGATATGTATTTTGGAAAGTAGTTAGTTAATGGTTTGTATTATTACTTTCGCCATCCATACATATAAAAAGAATTTGGTAGATTAATACCGTATAGCTCTGAAATTACTAATGAAAAAAAGTAGAGTTGGGCTTATGAGTGCGCTTGTTAGAGGAACAATTCTCATCATATTTGGCTTTTTGAACGCAAGAAATAAAGGTTTAACGTTATTGTAAGTAGCACTAGGAAGTCTGTCTGTGTGTTTACGTACGGCCTAGGTTAAAAGACCTCTTTTTGAACATTTTTAATAAACTATCTTGACTAACTAACTAACTTAACGAAACAGTGATTCTCTCTTCCGTGTGACTACGATTTCTATAAATTATTTGGAGCGTCGGGAAACAAAAAATAAAATAAATTTGCAAAAAATCCGATGTGTTAGTTTTATTTAAAATCACTACACATTATAAAATAAAGTCCTCGCCGCGTCTGTTTGTTTGACCGCGATCCATTCAGAAACTACCGAATGTATTTTCAAACGGTTTTAATGAATAGATGGAGTGATTTCTAAGGAAGGTTTTGATATATAATTCATTAAGATTTTGTGTAATTTGGCTGAAATATGACGATGATGGTTGAAGATGTCGAAAAGAAAACATGCCGACTGGGAGCTTTATTGGCGTGCGCCACGTAAACTAGTAAAGTTATATAAGAACAATCTATTACAGAAATGTTCCTCTTAAAAAGATCTTTCTATTAAACCATAGCAACACTTATGTGCACGTAACTAGGGACTAAGTCACTATAGTATCAAATATTCGCGTAAATTTAAAAGAGAGTATTATTCTCTCTTTGAATTTAAATCAATTTTGTTGAATTGTTACAGAATGAAGAAGCAATAACTAATAAGCACACTTGCAAATATTTTTATTTTACGAAACAAAATCTCTTTAGTTCTACATACATATAATTATGATATTAAGTAGTTTGATGTAGAAGATTAATTAATTTATTATCAATTAAGTCTAATAACTAATATGTGTTTTGGTAGAGTGTAAATGAAATTCATATTATTTTAATTGAATATGTTTAAAAATAAATACGTAATATTTAGTTTAATATAACATTAAAAAATGACAGCTTTATTTAAACAGTTCTTCTTCCCCATTAAGACGGGGGAGGTTCTGTTGAGTTCCCGTTGGTAGTACTGGCTTCTCTAGCCGGTGAGTCTCGCATACTCACCTACATATATGTATAAGGGTAGTAAGCGTGAATGCATTTCGAAGCATAAAAAAACGAATATGACGGCTTATAAGTTATTGTGACGGACAGATAGATATTTTTTCTTTGCTCATTCTAGTAAACTCGAAACAAGGTAAAGAGTATAATATCTCTTTATTGTTTAACTTTAATTGCTATTAAAAGCACACTCAAATAATTATTCATTTATAATTAATTCAATGTAATAATATAGTATTTAATTACATAGATAAAGCTAAAATATACAACCTAATGCAATATTTCGCAAATAAGTTTAACGGACTCCGTGGCGCAACGGTAGCGCGTCTGACTCCAGATCAGAAGGTTGCGTGTTCAAATCACGTCGGGGTCAAAAACTATTTTGTTTTATTATTATACTAGCGGACCCGACAGACGTTGTCCTGTCTACACGTCTTTAATTTGAAAATTTCAAACTTTTTTTAATAATTCTTTGATGTATACTATATGTACCCATTTGGGGTTTTTTGGCCGAATTCAAAAAAAGCAAAGGTTTATATTTGCGCTGTAAATAGTTATTATATATGTATGAGAATAGTCCCATATATTTTTTTATTATTTTAATCATTTCTTTTACAGTTATTTCTTCGTCGTAAGTAAAATACCCGTTATGTACACTTCATTGTATCGCTACAATGTGTAACTGATTTATGTAGAGTTTTATGTGTATTTACAACGATCGGTCACGTGCGATTTATTTACAATCGGTCTGATATATTCAAAATTGCGAGTTTTTATTTGACCTCCGCAATGGAGACCTGACTTAGGCTTATAGGCCTAACTGTGGGACTATGGTCTGGTCCCCTTCGTATGAAGGACGAAAGGTGGTCCGTGCCCAGCAGTGGGACGTTAAAAAGGGCTGAACACATAGTATAAATATTTATAATAATATATTTGTATGTATTCATCCTTTTGTAACGTTCTACTGCTGGGCACGGGCCCCCCTTCAGTATGAGGGGTGTGAGGCCATAACCCACCACGCTGGCCAACTGCGGGCGGACTTCACATGTCTTTTGAAAACTGTTAGGTTCTCTCAGACATGCAGGTTTCCTCACGATGTTTTTCTTCACCGTGAGACAAGTGGTAATCATGTAAGAAACGATTCGCACATGAAAATATCAGAGGTGCGAGACCCAGGATTTGAACCCGCTTCACTCGGTTTCCCAAGCGAGCGCGTTACCACTGGGCTACCACTGCCTCTATTAATATAATATTCTTATATTATTAATTTTACTGTGTATAGAGAAAATCGATGAGGGGTCAAATATATTTTGTAAACTAGCTATACCGGCGGCTTCACCCGCGTTTAATCTATACTAATATTATAAAGAGGCAGAGTTTGTTGATTTGTTTGTTTTTGTCAGGAACTACTAACTCGATTTGAAAAAGAATTTTTCAAATCGGATTAATAATTGCTGAGATTAGCGCGTTCAATCAAACAAACAATCAAACTCTGCCTCTATAATTTAGTATAGACAAACTATGCAAGCGGAGTCAACTGGCAAAAGGTAGTAGTCTAGAAATTCATATATTATTCTACATTACTAAGGTAATATTATTAAGGTTGGATACTATGCGAGATCGTACTTACATCTATACTAATATTATAAAGAGGTAAAGTTTGTGAGTTTGTGACGTTAATCGGAATCGGTAATCTCTGGCTCTACTGAACCGATTTAGATGAAATTTAGTAAGAAGATAGTTTGAGACCCTGGGAAAGACATAGGGTACTTATTATTTCGGAAATCATCCCTTAGGACGGTGCAAATGGGGATGAAAGTTTGTATGGCGAATGAAGCTAGGGGCGAACCCGAGAGAAGCGAGGGTAAGTCGCTAGTATTATAATAAAATTGTACCTGACAATGACTCGAATCTGTACATTAAGTATTTTATATATATATATACGTACATTTGTTACAGATGATGACTCGGTGTTCACAGCATGTGAAGCATCGAAGTGCGGCGACAGGAGAGCTAGCGATCCGCAGATATCTAAAAGTCATGTACTTAAATTGTTTTTTATACATTATAGAATATTAATTTGATATTTTTATATTATTATATATATTTTTTAATTTGATTTACTTTGATTTTTGGATCCGGAATATATAGGTATTAATGCTTTACAGTAATCGTCGATTTTTACAATCAATATTTTTTTCTTTATATTTTAATAAAATCCGTTAATTATATTTATTTTAAATAAAACTATCTTTTTGGATTTTTTCGCGGATTTATTTTGATTTTTCAATAAAACCGAAAATCAAAATAAATCGGCAAAAAATCTGAAAAGATAGTTTTATTTAAAATGTCAAATATTCGCGTAAATCTAAGAAATAACAATATTAATTTATTAACATTTATGTACCTAATTATCACAGCAACGAGTATTCTATTAGTATTTATAGCCTGTTTTAAAACATTATGGTTTGGCTTCATTTTTAGTTCCTTAACATGTTTAGCATTATTAATATCTGCCTAATATTTCTGCTTAGTATTTGAAGAAATGTAATATATTCCATAGAATAAAGTATAATTGTATGTTTATATTCAATAGGTCAAATTCCAAGTGGAAAATAACAACTATTATTCAGAATCGGGTAAACGTTTTATGGTCGAAGAGCCGAAATTAGCGGTGAAAGCGTATAGTGTGGAAGGCGACTTGCATTTAGAGCAGGAGTATGATGAAGATGGTGAAAGGTAAGTTTTTACAAACTTTTCAATGAAATAATAATAATAATACGCTACATCTATACTAATATTATAAAGAGGTAAAGTTTGTGAGTTTGTGACGTTGTAGGGGGTAATCTCTGGATCTACTGAACCGATTTAGACGAAATTTGGTAAGAAGATAGTTTGGGACCCTGGAAAGGACATAGAATACTGTTTATTCTGGACATAATCCCTTAAGGTAGTGAAAATGGGGATGAAAGTTTGTATGGGGAATCAAGCTAGAGACAAACCCGAGCGAAGCGAGGGTGAGTCGCTAGTATGCAATAAAGAAATAAAAAGTAAAACCTTATTTTTGATAAAGAAAGAAAAACTGTACCGTAAAGTGAAGCAAGTATTGGTTATTTGAACAAATAAGCATTAGGGCGATGTGTGTAATTCAAATTTCAATCTATGATATGACAGGTATTCGGGTGAAGACCTAGGGTTTGAAGAAGGTGAGGTAGAAGAGTGTGAGTGCGAGCCGTGCGTGCGGCTGGCGGCGTGGGAGGAGCTGATGGGGGTGGCGATACCATTGCTGGAGAAGCTTCGTCCTCACAGAGCTGACGCCTCTGTGGGCACTGATTAAAGAATAAACTATTACATCTGAATATTTTTTTATATATCTATTATCTATATTTATAAGCCTTAATGACCTTTAGAATGACGTTGGTGCTTATAAATAATTTGAATTTAAAAATAAAACTGGATTCGCACACCGAAGGTTCCGCAGAATGAAACATTAAAGTAAGTTTATAATTGCAATTTTTTTTTCTGATGCAACTACGTGATTTTCGGATTTTTTCCTTTACTTGTGCTGTAAGACACTGCCTTTTGCCAAATTTCATGATTCTAGATCTACACGAAATACCTATACATTTTAGAAAAAGTCTTGACAGACAAACGGAAAACGAAGTGATCCTATAATAGTTCCTTTTTCCTTTTGAGGTAAGAAACCCTAACAAAATTAAAAAATAGGTATATATATTTATTAGAAAAATCATTTATTATTAGAGATATACGACATATCCGACATCGCTTGGCTCGGGTTCTTACCGAGGTAGCTAATACCTACATATGTGTTATTCTATAATTTTATCCAAATCAGTCCAGCCGCTTTAGCATAACGGAGTAACAAACATATATAAATGAATAATAAATGCATGAATAATACTAGATCGATTTTATTAACATTAATTTTATTCAATTTTATTTTTTAATCTTGATTCTTTGACGATAACTTTATCGGTCAACATCGTCTTTTCTGACATTTTCGTACTGATAAACAGAGAATTGCGGCTAATTAAAAAGCCATGTTCATGCCATGCTATCCTATATCTTCGCCAATTGCAAACAAATTTTTATGAATTTAATTTTTTTAAATGAATTTTAAGGCTTGCCTCAAAAATTATAATAGATATAAAATTTTAATAAGGTAATTCTACCATAAAACCATTCCATATAAAGCCACTGCCTGGCAGTACCACTTTTGCCCAGTGGTAATGCGCTTGCTTAGGAAACCAAGTAAAGCGTGTTCAAATCCCGGGTCGAGCACCTCTGATATTCTCTTGTGTGAGTAGTTTTTAACGTGTTTACCACTAGCTTTAAAAAGAAAGTGGGATAAACGAACAAACACTTTTGTATTGAAACTATATTCTATTGATATACGAGTATATATTTTAAAAGTACCTACTAGCATTGCCCGCGGCTCTGCCTGCATAAATCTATACTAATATTATAAAGAGGTAAAGTTTGTGATCTTGTGAGTTTGTGACGTTGTAGGGGGTAATCTCTGGATCTACTGAACCGATTTTCAAAATTCTTTTACCAATAGAAAGCCACGTTCTTTCTGAGTGTCATAGGCTATATATTAACCAGAAAAATGAAAAGGCTTTTTCGTGGTAGTCGGATTTGCAAAGTAAGTCGGAGAAAAAACGGTCGATAGAAAACGTTTCTTTCGAACGCTGCCTTAACGATAAGAGATATATGATTATGTTCTAGAGAAAAGTTGTAGAGTTTAATAATGCCTACAAAAAAGTCAGCGACAGCATATGTCTAACTTTTATATTTAAGTCACAAAAAGTAGTTTTTTATATTAAAAAAATAATTTAAATCGGTAGGTCATGTTTATTGGTCATATTATCAACAATTATGAATTCTTATCAAAATAAGTAAATTTATCGTCTAAAATGTTTAAAACAAAAGACTTTTCCCTTTTACTGCATATAATTTGGACAAATGGTTAAAGAGATAATACAACATATTCGAAGGTATGGACGAACCCGAGCGAGCTGTTTGTCTGTTTTCCTGTTTGTACGGGATAATCTCCGAATCTATTGGACCGATTTAAATGAAATTTTGCATGGTGGTACCTTATATCTTAGATACTTTTCATCCCGGAAAATTAAAGAGTTTCCGTGGGTTAGTCAAAAAACTATAGTAATTTATACAGCTTAGTAAACAACAACTTACGCACCTAATTTAGTAAAATTTGGCATGCTGAATGCTGATACCTTATTTTGCCGGTCAAACAACAGGATACTTTTCATCCCGGAAAAATGAACGGTTCCCGTAGGATAGATCTGTTTGTGATTTTCAAGAGGTGAACCCGAGCGAAGCGAGGGTGAGCCGCTAGTAATTTATATTGTTACTCCGCTCCTGAAGGTCATAGTGTCATGCTATTATATAGTAGGTACAAAGCGTGACATAGAACCAAACATGAAGCCAAACAAAAATGTTTTAAAATTATACCTATAATATAATAATTAAAAAAATATATACAAATTACAATTTGTATACTGAGTAATATAAATAAAAATAGTTTTGTATTTTATTTTATATTATAAACTAACTAGGATTACCCGCGGCTCCGCCAGCGTTTAGATGACCAAAAACCAAATTTACATATTAGTATACTCTTACAATGCAGTTTTTGTATTTTTTCTCAGAAATGAGATATTTTCCCGCGGTAAAAAGTATCCTATAGGTATGTTGACCCGGATGAACAGCTAACACCATACCGATTTCATCAAAATCCCTCCAGTGGTTTTTGTGTGATGCGGTAACAGACAGACAGACAAAATTCTAAAAACCATAGATTCGGCCTCTGTATCGATAATAATGTTTATTTTAATAAGATTTTCCAAAAAATATCTAATGTACAGATTCGGCTTAGTTACAATTTTATTATATGTATAGATGTTTATAAAATACAAAAGAGCATAGTCTTATATTATTATTCATATGTTCTTAAAAATTGTAAATCTAACTAATACACATAATATATATTTTTTCTTATTCCTTAAAGAAAGTAAACAATCAGTAGGTATGGCTCAATCGAGAACAGTAGCATATACAGGAAATTACGCTACTACTACTACTATATTTGACTTTGACATTTTTTTTGACGGGCTCCGTCTATATAAATCTTTAATCTGAGGATATAGCATGTACCCCATAGAGTATATTGCTACATATATGTACCCTTAGGTACTCAATAAATCCATACTAATATTATAAATGTGAAAGTTTGTGAGGATGATTGGATGGATGTTTGTTACTCTTTCACGCCAGAACGGCTGAACGGATCTCGATGAAGTTTGGCACAGAGATAGATTATAGTCAGGAATAGCACATAGGTTACTTTTTATCCCGAAAAAATGTATAGTTTCCGTGGGATAGATTTGTTTTTTTCTGGGGACGAACCCAAAGCGAAGCGGGGCGAGTCGCTAGGCTATGTGGTTGGTTCCAGAGGTAGCGTTTAAACAAACAAACTCTTCCGATCTATATATATAAGAGAAATAAGTATACAACTATAACATATTTAATTTTAACATTCGACAAACATAAAAATTGGACGTAATTTGTAAGCCACTTCGGACCTTGAGCGTTAAATGGCTGGAGTAAAGGCTCTACTTACTTTCGATATTTCGAGTAACTCATTCAGTTCAATGTGACGTTATATAATGTACAGAGAATAATTAAGTTCAAATATTAATTGATGTAAGTAACGATTAAAAATAGTTTTTTTTTTAATTAGTCAAGTGACGTGATGTGATATTTTAATCTGTGGTGTGATAATAAAAAGTTTAGGTTTTAGTTTTGTTATTAGGAATTTTATTTATCAGGGAGGTGCTTTTCCACGATTGAACAACATTAGTATTTTCAACAATTTGCAAATGATCAATTAAATTTTTTGTATTTTTGATAAATCTATATATTTAATACTAATAAAGTCATTATGTATATGACATGAGGTCAAATATTTATGGATCCTTTAGATAACTTAATTCTTATAGCAGCCTTTTATGTATAATATGTACAACTATCCAATTAGTTATTTGAAAATACATTCAAAACATCCTGCAATTCACGCATGAAAAGTGTTATTGCGTATGTTCTATTAGAAAATAACTTCAAAAACATTATTATGTACGTATGTTTATTTTTATATTACATATTCATTTTTTTATTTAAAGTTAAGTGCCTACAGCAAATATAGGAAGGAAATCGTCTAATAGGGATGTTCTGGTCGACAATTTAAACAAGCGACAAGTGTCTGTTTGGCAACTGGTGGCGCAACACTTAGCCTCCGTATGTCGATATTCCGGGACCTTCGTACTATACGCCTACATTGTACAGCGTGTTTTGATTAATTTTAATATTAATGTCTTGAGTTTTTTTTTAATTTCTAATTTACTCTTTTATAACTAGGTTTGTTAAGTGTTTTTTTTAAATCTCATTAAAGTATAGCACAAAATATGAGGTTAATGTCGAAGAGAGTTCTAAGAAACAAACATATTTTAATTTTTTATTGATCTGTTCTTTATAACATCTAAATACTTTGAAATATCATTCATTATGACTTTAAATTAATATGAAATTACATTACCAAGTACTTAAAAAACTTGTTATTTAATGAGCTATTCTAAAAATGAACTTAAAGTATTCACTTAAATGGCATATTAATTACACAATTAAAACACGCTGTACTTACGACAGGAACCAACTGTTGTTATAAGATAGTCCTTGCGGCTACATCGAACCAATCGCTGTTTAATATCTGATTCAGTAACACTACAGAAAGGTTTAAAAAAACAACTTTTACATTCTCGCACAAAAACCTTATTATATTCTTGGATTTTACAAGAATAATGATTATTACTTCTAAATGAAATATTAATTGCATTCCATAAGCAAATTAGCCATTAAGCAGATTACATAATATTGGCAAGAATAATTTATTTATTACTTAAATTTATATAATTTATTTGTTAGTTATTATAGTGACAGCTATGAGTAGGAACGTGAGTGTGCTTTTGGCTTTATCGCTGTTAACGAATGGATTCTGTATCCCGGCAAGTGTGGTGCGACCAAAGAGACAGGATCCTGTAAGTAAAATGTTTCTTTTAAATATACATACTATTTTTTATTATTATTTATTAGCGCCGACCCCAAGTGACTTGGGAAATTGGCAGGAAGAAGATACTATTAATTATTGCATTTATATGTCAAATACTTAAATTTTTATATCTTATCTGAAAAATGCCTAGCGAAGCTCAGTCGCTGAGGTACTGCAAATTATATTGTACTAGCGACTCACCTTCGCTTCGCTCGGGTTCGTCCCTAGCTTGATTCCCCATACAAACTGTCATCCCCATTTTCAGCCCCTTAAGGGATGATTTCAGGGATAAAAAGTCCTTCCCAGGGTCTCAAACTATCTTCTTACCAAATTTCGTCTAAATCGGTTAAACAGACCCAGAGATTACTACCTACAACGTCACAAACTCACAATTCACAAACTTTATCACTTTATAATATTAGTATAAATAATATCTAGATAAGCTTACTAGGGATGAAGGGTTTAGGATGCATAGAGGACAAACATATTCGTAGATTTTGTTTTGGGTTAGGAATCTTCACGGGTGTACATTGACTCACCAAAATTTTATTATAATTGGATGAACGATTGAGAAATGCATAGAACACAAACATAAAAATAATTTAGAAAAATTATATTGTTGTCTATTGTTTTTACACATTTGTAATGTGATATGTAAAATGGTGTATGTAAATTAAGTTTTTTTAGTTGTTGTGTAATTTTTATGAGACTTTTTATTCGTTGGTACAATCTGGTTGAAAACCTAAGTTTCAATTGATTAGGTCAAGTTAAAGGTTATTATCATCCAATTATATTATTTTATATTATATACCTACTTATGTAGATTCAAATCGATGCAATAATTAATTAGAAGTACCTAGGTTTTAAATTCAAATTCATTATTAGTATCGGAAAAAACTTATCAAAAATGTCTGTTTTCCAAAAATTCGACCAACAATATAGAAAAAATATACCTTGATCCTTAAAAGAACTTTCGAAAGAAACTTAGCTGGACTATATTCTATCGATCGATTTCGATGCGATCACATCGTTAGGCCAACCTTCAATTTATTATTTGATTATCAAGATTTGATTAGGTATAAATTATGTTGTTATAAGGGAAGCTAATAAAGTTGAATACCTACACTGAAGTTCGACCGAAGCAAAGGCGAGCATAAAAATATATATAGATAATATATGTATGTATTACATGCATACATACATGAATATAATTACGGATGGATTGCAGTAGGTAAATAAGTGTGCAAATTCCGATTTTGTTAATAACCGGTTATTTTGTTGGTTGTTTTGTTCCTTTCATTTTATTAGATTTTTACTGAATAAATTTTATCATATCTACTACTATTTTAAATATAAATGTTTGTATGGGTGTGTGTATGTTTGTTACTCCTTCTCGCCGAAATGGACATATTTTGATGAAATATAATAAACAAATAGATTTTGACCAGGAGTAACACAAACGCTATTCTGTTAGTAATAAAAAAATGGCTAAAATGTGCTGCCATTACCATCATATTATAATTACAAAAGGGAAAGGGACGAACGCAAGTGAAGTAAGAGTTAATCGCTACATTTAACTTTTAATTAAATTAAACGGTAAATATTGTTTAAAATATTTATTACTAGTGACCATTTATTACTATTAGGCTTCATAGTTTTGAGACTTCTATAATCCTAAAGATTCATAAAACGTAATAACGCAAGAATATCCCTAATGAACAAACACATCGATAAAAATGACTAGTTAATGTTTACTACTTACATAACCGATATCGAACTCCCACACTTCCGTGATCCGTCTAAGCTAATCTTGCTTAATTATATTGTACAGTACTAAATATTATGTTAATAGAATTATTCGCGAAGTTAAAATAGTACCGGCAATTACAAAGGTCGTTAAATAATAATAATAACACCTCGTCTACATACTTCCTGAATAGGCAACCACTCTGAGTCAAATGAAAACACAAAAAAAAAACAAATATGTTATGTTAATATTAATACCAACATGACCACTAAAGTGTTTAACCGATTAAGTATCCTAAACCAGTCCTTTATTGAAATCGAAAAATATCAAGACAAGGAATTAAATGTCATTCTATGAGTAGATATTCGCTGTTATTAAAGTACCTAATAGACAACTAGTTTGAATAAATTTAATTAAACTTTATTCAATTAAACTTATCAACTCACTTTTGAATCGTCAATTTAATTTAAAAAGCGCTTTTAACTTGATATAAAAACATCGGCTTTTCTTTATATAAGTATATAGGAAATTGTAAGATCCGTTATGTTATAATTTCACTGCTGAAATTATAATTACCCGGAGTATTGTCAACCTTTTCTTTTCTTAGGTATATTATAATTTCCCTAAGCACATTCAGTGAAATTGTAATTACCCTAGTTAAATTGTCAATATAGTAGCAATACCAGGATGTGGTGGGAAGATTCGGTCCAATTTGATTGGTCAATTTACTGTGTTCAGTGATCAAAACGTCTTTAAAACCAAAACCATAAATACGACATTGACCTAAGAAAGTATCTTCTTTTTTTACGTTGGGAAATGCATTTATGTACGAAGTGTGGGACTCACCGGCAAAGCCAGTACTACCCACTAAAACCCAACAAAACCTTCCCCCGTCTTAATGGGGCGTCGCAGGATCGCTTACGCATTCAACTACGACGCCCCGACGCGACGGCAGGTCTGCCGAAACAGACCACAACGACCACGGGGTTGCTCCAAAGTCCACTCTGCTATCAGAGAAGTACCAGGAGCAACCCGCATGGGACACCGCTCTCCGAAGAGGGCTGCCTTCCACCGCCCACCGAAGCGGGCCACCTCCCTGTGCGTTTCTTGGCTTCGCGCCCGGCTGTATTGCCGGGCACTACTGAGCCCCCCCACCACGACAAGGTGAACGCACGTTGGGGGGGAAGCTAAGAAAATACCTACTATAACCGGTGTTAAGTTTTTCATACATGTATAGAAAATCAACAAAAAGAATCTAAGTAGACTATTTTCTTAAATTTGAGAAGATTATTTCCTTATTAGTAATTTTAAATTTTCGATTAAGGGATAGATCCGACTTGGGTAACGTAGGTTGAGAAGGCTAAGGTAATTTTTTATTTACTTTACAGTGTGATAATGGTTTAATACTAAAATACTAGTATTGCTAAAATATATTTGATTACAAATTGATTGCATGGACGACCTTTTTTCATAATTTGACCTTAAGTGTAGCTATATATTATACAAGTAGGTATGTACCTACTTCCTCATTCCTTATTAAAGTAAAACTTACATATTTTAATGATAATTATTTCTTTAATATATGTTCCAAAACATTCTATATAGTACCTAATTTACGTTTGCATTTGTCTTGAAATCCTTACCAATTCTTATCAGTGCACCTAAAGTACATAGGTACATATATCTCATGATCACTTCAGGATTCGATACTGTTAAATAATACTGATATTTTATTAAAACTAGTGACTTACCCTCGCTTCAGTCGGATGTGTCTCTGGGTACGATTTTGTTTACAATTTCAAGGGTTTCAATTTTTTTGCGCGGAACCCTGATTTTTCTAAAATAATATCCGCCTAAGTTTCTCCATATAGCATCAGCTGTCTGCCAATGAAAGTTCCTTCAAAATCGATTAACCGTTACGAAGATTTAGCCGGAACAAGCAAACAGACTGAAAGACAAAAATTTTAAAAATTGTTGTTTTTCTTATAAGTATACTTTCATGTGCATTTAGTAAAAAGTTTTTATATTGACATTAAGTACAAAGAGACACTTCAATTTTATTTATCTGTATAGATTGCATTTATACGTTATGCACTTCATGCTTCATAGATATGTCAAGGTACGTTTACTGTCAAGGCAGTATAGTGGTTATTTCATGTTAAAATGATCTCTCTGTATCGTCAATTAACCTTGCTATTCATATGTCATTCAAAGAAATATTTAATAAGTACTTGCGGCTCACTCTCGCTTCGCTCGAGTTCGTCCCTAGGTACCTTTTGACGGTTAGTATGGTATAGATATATAGTTAATACAAACAGATATAACCTGTTCTCCCATGGAAATGAAATAATCTCCTGAGGTAAAAAGTAGCCTATATCACTCTCCAGCCCTCTAACTATATCCACACAAAAAATCACGCCAATCTATCACTCAGTTTCAACATGAAAGAAGGACAGACAAACAAACAAACAAACAAACAAACACACTTTCACATTTATAATATTAAGTATAAGGATGTATGGATGTTAATTATATTTTACCGATTTTAAAAGGAGCTCATCCTTGCTTTGCTTGGGGTCGTCCCTACGTACGTTTTAACGGTGTGTATGGAATAATTAAACTATATTTTACATATATTACTGCTCTGTTCCCTTCGGTAGTAGCATGATGATATATAGCCTTCCTCAATAAACGGGCTATCTAATGCAAAAACAAATTTTCAAATCAGATTAGTAGTCTCGAGATTAGCACGTTCAAACAAAACAAACTCTACCTCTATATAATATTAGTATAGATAAAGTAAAAGTGGCATTATAAAATTATAGGGCATATATTTACGATTAAAATATATTTCGTTTTAAGTATCTGTTGTTACTTATTATATTGTAAGAAAATATATATTTAAACACCTGAATTAAAACGAGTTTGCGAATGTTCAAGTATTTGGCAGTACCTACAATTTCGAAATATACTCGTACGTTGTTTTTTCATATTAACTAAAGTTATATTTTCGGTTTATTTCACAGATTTATATTGATTTTTGGTAACAAGTAGGTATATAACGCCTTTGAGACGTCTAAAACCTTCGTTCTCTTCCGTGACCATGATTGCAGTAAAGCATTCAAAACGTCGGGAACCAAAAAAATAATCCGAAAAAATATTTTTATTTAAAATGTCAAATATTCGCGTAAATCTTAGAAAATATATTTATTTGTGTTTTCTTAATTTGTCCTTTAATAGGTTATATATTTTTTTTAAGTTTTGTGTAACAATCGACTTAAATACTTATATACGCCTATGTCTAGTTGTGTCAATATTCATCACATTTTATCCCTTTAGTGGTTTCCGCGTAATTTAATAACAAACATTCAAACATACAGTCATTTTTACTTTTTATATTTATAATATTAGATAGAATAAAAATAAGATAATAATTACAATTTCAGAGCGAAAACACGATAGCACAGTCAAGTGACACTGTTTCGAGGGTTAGTACTAGCTCGAGTACAGTCAATTACGACTTGCCACCACCAATACCTTACAATGATGAAGACGATGATGACGACGATGATCTAGATATACCAAAGAAATACCCGTCTGATGACGGTGGTAGCAACGTGTTCAGTCTTCTCAAACTTGTGTCCGGTTTACTCCCAGCGTCGAGTGGATCATCCAGCGTAAGTGTTTATACTAAGTTTTTATTTAAAAAAAAAACTAACTAATATTCTAACAGAAGTTTTTTGGCAAGTATTTTGATATAACAATATTTAAATAAAACTATCTTTTCGGATTTTTTCGCGGATTTATTTTTGGTTTTTGGCTCCTGATGTTCCAAATACTGAAAAAACCTAAAAATATAACTTTGTAAAAGATGTCAAATATTTATGTATCTATATCTAAATGTTTATTTTATTTAAACATAATATGGTATATAATGGTATATGGTATATAATATATAATATGTAATGGTTAACAAGTTTTAATATGATAATAGTTATCGATATAAATCGAAAATCTATACTATAATAAAACTGTAGAGGTCGAATGTCTGTACATAGATAAAAAATACTAAAAACCAAGTCAGGGGGGTGTAAGGAGAGAAAAAGAACAAGTCCAGATTTTTTTCGATTTTTTTGTTTCTCTGTCTGTTTGTTTGTACGGGCTAATCTCCGAACCCATTGGACCGACTTAAATGAAATTTTACATGGTGGTACCTTATATCCCCGGTCAACATCTTATATACTTTTTATTCAGGAAAAATGAGCGGTTCCCGTGGGATAGATCTGTTTAGTGTTTGTGCTTTTCGAGAGGCGAACCCGAGCGAAGCGAGTGTAAGCCGCTAGTCAATAAATATTTAGGTATACAATCATATTATTTAATCATCTTTTTCTTCAAAGGAGGCCGTTTCTAATAAGAAATCTTATTTTTATAAATATTTAATATTTATTCTTTCTTACTACAGAAGAGATTTTATTACCGTTATAAGAGCCTTAGGCAGTACGAGTATAATTAAATGGCGACGGAATGTGATGATGAGCTAGACCATAATTTAATTAAAATTCTTCATAATATGTTGAGAATAATAGCTTTTATCCTATAATAATTAGTTTTTTTTTGAAATAAACTCATTGTTATTCAATTTTAAATTCTTTTTTATTTTCAGATTAGACAATTGTTAAACAAAAGCTCTTTATATTATTTCGATAAGACTTTCTTAGATTTACGCGAATATTTGTCATTTTTTATAAATGTCTCTACTGGGACCATGATCGCTGTAAAGCATTCGAAACGTTGGGAACCAAAAATCAATATAAATCCGCGAAATAATCTGAAAAGATAGTTTTATTAAAATTATTTCGATAGTTACAGATAGTTATATATAGCTTGTAAAACGGTCCATATAAAATAAAAAGCCTCACACAAAATATTTATTTCTACCAATTAGTAGTCTATACATGTTTCTTGATCGTAAACCTATTTCTATAATTATCTTGATATCATATCGAACAATATAGATGAATTAATCCAGCGTAGGACAACATAATTTATTCATTTACACTGCACCATTATAACAATTTAGTCATTAACAGTCTAGAGTATAAAATTTATTACTAATTATCACGAAAATTTGCGTTTTTGACACGTTTGATTATAACAAAACCTTGTTGTGATGTGTTTTTTTGCTCTTTCTGCACTTTGGATAATTCTGCACTCACACGGTAAGTCTCTATCTACTTCTAAATTCTTCTTATAGTATCTATTAACTTTTTATCTTCTTAAAAATTGTTATAAATGTTTAACATGCATAGACTTTTCCAGAAAATTTATCAAAGAATAATAAAAGAGATCATGAAGCATACCAAATCTAGAATAATAATTCGTAGAAGCGATGCTGATAACGAAATAGATGTCGACTACATTTCTGATTTAAAACCATCGCCATTACAAAAACAAGAGGAGCAAAACGAAGAGAGTGATAGTTCTTCTAAAAGTAGTTCTAATGAATCTGATGATGCAGCAGAAGAAAGCTTGGAAGAGGAAGACGAGAGGAATAAGTCAGAACAGGCATCAGATTCCAATTTAGATGATGATGATTACGATGAACCACCGGGAGGTGGAGATGGTGCAGGTGGTGGACTTTTAGGTCTTCTAGCTGGTTTGAGTGGTGGAGTAAGTTGTTTAAATAAATATATATTCTTTACAATTAAATTACAAATAGACAATTATAAATACCACAAATCAAATTTACTATATATATTGCTTAGAATTTTATGCTGACCTGAAGATATCGCTACAAAAATCATTGGCTAGGTGCTTTTGTCTGTTTTATTTAAATGCTTGTATTTTGTATTATTCATTAAACTATTAATATTTATTTATTTAGGAAGATGGACAGTCGGACTTAGGATCCCTACTCGCAACTATAGGTGGTATAGTGGCAAATCTGAGTGTAAGTTCGTTATCCTTCTATCAATTATAATTGTTTATCATTGAACATTCAATATTTGAAGTTACAAAATACATCTTTTTCAGGGTGATGGAATAGATCTAAATGCCCTTATTGGGTCAGGTATAGGACTTTTTGTGGGATTATTGGTATGTACTGTAACATATTTGATATAACTTTTTAATTACAATTTTTTATTTTATATTTAATTTAATATTTACAGTCTGAGGGAGAAGAGAACCCTGGTGCTGTAATAGCAAGTTATCTTCTCACATCCTTAGATACAATAACTGGAGGTGGGTCGGTATGTATCAGTTCCTTGTAATTTAATTTACATATATTTTAAATTTAAAAAGGATTATTATTTATTATATATTCATTTGCAGAAAAATAATGGAGAATTCTTTGGGAAATTTTTGTCTAAACTAATAAAAGGTACCAGTGCGGTGAGTTCTGCTACTACTATATAATATACCTATATCATCGAATTTAGTACTATCTAGTTTTTTTCATTTGTTGTATTTTTGGTATGAATTTCTTCAAACACTCAAATCAGTTTTTTATTTAAAGTATACTGAGAGTAAACTACTTTTATGTCATAATAAATTTAAATATTAAAAGCTTTGGTACCTCTATAAATATTATAACAATATTTTTAGGGAGGTGACCCCGAGGCAAGTTCCGAAGAAGAAAATGAAGAAAAACCAAAAGATTCTGCAGGATTTTTCCTAAGCTTCATCATGGCTTTGTTGGGAGATATGTCTAAAGGAAGCTCAGGGTCTCAACCTTGGAGACGATACGTTCAAGAAAATACATATCAATTAACGAAATAAATGCATTAAAACATTGTATTATTAATTATAAGTAATTATTTTTTTATGTATATACGTAAGCTCCATCCAAATAATAAAATTTCAAAAGAAAAGTCTTCTAAAACAGAGCCATTTTGTGTAAGCCGTTTCCTAAGAAGTGGGTAACAGGTAATTGAAAATGATTGAAAGTATTGCATCACTTTCTTAGGCTTGCTTTTTATTTTCTGCCTTTCGTCCTATTTTTCTTTATACCAGGTCTATTATTTTATAAAGCTAAGTTTCTGCTCACAGAGTCACTCGCGATTTCTCCATATTCTTATTTATATATTTCGGTATATCGGTCACTCACAAACTTTTCCATTTTGTTATTAATGTAATTTATCATTTTAAGTACTCCTTATTACACCATTCATTGATTAGACAATGTTATTGCCACGTTAAGCACTGCACAAGAAAATTCACCATCACAAAATCCCTAACTTTTAAGTTCCTAGTTCCAATCCTTTATAACGAACAAATAAACAATTTCGCATTTATCCATATATAAACATCGATGTTCCCTATGATTTCCAAAACGGCTGGAGCGATTTTTAAGAATTTTTCAGGTAATCTTTAGAATAGACCAGCTGGTGATTCTGTGATGTTTGGTATCGATCGGAAGCTAGAACGCGGGTAAAGTCGCGGGTACTACTAGTAATATATTTAATACCTAATTTTTTCTTTTCAATTTTGCAGGGTGCACAACATAAACCCTCGGATGAACCTGCGCAGTCTCCGCTATGGACACTCAAATTAGATATTCTTCGAGCTCTAGTACAATTTGGGACTTCAATCATTGGAATAGCTTCCTCAGCGGTCTTCTCGTCTTCTTCCGGTTGATAAGGGTTATAATAAAAGTTTAAAAAAGTATCATAATAATGCTTCTCATTATACTACCTTTTTATATAGATAAAATTAATGTTCTTGCACAGGGTACGTTTATTTCCGAATGACATAATCCAGAATAGTCTCTAGGAACTAGTAAAATGGAAGTAAACACTCGACATAACAAACCTCAATATGAAATTTTTAAAAATTCATTAAAAAAAATCTTTTCCGCCACTTTTTCTTTGCGGGGAGGGGGGGGTGTGATCTACACCCTCCTCCCGATCCCTCTCCCCCCCCCCAAATATATAGATTTAAGGGGAGGTCTATTCAATAGTCCTTCCAAACATTATTATAGAATTTACAGAATTTTGAATCATAAAAATTGATTCACTTAAATATATGAAATATATAATTAAACTACCAAACCAAAGAGCTCAAACTCAGTTACATGGTTACGGTTAAACATGCTGTATATAAAGAGTTCCACTACATACCGCCCGCGGCTCCGCCCACGTTCAGGTGACCAAAAACCAAATTCTTAGGTTTTACATATTAGTATACTCTTACAATGCAGTTTTTGTATTTTTTCTCAGAAATGAGATATTTTCTCGCGGTAAAAAGTATCCTATGTGTTGATCCGGATAACCAGCTATCATCATACCAAATTTCATCAAAATCCCTCATCCCTCCTGTAGTTTTTTTTTATGCGGTAACAAACAGACAAAAATTCTAAAAACTATAGATTCAGCATCTGTATCAATAATAATGTTTATTTCGATTAAATTTTCGAAAAAATATTTAATATACAGATTCGGCTTAGTTACAATTTTATTATATCTTTACTTAATAAAGAAATAAAATAAAACTACTATAGAATAAAAGTGCATAAATGAATTTATTCAATATATTTTAATTTATTTAAATAAAAAGCAATATTAATTTTTTTATATACTTGTTTGGAAACTCTTTGAAAATATATACATCCATGCATTTTATAGTTTTATCTCAGATGTTGGTTGAATACTCAATTCGCTAATCTGTAATAAAAAGAACATTTTTAAATTATATGCCTTTATATTATACTCGTAATAATTTTATCTAGACTAGTAGTAACTCGGTTGCGTCCCGAGGTGCTTTTTAACCGATTACCTAAAAGGAAGAGGTTGTTTCTATACCCGTCTGTATGTACTTAATTTCACTGATTTCTTGGAGATGGCTGAGCCGATTTTACTAGTTTAAACTGTATTGTATTAAGATAGGTCCTGGGATGGTCCTGTAAAATTTTCTTGTATATAGAGATAGGTATCGTTTTCAAGAAAATTCGGAAAAACTATGAAATTTGAAGTATGTCAACAAATCTGATTAGACTTTTTTAGTTACTTCTCATTGTCATTGTATTTATAATATTACTAGCAGACCCGGCCACACGTTGCTGTGGTACACTTATAATTCGTTCAATATAAAAATGCTTAACTTTGCAACACAAAAAAGAAACAATCGAGACAAAATATATTTTTGCAAATTTAGTACTAACAGTAGTCTATGTGTTACTCTTAGTTACACTCTGTGTACTAAATTTCATTCAAATCAATCCAGCCGTTTCAACTCAGAAGAGTAACAAACATACACGCACATACAAACTTTCGAAATTAATTTTCTCATTATGCATATTATATTAGAATATTAAATACTAACATTCACATTAGGGGGTGTGGACAGTATGAAAACGATAGCGTCGACGACGTCATCTGGTTGCAAGATCGGCACCTCACTGCCCACGTCATCCGTCACCAGTTGCGTTTTCACTAATCCAGGAGACACACTCTGAAAAGTGACAATAATTGTTACATCGAACAGCCTTTTTTTGAACCTGTACCTACTTCTACTTTACTTATTATTATTTACAATTAGTGACTTACTGTTGTTTTTCTCGGGTTCGTCCGTATCTATTATAGTCAAATTTTTGATACCATGGGTTACATTATTACAATTTTCGTGGGGATCTCTAATTTCTTCGAAAAAAAAAATATGGACCATCTTATTCACTTATAATGTATGTAGCTTTTGATAGGTTTTTAAAATTGATCTGTTAGATTTTTAGTTTATCCATTACATACGAACATAGAAAAATCATTTTTTTCTCTTTATAATATTAGTATAGACAAAGGAATTATAATACTTTCTTAGATTTTCGCGAATATTTGACATTTTAAATAAAACTATCTATTCTAATTTTTTCCCGGATTTATTTTGATTTTATATCGATTTAAAAAGCAGATAGGGACGAACCCGAGCGAAGCGAGGGTGAGCCGCTAGTTATATTTACAAAACAAGTGTACTTATAACGGTACAACTTACAAATCATGTCATGACCACGCTGAATGGCAATGCCGATTCTTAGCTTTTAAATTTTGAATGTATTTATATGTAATAGCTCCGCTCCTAATAATGTTACACATTTCTCAATAAATAAAAAAAGTGTATAGACAATACAAAGGGCAAAAATATTTTTTGAAATCTAACCGGTAGTTCCGTTCCGTACAAACTCTACCGCTTGTAATTTAAGCACTTGCTCGTACATACGTACGTGTTTATATATAATTATATTTTCTATTGTAATATACCTATAATTAAGGTATTTTAAAAATAGTAACTAATTCTTGTAATATATTTTCAGCTTAGTCTTGAGAGACTAAGCTCAAATTGTTGTTTGCAGCCATGTTTGATGTAAAGCATTCAAAGCGTCGGAAACAAAAATATAAAATGAAACCATGAGAAAAGCCGAGAAGACTGGTTTAAAAATAACAATTCAAAATAGCTTACTGTAACTTTAATTTTACTCTTGACAGTAGCCAGCTCGTTTAACAATGTGGCGGTAAAAGCTGTGACTGCATGCTTGGTCGCCGGGTACACGTTGAAAAATAGACTGAAGGGAATATAATGTCCTGCGATGCTGAAAAATAATGATAATACTTAGATTTACAGAAATGGTAGACACTTAACATTGAAATAAAATTATTTAATGATAACATATTTGCTAAGTGCTGTGAAGCATCAGAAACATCGGGAATCAAAATAAATCCTATTATTATAATTATAAATGCGAAAGTTTGTGAGGATGTATGGATGTCTAGATGTATAGATGTATGGATGTTTGTTACTCTTTCACGCAAACTCTACTGAATGGGTTTTAATGAAACTTTACAATAACTCATACATCCGAATAACACATAGATTACTTTTCATCCCGAAAAATGTACGGTTCTCGTGGGACAGATTTATTTTTGTTTTTCTAGAGGTAAATCCGAGTGAAGAAAGGGTGAATAATTATAATAAAAAGTTGAGTGTAACATTTAATTAAATTATAATTGAACGACAGAACTCCTTTTAATGCTTCTTAGGCAGGCGGTGAAAAATACAAGTGGAAAAAGTACAACTACAATTTTTTTTACTTGGTAAGTGTACAGTGTACCCACGGGATAGGAGCAGTATATGTCCCCCCCAACGTGCGTTCACCTTGTCGTGGTGGGGGGGCTCAGTAGTGCCCGGCAATCCAACCGGGCGCGAAGCTAAGAAACGCACAGGGAGGTTGCCCACTTCGGTGGGCGGTGGGAGGTGGCCCTCTTCGGGGGGCGGTGTACCATGCGGGTTGCTCCTGGTACTTCTCTGATAGCAGAGTGGACCTTGGAGCAACCCCATGGTCGTTGTGGTCTGCCTAGGCAGACCTGCCGTCGGGGCGTCGTAGTTGAATGCGTAAGCGATCCTGCGACGCCTTATTAAGACGGGGGAAGGTTTTGTTGGGTTTTAGTGGGTAGTACTGGCTGTATTACGCCGGTGAGTCCCACACGTCGTGTGTAAATGCATTTCCCAACGTTAAAAAAAAGGAGCAGTATATGTATATTTTGTTGATCTCCTGTAGTGTGGGCTAAAGTGATGCGAGCGTGGATACTACTGTTATGGTATATATAAATATCCTTATTATTTTACCTGTTAATATTAACAATGTGTCCATCAAAATTCCTTTTAGTCATAGATGCGATAGCTTTTCGTGAGCACATCACTAGGCCGCAGAAGTTAACATTAATCGTTGATAGTATTGCTTCGTCACTAAGACCGCCTACGTCTAAAAAAAAATTTATTATTGTAGGATATAGGTAGGTTAAATTTAGCTAAAGTTCAATAAACAATGTTACTTAATGATAAATTCCTCCTGCACAATTTCTACCACGGCGGCCAACCTCACTAGTACTTGCTAGGTATCTGCGCAGGACAGTATAATTTAATTTATTTGATTTATTCATTTATTTCAGGCAATATTTACAAAAAGATCTTAAATATGTAAACAGAGGCCCATAACATGTATACCTTAAAAAGTAACATATATATATATATATATATATATATATATAATGTTTAAGTGTATGCATTAAAACAATTACACTCTCGAATATTTTAAATGGCAGAGTCCGATGACATGACAATTCAACACTCTCATCGCTCACTAGTAAAGATCAGGCGAACGATCAACAGCTTTACATGCTTTCCGAGCTAGGGGTCGCGGCACTGCCAACTTCCTAACTCCAGGCTTACTAAGAACTTTTTAATGAAAACCTCCAATAGTCATACTAGGCCTGATCCGGGATTCGAATCCAGAACCTCTGGATCTACAGTCATATATGCTAGCCACTACTCTAATGAAGTAGTTCTAATACCCATCAGAAATGTCAAAGAGGGTACCCAATAATTAATATAGCTTTTCAATTAATACATCTATAAAATAGTACGTAATAAAGTAAATTACCAAAAATACCCCCTTTGTTGAGAGTTCCTGCGTTGTTAATAAGTATATCGATGCCTCCAAATTTTTCTTCTATCCATTGAAAAGTGGCTTCAATATCTTCAGTATTGGAAATATCACATTTTCTAGCGTAAAGTGACCCTTTGCCGACCACTTGCGATACTAATTTCTGCAGTTAATAATAATCATACTTGTTCTATTATTCTCTCATTAAAATATTAAGATTTTTAACCGTAAGAATTAGGTGTTGTTGAAGGAATGAACTTCGTTGTGACCTGAATATGGTCTAAAACGTGTAACTACATAAAATTTCCCGGAATCATTTCGAGAAAGAAATTTACAGCCTACAAAAGAATACAATAATTTATCACAACTAAAAGACTATTATAATTTTATATTTATTTACTAAGCGTAGAGAAATGTTGAGAAATAATAAATTAGCGTGGTATGGGCATATCTCGAAGAGGAGAGAATGTCAATGTATCAGGTATAAATAGGATGGATATATAATCTCGCTAAAATCTTTAAAGTTAAGGAAGATCGAACAGGCTATCGGTGGACCGTGTAAAAGATGTGTAGGAGATGACGGCTGATAGTGAAAAGAAAGTAGAAGAATGAAACATGTTGAGCAGACTGTATAAGAGCAATGATAAGAGGAATATTAGTACGGGTTATATATTATGTATGTACATACTTCAACCATCTCTACTCTTCTCGCCAAACCGACGACTACAAGACCCAGGTTAGCGAGACGCAATGTGAGTGCTTCGCCGATGCCGGAACTAGCGCCCGTTACCACCGCGACTTTGTCACTCCAACGCTCCATCTGTTGAAAAACTTACCAATAAACCACATCCGAGATTACTGTTTACTAAAAAAGATACGCAGATTTTAAAATTACATAAAACAAATTATTTCAGCTTTAGAAGCAGATTTTTTTTTTAAATTCATCTTTACATTCTATGTTTATGGAAAATGGAAAATACATTAAAAAATTATTATTAAATTCGGTTCACAATTGACGAAAGTATCGCATTATATACACAAAAATACAGCTGAATTGAGTACCGCCTTGAAATCTTTATAAAATTTTTATGTATTTTTAGACAATTTCAAAAATATTACGAAATTTTGGAATTGCAATATAGAAGACTGTTCTAATGAATCTTTTTTAATAATCAATTTGCAATCAAGCAAGTGCCTTTTTTAATGTTGGGAAATGCATTTACGCATATCACCTGTACACATACAGGTTGTTGTGGGACTCACCGGCTAGAAAGTCAGTACTACCCCACTAAAATCCAACAGAACTGGGGATTGCAGGATCGCTTACGCACTCAACCACGATGCTCCCACGGCAGGTCTGCCGAAGCACAACCAAAGGGTTGCTCTCTGTTGTGCCCACTACGACAAAATAAACACATCCGGGGGGAAAAGTAAGTGCCTAGATCTACCTAAATATGACTATTACTTTACTTTATAAAAAAATGTATCATAAATGATAAAACACTTACTTTATATTAACTTTACAATGTGTGGAAAATTACAATACGCTGACGTAATTGGTGTTCTAGCTAGTTTTATCTATGCATATCAGCACTGTTACATAGCCGTTTATATTGAATCATTAGTATTACCGTCTGTTCGTAGCTTTTTCTTGCTTTTATTTCAACTGGCTCAGTATAATCATTACTTAATAAGGAAATTAATATATAGGACGAAGACTTCAATTCATTTCGGAATATTTTCAAAGGATTTATAAACACTAGTTGGTTGGTAAAGGTACCGAAGAATGCACTTAAGCAAAGCGAGAGAAGTCTAGAAAATGGAAAATAATATTTTTTGAAAAGTAACGGATAGTTCTAGAAGTAGAATAAATAATCTTTTTGTTTTATAACATGTAATAAATAAGATCTTTGAACTCACGAGTCACGCCGATCAAGTTGTTTTCACAAGTTACAAACAAAATATAACAATACCTCAACCATGAATTCTTGCTATTGTTAGATATGTATATAATGCATTATAATTAATTTGCAATTAAAAACAGTTTTATAAAATTACTTTGAATATTAAAAACTAGCTATTAGATATAATAATATCAGAGGCGTGAGACACGGAATTTAGATTTAAACCATTACTCGGTTTTCTAAGCGGGCGCATTACCTCTGTTCTACTACTGCTTTTTTTGTTTATAAGATGATGATGTGATGTTCTCCTAGCCGATTCCGGCCATGGCGGCCAATCTCAATGAGATTAGCCAACTGCGCAGGAGATATTATAGTGCTCAAGTGTACGCGCAGACACAAGGCACTCTCTATTCCTATCACTCTCATACTCCGGTGGGACGACCACTCGACACGACCGGTGAGAGTTAAGGCGCAGGACCGACGGCTTTACGTGCTCTCCGAGGCACGGGGGTGAAACACCGCCAACTTCCCAACTCCGGGCTGTTACTGAGACTTACTATACAGGAAGACTCAATAACTAAACTTGGCCCGACCCGGGACTCGAACCCAAGACCTCCGGGTGTGCAGCCGTACATGCTAGCCACTACACCACCGAGGCAGTTAAATAAGTTTAAAGTAGTTTTATAAGATAATGATTAGGTAATTGGAAACATTACGTCTACGTCAGACACGCAACACAGTCTTGATCGACAAAACTGTGAGCTCCTAGAAATTTTCAAGTTTTTTTGTTGATTTTGTTATTTTTCTTTTATTTTTTTGATCGTTTATAATTATTATCAGATGTGTGCTGCTGGTTGGGCTTTACATATTTTGATTTAATTTGATAATATTACTTTACTTTTAAACGAACATCTTAAATTTACTTTCCAAGCAGCGTTCAGTTCTAGTTCTAGGTTGCTGGAAAAAATAGTTAAAAATGCTTACTATTACGGCAAGAAAAACGTTCAAGTAGAAACTGTCCAATGAACCGTCACTTGTGTGTCTAGAATTATAAATGAAAACGCCTGGTTTTATATACAAACAAAAGATACTCTGTTTAAATTTATAGCAATAAATGTTTAACAATACCATTCACAACACTAACTTTTGCACGAATTACCTTGCTGACGTTTTCTTTATTGAAAGGAAGAAAGTGATGGGTGGGGGGTTAGCCTTCTAATGCTTACCTACAGTCGAGTCTAGTAACAAACGCACCGATACAAGTCTTATTGGCTATTGCTAGTTTACGTCAATATTATGTATGATACGATAGGTAGTGGTTAGGCCACAAGTTATAATATAATACTCGTAGTTGCATCGTCGAGCCAGCTTATTTATGACTAGCGTTTTGCCCTCGCCTCTCTCGGGTGCATCCCTAGGTATGTTGTAAATATAAATAGTTATTGCGAGTGTACCTTAGGAGAAAAACTTATGCTATTGCAGATTTTTCTGTATGCCTACAATTTTCTAGTACATTGTTTTGGTGGTTTAGCCAGCGTTAGACATGTAAATTTCTAAGGACGACTCGATAGAACCAATTATTGTGTTTTCCAGTTCAAATTAAATATTTTCCTTTAGTAAAAGGTATACATAACAAAGGCTAAACATTGACCCGAGTTATAATTTATCACTACACAAAATTTAGCGTGAATCGCGCACATCAATTTTTGCTAAGTTACTATTTTATTATACATAAATATATAAGTATATATGTATAGATAAGCAAGGCTCGCACAAAACCTAATTTTCTGCTTTCCAGTTATATTGTGTCAAAGCATCTCAATATTGCTCATATTTTAATCAAATTGGCACAAACATTTGGATGATCAAAAAATAGCAAAACACGGATTCGAACCGAAGAATCTACATCGTGTTTCATAACTAGGCAGTGCCCTGTGTCGATAAAGATATCAGGATTTAGGATAAATTATGCTAAAAGACCTTTATAAACAAGAAAAAGTCCACCCTTAGGTTACGTATATCTATACATATAATAAATGTAACTAAGCCGAATCTGTACAATAAATATTTTTTGGAAAACCTTATTGAAATAGATAGACTTTATTATCGATACAGAGGCCGTATCTATAGTTTTTAGAATTTTTGTCTGTCTGTCTGTAACCGCATCACGAGAAAACCATTGGACAGATTTTGATGAAATTTGATGTGATGATAGCTGATTATCCGGGTAACCAAAATAAAGGATACTTTTTACTGCGGGAAAATATCTCATCTCTGAGAAATCTATACTAAACGTTAAAACGTAGGTAGGGACGAACCCGAGCGGAGCGAGGTTGAGTCGCTAGTTCGTATATATATATGTGTGGTCTGTAGTGACTCGTACTCGCTTTATGATTTGACATGGCAACTACTGCTTGCCTGCCTGTTTATAGTCTGGTTTCTTCTTTAATTGACTTCTTATGTTATAATTTTAAATAATCTAAATTTCATTACTGGCCAAGATTATAGAAAAAAATAGTAATTAACTATTTACTATTAAATATAAGATTCTATTTAATTGACGAATAAAATATTTAATCGCCTTTTTATTATATACTGCCATCTATATATCTGTTGCGAAGACTTCGTGGAAGATAAAAATGAAAATTCCCACACACATTTGTCACATTTATTTGCTTAGCTATAACAGATGGCGTTAATGATTTAAAAATTTACCAATAATAATTTTGGACGTCCCGCATTAGACTAGATGTTTTTTTGGGGCTAATCTACTCGTATACATATAATAAAATTGTAACTAGGCCGAATCTGTACATTAAATATTTTATGGAAAATCTTATTGAAATAGACATTATTATCGACACAGAGGCCGAATCTATAGTTTTTATAATTTTTGTCTGTCTGTCTGTCTGTCTGTTACCGCATCAAGGAAAAACTACTGGAGGGATTTTGATGGTATGGTGATAGGTGGTTATACGGGTCAACCTATAGGATAGTTTTTACTGCGGGAAAATGTCTTATTTCTGAGAAAGAATATAAAAACTGCAATGTAAGAGTATACTAATATGTAAAACCTAAGAATTTGGTTTTTGGTCATCTGAACGCGGGCGGAGCCGCGGACATTGCTAGTTTAATAAAAAAATGCTAGGTATTTGTATAAGTACCTACGTAAAATATGCACATGCACATAATGTATGTATAAGCACAGATCATATAATAATATACCAGATATAAGGTTCTCATCAGAGTGTGGCTTCCTACATTAATACTTACTGAGTTCTCTCGATTCGTATTTACTGTAGGTCAAATCGAGATTCTTGATACTTTCTTTTGGCTCAGTTGCTATACCAGCGGTCGCGGATTCGAGTACCGCTGGGAGCATTTATTTGTGTAATGAACACGAATTTTTGTATTCCAGTCATGGGTGTTTATTTTTAAAATTTGTAATATATATGTTTTTTTTTTGTTTTTATTGACGAGATTGTGTTATGAATATAAATATATATCTATACCTACATATTATAATAAAATTGTAACTAAGCCGAATGTACATTAAATATATTTTGAAGAATCTTATTGAAATAAACATTATTATCGATACAGAGGCCGAATCTATAGTTTTTTAGAATTTTTGTCTGTCTATCTGTCTGTTACCGCATCACAGAAAAACTACTTTCTACTTTCTGAGAAAAAATACAAAATTGTAATGTAAGAGTACCTATACTAATATGTAAAACCTAAGAATTTGGTTTTTGGTCATCTGAACGCAGGCGGTGCCGCGGGCAATGCTAGTATATAATATATTAGATAGGTAAATACTACTATACGAACATTAGTAGGTAATAATAAAAATATACAATAAACAGTGAAATAAGTTAAGTAAAATGTAATTTGACAAAACTTGTTTTTGTATTATATATACCTACAAGTTATTATTATTATATACAAATGTACGTAAGTAGATATATTATGTATCTGTTATGTTGGTAATTTAATTTGATGGTGTGGTACACAGGTAATTAAAATTGATGCTGTGGTTTATTTTAATTCTTAGAATTTTATAATAGAATGTTTTTTTAATATTCGTTAATAGTAAAATACATTGTTGCCAGATGTACTGCTTTTAATTTTTAAGCGAATATTTATTTTTATATGACACTAGCGACACACCCTCGCTTTGCTCGGGTCCGTCCCGAGCTTCCTTCCCAATAAAAATGTTCATCCCCATTTTCAACCCCTTAAAGGGTGATGTCCATGTCCTTTCCATGATCTCAAACTATCTTCTTACTAAATTTCATCTAAATCGGTTCAGTAGATCCAGAGATTACCCTACAACCTCTCAAACTCACAAACTTTACGTCTTTATAATATTAGTATAGATTAGTTGACGTTCCTACTTAATACTTTAAGTTTTGACCGACTTTAAAAACGAAGAGATACTGTATTTTTGCAGGGTTTGAAATTATCAAGATAAATATATCTTTTGATAATTATCGCGATAATTATCAAGATAATTATCAGTAAGTTATTTTGTATATTATACAAAATAACTTAAAGTCATATTTAATATAATATTTCAATACTTATTAGACATACATTTTTTTTATAGTATTTTTTATTTTCTAAAAAAAGATAAGGGTGCATAAAGTAAAAAATGAGTTTGTATCCCAGGCAAATCGGCTTACATAAATTAGTCATCAGTAAATACTTATAATACAACGTCCACAGTACAGTTATTGAATCACTTGTTACGAGTATTTTGCTCGAAAATGAGGTTACGACTGGTATGAGTCATCTCATTACAAAACAAAAAATAAATGAATCAAAATTCAAATTTAATATATTGGGATACTAATACACAGCACCATTTAGTTCCATGGTAAGCTACGAATCTTGTGTTATGGATACCAGATAGTTGATACATTACACATGTACTTATAACTTTAAATACATAAGTACATATATACATTTATATATATATATATATATATATATACATCCATGATGGATGAAACCATGATGAAGTACATACAACATTTGTACTCATCTCACAAATGAATGCCCCCAGGACTCGATCCCGTGACCGCAAGTACAGCAAGCAAGGTCAGTACAAACTGAGCCAAACGTGTCATCAATTAATATATAATTATGTTATTCTTGTGCACATTTTAGCCTATATGTACATTTATTAGTACCTATAATTGACTCAATTTGCATTTATCATATTATTTGCAGAATTGCCATCTCTACGAGTATTATATAAAGCCTAAAAATATTGCGTTTAAAATACATGATACAGAACATAGTACATTCAAAAGCACTCATACATTTGAATAAAATTTACTAGTACTAAGTACTTGTAATATTTCAACGCTGTGGTTTTGGGGGAAGTTTGTATGTCTGCAGATCCGGTCGTTTCGGGCTGACGGGTGGAATGCCGGGTAGAATTCAGTTAATAAGTTTTTATGTTCAGAAATTCTCAGTAAAAACCCTCAACTTCTCAGTAAGAAGTTGAAAAGGTAGAAACGTAAAGCAGTCGAACTTGCACCTGATCAATCTACGTTCGTGTAGAAACTCGAACTGTCGTCCCACCGGAGTTTTGGGACTGACAGGAATAGAGAATGCACGTTGCGTTTGTTCGCATACTTCTACTACTATAAATTCGGCCTCTTTATAATGACTATTTTAATAAGATTTTCCAAAAAATATTTAATGTAAAGATTCGACTCAGTTAGAATTTTATTATAATATGTATATATGTAGATGACACATAGGTATATGAAGTTAAAAATAGTAATAATATAATGTTTCGACCGGTTATTATTACATTTAACGTTACGATAAATGCTGATGATTAAGACTGTTGTAAATGAAGACAGGAAAAGAACGTCACTAGCAATTGTTTAATGACTAAAGTTAAATTGAATAACTTTGATTCATCGTTCTTTGTAGAGGATAAACTCTTTGTAATCACTCTTATCTGCTTCATAATTTGAATCTCTACGTTAAAATCGTAAAGGCATGAATCTATTATCATTTGTATTTTGTATGTGTGTCTATGATGTGACGATTTTTAATCGTTGTTTTGTTTGTCTGTTTATGCTCATAGAAATGTTGGATTTTTTTTCAGTCTTCATGGAAGGGACGATAGTTACGTTAATTGATATGTACATTTTTATGTTTATGTTGAACCAATTTTCATGTTTTTTTTAACAAATAGTGTTAAATGTTAAGAAAGTATTGATGTTTCTTGAAGGAAAGGACTCATTTTTAATGATATACGTATAATATATATTTTATTATAATGTATAAATATACTTTAAAAATACTATACCTACTGCCTTTTAAGTACATTTGAAGTGGTTAAGTACATGACTTTAATTAAAAATTAATTATCAAAAATATTTTTAAGCACACATCGGTACTCACTACACAGTACGACGAGAAACAGTTAATTTTTAATTTAATCTCTAAAGTTAATTCTTAACAGCTTGACCTCTTTGTACAATCTGGCAGCACATAATATTTAATGCGAACAATTTTATAGTGTTTTTATTGGTGTTTGCAATCTATTGATAAAAAGGCAAAAAATGATGTAAAAAAAACAATGTTGTGCAAAATAAATATATTATATAAATATAATATAATCTTATTAAAAAAATCAAAAAAACCCGACGTATACATTCTCTTAACAAAGAGGTCAATTTCTTTTTTTCCGAACATCTTAGAGTTTTCATTCATAATAAACAATACTAGGAAGCAGATTACTCACTCAAATAGCGTTGAACCTTAAAGGCCATTCTCCACTAAAATATAGCATCTTATAGCGCGATAATTTTTTTAAGCTAACATTTTGAACGGATGTATTTTTTTTCCAAAAACATTTATTTTTAGAGAATGTTTTGTAAGCCGACGTATGATGAACGGGTTTGATTAACTACGTAAAGTGAAATAATAAAAACTTTTATGTATGTATATGTTTTTATTATATATATGTTATATAATACATATTTTAAATATACACACGTGTGAGATACATACTAAATGTATATGTTGTACTACCGCCTATCCTCTCCAACTCAACACGTGCACTTAACTCAATTATTAAAAAAAACAATGTACAACAAAAAAACTTAACCAAATATGTTGTTTTGTCAATATCAAGCAAGCTAAAAAAATACTAAGATTCAAAACATTTTATTCTATATTTAATTTTCTTCCGATTTATTGCTATGTAATATATATCCTGCTATATTATGTTATGGAGTCACAGCTTAACTACATAAAAGTGCCTCACAGTCGTCTAACTGGTCAGTTGAGTTTGAGCTGTGAGACGTCAAGCGTTTGTGATAGAATTTATTAAATTAAGTTGTTAGTTAAGGAAAATGCTGCGTCTATCCATTTTAGCTGTACTGGCTGTATGTGGACATGTGATGTCACATACATATCACCTGGGAACATGTCCTGTTGTTGAACCGATGGCAGGATTTGATATGAATCAGGTAAGCTTATAATATATTTTTAAAGGAATTATGTATATACATAGTTATTATTGTGTTTCCACTAACTTGTTTTAGATATAAGTATGGTAATTATATTAAATTCATGCTTTGAACTTTTCTATTTTATTCATTTCTTCTCTTTCAAGCTTTTCTCCGATATGCATAAATAAATATAAATAGTTATTGCGAGTGTGTTTTATTTTCTAGTACATTATTTTGATGTATCTGTTGAGGTTTAGGCAGCGTTAGAAATGTAAATTTCTAAAGACGTCTCGACAGAACCAGTGGAAATTAAAGATTTTTCTTTAGTTAAATCTTAAATGTTACCCGAGTAACAATTTACCACTACACAAAATCTTTTAGTACTTTTTGGAGGAAAAATAAACAAAAAATACAGAAACAATATGTATAGAATATAGATAATATTTTCATTTAGGTACTCTGAAATAGGTATATTGTATCCCGCTCTAGCTTTATATGACTCCTTGTTTTTAATTAGACTCTTTCCAAAAATGCTGACTAAAGCAACAATAGAAGTAAGTTTATATGTTATGAAGGTGTCAAGTTTTGGAAGCACCCAAATATGAGTAGATACATGCTTTATTAGTTATATAGCGAAGAGATATGATAGGACGTTCTAACTTCTAAGTAAAGTTCGCAAATAAATATTATCTTTCATATGCTAACTCTTCAAGAGGAAGATGGATTTCAAAATATCTATTGTAATGTAATGTCTATTCGAGGATATAAATGCTGTCAAAATTTCATTTCGCTCGGTCATATATATATATATATATATATATATATATATATATATATATATATATATATATATATATATATATATGACCGTTTGTTTTATGGTAATCTCATCATTTGAGACCGGTTGGACCGATTTGGTTTTTTTTTTTGAAATATTCTTAATAGTTCAAACAAGAGTTTTAGGGGAAGAAATTGGAAAAATTGCCCTTCATATTGGGTAAACCTGAAAGCTTCCAAAACCTCTATAAAACAATAGATGTATTGTATGAGCTCAAAGATCACAAATTTTATTGAAATTAAAATATAACTAGCGACTCATCCTCGTTTACTTTAAACTTATCTTAACGTTTAATATAAATTTCTCAGAGATGAAATATTTTACCGCATTAAAAAGTATCCTATCTGTTAACCTGGATAACCATCTATCATCACACCAGAAGTCGTCAAAATCTGTCCAGTGGTTTTCTCGTGATGCGTTCTCAGTCAGACAGACAAAAATTCTAAAAACTATAGATTCGGCCACTGTATCGATAATAACTATTTCAATAATATTTCCCAAAAAATATTTAATGTACAAATTCGACTCAGCTAATTTTAATTTTAAAATAAAGCTAATTTTATGTAAATAAGCAGAAAAACAATCAATTGAAAAAGTGTACAAATATTCTTTTAAAAAGAAATAGTAACAAATTAACAATGAATGTCATGTGTAGATGAAACGTGAATCATACTATGAGTATTAAAAAGATAACGGTCGATCATTAATACGCAGTAAACAGAGGAACTTGACCCCATGTCAATATGCACGATAATATTTTAAGTACTTAGGTATTAAGAACATGTGAATTGAAACCTTTATTATATTACTACTGTTTTGTATGTGTTATATATTATATGTTTGTTGCTCATCAAAAATTTGTTTTTTATTTATATCAGACCTAACACAAGAACTATGCCAATCGATTCACAATTAGAAAAAATTTCACGTAAGACAAAAATACAGCCGAAATTGTACCTCCTCCGTACTATCTTTTGAAGTCGATCAAAAAAATTTTTGTTCGACTATTCTAGTAAAATAATAATAACAATAATAAATATGTTGGAACATTAACACACATCACCATCTAATTCCATAGTAAGCTACGAGGCTTGTGTTATAGATACCAGATAGTTAATATATACTACATAAAATAATAGAGAAAATTTGACAACGTCAGAACAAAATTTATTGTGTAATCAAAATTTATTTTAAAATCTATCCGAAAATAGCATTAAAATTGAAGTAATAGTATAAAAAATGTTTTAAAAGACAACAAAATCGAAAGTGCATAATATTACAAGACTTCCGCGATACCATTCAGACAAAGAGAAACCATAGCATTCCCAAGGAGAGTTGACGTCAGGCAGGCGGCCAGTCGTAAAACTTTTGCCAAATCCTATCAGCAGTACAGAAGATGTACTGCGCCGACCTTAAGTGATTGGGAAATGGGCAGGGAGAAGAAGAAGTTGATATACTACACATATATAACTTTAAATACATACATATTATAAGTATAAACACCCATGACTGGAGTACAAAAATTCATGCTCATCACACAAGTGAATGCCCCCAGTGGGACTCGAACCCGCGACAGCTGGCACAGCAAGTACTACAAACTGAGCCAAACGTGTCGTCATACGTTCATAATAATGAGATAGACATTGTACTTTCACTGAATATTTAGATATGTATATAAGCCGTATATCTATCTATACTTATTATAAAAATAAGTCCCCCGGCCGCGTCTTTCTGTCCTCCTGTCTGTCCTCCTGTCTGTCTGTACGCGATAAACTCGAAAACTACTGAACGGATTTTTATACGGTTTTCAACAATAGAAAGAGTAATTCTTGAGGAAGGTTTAGGTATATAATTTATTATGCTTTTATGTAAATTAGCTGAAATACGGCGACAAATGTTGAAGAGGTCGCAAAAAATCTCGCCAAATGGGAACTTTCCACGCGAACGCCGCGTAAACTAGCAAAGATACAGTTAAGTAATGTACTAGAGAATTCAAAATCTATAAAAATGCTACAAAAAAGTCCGCGATAGCATATCTCTATCTCTTACGGTTGACTTACAATAACCACTTTTATGTTAACATTTTTAATTAAAAACATTACGTTATTTTCAAAGTTATTTTCTTTAGTTCGGTATTAATCCTTATCCAAATGAATATTTTAGTTAGCTTAGTCATTTAATGCAGATTAAAATTGCTCTTTACACTAAATCAATCAGATGAATAGTTTTTGAGATATCGTTGTTAGAAGTAATTAGTAGCGAAACATTTTTAATGCTTGGCGAGCATTGAGATGCCTACGGCGAGTCCATCCCCTCTGCCCCGCATCGCTCGACCGCCTGCTCAAGCTATATAAACCGGGCGATGTAGCGCGCGATCCTAGGATACTTTTTACCGCGGGAAAATATCTTATTTCTGAGGAAAAATACAAAAACTGCAATGTAAGAGTATACTAATATGTAACACCTAAGTATTTAGTTTTTGGTCATCTGAACGCGGGCGGAGCCGCGGGCAATGCTAGTATAGTATGTATATAAGCTAAAATATGACTTTTTTAATGTAAAGCAGAATTATTTTAACAATTATATACGTGAAAATTTCAGATGCTGGGAATTTGGTACGTAATTCAGAAAACATCGACCGCTTCACATTGTATCACATACAACTTTACCAGGACCGACGAACCCGGTACATATCACCTGGAACAAGTCTCACAACATTTTATTTTGGGTTTAACGCCATTGGAACATGACTATAGGTGAATATTTAAATTACTTAAAATTATCTAAATTCGGCTAGTTACATTACCTATCATATTGCTGTAGGTACTAGTTAAGAACAGATTTTTTCTTTTCTATAAATTGTATAAATTTTAATAATAACATTTTAACAAAAAGGTATAAATTGAAAAAAAAGACAACACAGACTTCAAAATCACTTTTAAGTGATTATTGCCATCTTTAAGGGTGTTTTTTTGTTATTTATTTATATATCAACCATGTATCAACTCATCAATCAATTAAGATTAACGTTGAGGATTAACCTTTTGATAAAAAAAAATCATTTTGGCGAATATATCGTGAACCTCCTTAAGTGAAGTCTAAGAAAAAAATTCCGAAATACAAGTCTATATCCGTTACTTTTTTAAATATCAACGTCTTCATCAGGTACACTGGAATCCTAACTGTTCCTGACCGCGCTGTACCCGCAAGAATGAAAGTGCGATTTCCATTAAGTAAGTAAAGTTTTCTTAATACTTTAGATTTTTAATAGGGGAAAAAATATTATCTAAGTAGGATAAGTAGATGATTACTGTATTACAATATTGTAAACTAATATTATTTTAAAAAAGCAACTGTTGAGTTTCTCGCCGGCTTTTCTCGGCAGAACTGCCTTCCGAGCCGGCGGTAGATTCCTCACAGACTGACTAGTGACTATACTGACCTTTAATTTAAATGTAAAATTTACGATTTAAAAGTGCTTGTAATAGACTATTCGAATAAAGTATATTTTGATTTGATTTGATCTCTTATATGTTGAAACTATCACTTCCGAAATTATTAAGGTAAATTATAAAATTATACAAGATATAGTAAAAAAAGTGTATAATATGATTTGATTTTATTATGAAATCAGTTTTCATACTTCGTATTTATAGGCTACTTAGATATTCTTAAATCAAGGCGATCTTGGTAGAACATATGGCAGAGTGCTGACCTTGCAAAAATCTAATAGTAATTATTTTAATTATAATTACTGACTATTTTTGTCTTGTCTGTATTATGACTACGTCTTGTCTGTAGATCCTGCTCTTTTCTTAACCTGTTGTTCATTAAGGTTTATCTTAAATAGCAATTCTATCTCTTAATACATTTCATTTATATGATTTTAGGTGTCGCAGGCTCCGCTAGCTATACAGTGATGGCAACAGATTACTCCAATTACGCTGCCGTATTCACTTGCCAGAAACTAGCCTTCGCAAACCGACGTTCCGCAACTATTCTATCAAGAAACAAGGAATTGGATAAGATGTATGTCGACAAGGTCAGTATATTCTTTAGTTATTATTGATTCTACTCTATTTTTTGAACATAAACATAAAAACAGGTATCATGGAGGTCATGTGCTTAATTTTAATTGCTCTTACTTGTTACAATTTTAACATTCAATTTCATTTATAAAAATTGTTTTATGCCATTGATTTAAATACATTTTATTTGTTTAGGTTAGTCATATTTATTCGTTTCAAATTAAAGTCACAACTAACAAATTACTCCTGCCTGGTTCTCAATCTTTTATTAGATAAGTGATATTTTCCTGCTGGTGATATGTCATAGCTGTATAGCTGTTTAAAAATAAAAACGGTTATTCATCACAGCGTAATTGACAGTGATTGTACCTTTTACATAATATAATAACATTAAATGACAGTACATTACAATATATATCTAAAGAGACGCTCCCCTTGGGAGGAAAAATGTACTAGGAAAATTGCTTGATGTTAGAAATTGTTCTTAATATACATATACGTTTGGTAACAAATCCAAGAAAGTTGTAATATATTTTATTTGTTATCATACAGTTTTAAAAAGTAATGTTACGCATATGTAAGAAATAATAATAAAAGCAAGTAAGCTTCCATCCTTTATTCCGTTGGTAGACTGCGTCAAAGAATTATAACCTTAATTGATTGATTAGACCCCCAGAATCCCGATCTGTCACAAATAAGTAACTCTTGAAACTTATAAAATATGAAATTATAGCGACAAGATAGATATCTAAATGTAATGCTGTTACCATAAGTAATCATAGTATTAAATCGATTTTAATTTAATGAACTGCTGTCCAAACTTCAATATTTTTTTCATCTTTGAATTCCTACAAAACTCCAGTATAAAAAGTATTTACCATTTTTGCTAAATTTTTGGGCATTGTTTCTATTATTTATCCTTAAAAATATTATTGCTGTTTTCAAGTGATGCGTCTGCCAACGAAATATAAGAAAATAGACGATATAAGTTTATTTAATTTTCGGTTTCAGATGCGTGCCAAATTGTCTTCATATGGCGTTGATCCCTACGATTTGTCTATTATTTCACAAACTGAGTGTCCCAAACATCCAAATGGGACTGCAAATGGCGTTAACATTAACATTGACCCCGATACTTTCTCGTCACATAACATTGGTGAAGCTGTGAGAAAAACTGGAGGCGCTATTGGTAAGATTCTTGATAGATAATGCTAACTACGATACAAAAACTATAGTACTGCTAATACGGTGAAGGAAATCATCGTGAAAAAAAACTGCTTATCTGAGAAAACTTAATCAGTCCTTAAAGTACGCATACTTCACACATGAAGTTCACCAACTTGCATTTGGCAAGGGTGATGGACTATTGCCAGACCTTTTCTATTAGAGGGAGGTCCATGCTCAGCATTATATGAAAAGAAAAACATGAACAAGCAAGGTCAACTTGCTAGTCCAATATAATTTGCAATTTGCTTACTTGTAGTAACTAGTAGCACCCTTAATCGTTATTAAGAGTTTCTTCGAAGATTCATTCTATACAGTATGAAAATTTATAAAATGCAAAATTTTAAGAACACACTAAAATGCAGCAAATAGCAATACGCAAAAGTACAAAAAATAAAATAAAAAAATCAAAGTAATCCTATTAATTTGCAATTTTAATTTTTTTTTCATTATTTCCAGCTGGTGGTGTCGAATACGTCGTAGAAGCGGGTAAGAAGGTATATCACAAAGTCGCGGATAGCAAAGAAGACCTGACTGAAACGCCTGTTGGCGTTCAACCAATTCGCACTATGGAGGCTGATGCTGAATGGTTACCTTAAAATATAAAGACTTTATATTTTATTCTAATTAAATATCTTATTAGACATAAAAATTGATAAATATTGTAATTATTGTAATAATACTCAGCATTTATCAAAATATGTGCCAAATATATTAAAAAGCATTTCGCTATTTTTATCGCCTCGCTGCGCATTCGACAGCTAGCCTTATCCAACAATGTATTTCTCAAATGGGTGTTCAGTCGGAACCGTTATTTAAGATTAAAACAAATTATCTTCAGTAGAGTTTTTACATACGAAGTATGATTAAATGGAATAAATCATTATTATTGGGTTTCATTTACACTTGACACTAAATAGTTGAAAATAAATCATAACATGCCAAACAAACAGTGTAATACTTTCTTAGATTTACGCGAATGTTTGACATTATTAAATAAAACTATCTTTTCGGATTATTTCGCGGATTTATATTGATTTTTGGTTCCCGACATTTCGAATGCTTTACAGCATCCATGGTCACGGGAGAGACTGAGGTGTTACATGTCTTGAATGTATAGTTGTTACAGACAGCCTACCCACAATTAACAAAATGAAAATTGCACCAATTACATTACAATATTTTTTAACTTTAAACATTTTTATAATTTTAAATATAATTGAATATGGAAAATTATTTATTTAATTTTTGCTATTATTTTTATAATTATTACAATTTTAAAATATTAATTAGTAATCTATATTTAGTGTTGCCATTATTATATTTATAACCATAAAGAAAAATATAAAATATAGTATTAATTATTTACGCTTTATAATTGTTCTATGTGTCATTTAAAAAGTTACAATTAATTAAGGATAATAAGTTTAATTTAGTTTGCTATTATTTAACCCATTAATTCCCAAGGGTAAAAATAAAAGCATATTTATTGGTTTTATTGTTTATTACGTTTATAAATACATCCAAAAAGAGAAAATTATAGTAAAAAAAAATATTGAATTATTAGTTTACATTTCGCAAAATGTTGCGTCTAAGCAACTTTGGGATTACTGAACTTCAATTTTACTAGGAAGTCTAACAACGCTAGAGTATTAGCGTGAGTGAAATATTTTAAAACAATCAGCATGAAGATGTACTTGACATTTTTTACACATATAAATTGTTGTACTTCTACACTGTCGACATCTTCTTCGACGTTTACTTTCCTGCTCTCCTATGACATGACCAATATTATCGAAGCGAATATTGGTAGGTAACGCGTTTTTCGATGGTCTTCCTAGATTAATATTTGAATTACCCAAAAAATGCGAATTATCTGCAAGTTGGGCTTCTTCGGTTTTCATTAAACTTACAGTAACGTAAGATTTGAATTCCAATTGACTCAAAGATCGCTCATTCGCCAGATTGTAAATTTTCCACGAGTTTACCAAAACACTGTCTATCAAATTGATGAATAGTGGCCACCACCACTTTTTCCCTCTTACTTGAATCCTATAATTGGCTATTCCATTATCATGGAGATCTACGCCTCCCATATTTTTATTATAATCTGCTATAACCTGGGGCTGTGGCACATTCACCATCTTTTTTATCTTTCTATCGTAACGTTTTGCTGTAACCAATGGTTCGATTTTTGCGTTGTTAGTAGCCACATTCACCACAGAATTGTCATTCCATCGAACCAACAGTACTTCATATTTTTGGTCAAAGTTATAGTCAAATGACCCTCTCTCTTTTTTCTGAAGACTTTTCGTATTTATCAAGTTTTTATTCATTGTTCTATTTTCTCTAATAGTACCAGTGGCAAAATAGCCTTTCTCTTTCAAAATAGAAAACAATTTATGTGAAGAAAAGAAATTATCAAAAAAAATGCGATGTTTGCGTGGGTCTTCAATAACGGACAATAGGTCTAAAACAATATTTTCTCCCAGACCTAAATCATTTCTAGTAACATTACTATTCTTTCCGCCATATGGAATAAACTGGTACAGATAACCATTTGAACTACATAAGCACCATAACTTGAATCCAAATCTTATAGGCTTTCCTTTGATGAACATCTTGCAACCATGACGTCCAAAATACGGCACCATTTCTTCGTCAATTGACAAGTTGTGTGAAAATATTCCGAACTGCATATTTTTTTGGTTTATTATATTGAAAATAGGACGCAATTTAGCGAATTTATCATTTTGATGCAGATCAGTATTATCACATAAATGAATATTTTCCTTTATAGAGTCGAATTTGTTACGACTCATACAATTTCTTACAATTGATACATTTTTGTCTTCATCTTTTGACCAGTATAACTTCGCAGCAGGCAAAGAATGATATCCAGTCAATAATAATATACCAAAAAATCTTTTGAGTTCTGCTACCGTGAGGGTAAATAAATGACGGTTATGGTCACACGCATATTTTTTTGAAAAACCTACAATCTGTTCCCAAACTTCATCACTAAAAAATAAGGAAAATACTTCAAAAGGTGTTTTTCCACCTACACGTTCTTCAATATTCTGTGTCATTGCTGTTTCGTCACTTGTAGGAAAATGTGTATAAATTGGATGTTCTTTTTTCCAGTCTGGAACATATTTTGGTGACTTCTTCGGCAGTCTTGGCTTTTTCGAAGTTGAAGGACCGGGCTCACCTTGCGTATTTTCAGGCTCTGCGGGTAAATCGGTGTGGATTTCATACGTTTCAGCGATATCAGTGGGCACAGTATTTTCGTAATCACCTAGCGCGTCATCATCTAGGTCTTCCTCGTCTGTAAGATTATCAACCGTCGGGGGGATGTACACGGCATCGATTTGATTGGCATCTTCTAAATCCTTTTCCTCTTCTAATATACTCAGTATTTCTTGAGAAGATAATGCTCGTTGCCAAGCCATAATATTTCAACTTTTTATTCACTGATTTGTGTACACTCACTTATCGTTTTTTAAGAATTACTGTGACACGGTTAGCTTGACGTTCTATAGCCGACTAACTAATAAAACAAAAGTGCTTGTACTCTTTGAATACCGAGGATCCATTGTTTATAATAAATTTCTAACATCAATGGCAAGCTGGGTAACAATAACAATTGATCATTATATCTCCCAACGTTGCGCATATGCAACGCTTTCTAAAACTCTAAGATAAACAGCACGTGTAAGTAGTTTTGTCCAACAAAAGGGTTTATACAATAAATAAGATATTGTTAAAGCTTTACAAAGTGTAAAAAGTATAGCTTTATTTCAGTTAATATTTTTTATGATTGAATGAATCTGTCGATGTTGAGATGACTCAATTAGCAGTTATTGATAAATAAAAATAAAATGTATTATTATTTAAAAAACCATTTTAAATTTTTTTAATCCATCTCTTAGTTTTTCTTCTCGAGACTGGCTTACATGACATAGATTTATTTACTTATTTTAAAAACAAAAAAATAATAATTTAGAAATGTTGCGCTCGCGCAACGATGGGTACAGATGGGTTAAAAACAACTTACTAAGCAACACTATTAATATCTACTTTTACAAATGAAAAATGAAAAATATTAATCTGATAAGCTGTCATTTTGATCTACACAGTATGAACTTACTACATCTGCCTGTCTGTTATGTTTATATTTATTATTAGATTTTATTATATTAATAACAGGATCCCATGACGATGGTAGTACCCAGCCATCTTCCCTATTGAAATTTGGATGTTTTTTAATTTCTATGGCTTCTCGAACCATTCTAGGGCGATATCGGTTTTCTTTCGCCAGGATTTGAGGTCTATCGAAACGAATATAATGGCTTGGGCGGTCCTGGCTATGTTTGCAGACAGCAGATGTTGTATTGCGACGGTGCTTCACATCAGCTATGTGTTCTTTGACCGGGTTCTAATGGATCGCTTTGTTTGTCCAATGTAGGAGAGCCCACAATCACAATCAAGCTTGTAAACTCCTGCATTTTGTAGAGGGATGTGGCACTTGACAGGTGGTAAGAACTGACTAATTTTCTTTGGCGGCTTGAAGTAGGTTTTAATTGAAGCTCGCTTTAGAATGTAGCCAATCTTGTCAGTGACTCGTTTCATGTATGGCAAGACTGCAGGGACGCGCTCGACTGTGGCTGGTTTCACTCGGTCACTGTGATGCAGGCGCGGCACTTGCAGCTTGTTGTCACGCAGAACTTGCTTGACATGTTGCAGTTCTCCGGCCAGGTGTTGCTCGTCACAGATCCCGCGCGCTCTCTGAAACAAAAATTTTCCCACGGTAGCTAACTGTGAAGGATGGTGGTGAGATTCACCATTCAGGTACCTATCAGTATGGGTCTTCTTTCTATACACAGTATGACTCAAGGTGTTATCTGGGTTACGTTTACCTAATACATTTAGGAAAGCTAAGGTATTGTCCGATTCTAATTCCATTGTAAATTTTATTTTAGGATTTATAGAATTAAGGTGTTCTAAGAACACAGTTATTTTATCAGATGGTAATATTGTGAAAGTGTCATCTACATACCGCTTGCAGAAACGAGGGGTCACGGGTGATGTGTTCAGAGCAGTCTCCTCGAAGTCCTCCATGAAGATGTCGGCTACGACGGGGGAGACTGGCGAACCCATGGCCACTCCATCCACTTGCCTATAGAATTCACCATTCCACAGTAGATAGCCGGATGTTAGGCAGTGTTTTAAAAGTTCAATGTATTCTATTGACATGTTGTGATCTAGTAGCTTCCTAGATATTATTTCAATACAGTCTTCCACTGGTAGGCTGGCAAATAAAGACTGTACATCGAAACTAACCATTGTTTCATTGTTCATGAGTTTTAGGTGTTTAACTTCATTGACAAAATTTTCATTTTGTTAATTGTGGGTAGGCTGTCTGTAACAACTATACATTCAAGAAACGTCGGGAACCAAAAATCAAAATAAATCCGCGAAATAATCCGAAAAGATAGTTTTATTTAATAATGACAAACAGTGTACTTTAGTGCATAGATGTACACGATTTATACAAAGATATTCCAGTCTGATATTTGAAGTAGTAGGACATTCATTGTACATAGAACCGTTCATATCTCCTTTGCACTACAAACAACCACTAAGTCCAGTTAGGTGCAAAAGCTGTAATATTTGAAAATACTATAATTTTTTCAGACTGAACCGATTTGGATCAAAAGTTCTATGCTGCCGAAGTATGCTTTTCATTTTTAGGGGTTAAAAATTACCCTTTGTAATGAAAAAAATAATAAAAAACTACATATTTTAGTGATGATTCAATTCAAGTCATTCTTAAATATGTAGAATAAATAAATATTTGTAACAATGCTAGCATGCAGTTCATAATGTATTTATTTGTTTAATTGCAATGATAAAAGGTATGTAAACATTTCTACGTACATACTTTGTATGCGCCAATACTTATTTGATAAAACGTAAAAGAAAACATAATAATACAAACATACACTGTAAAAGAAAACGAATGTCTTGAGAGCATCCGAAACCGCGAAAATATAATATAAGCTATTATAAGCGTCTAAACAAGCCAGAGGACTGTGGAGGTACAAAAAAAAGCTAGTATATACTAATTATATAGTAAGAAATGAAAATTTGTCAATTAAAAATAGATATTAAATGATGAACACTAATAATAAACACTTGCATTAGATAGTGCATTAGATCTGGACTTACGCCAAGTAGTCCATTGGCAATGGCACATTCAGATCACCTGCTCCCTCTAATAGACTTGTGACGGCTAGTTATTCTGGAATATATGGCGAAAGATTATAAGATACTATGCTAAAATACTATGTAATGTATACCGTATACAAGTTCATGGTGGTTATATAACCTGCAGTGATTACAGTTACTTCCTTAGTGCTAATCTTATTAGATTATATAATAGAAATGCTATTTGTTGGTGAGCGCATCACTTGAGAACAGGCTAAAGGTTATTTTTTTAATATTTACACACACTATTGATGATGTTCTCCTAGCCGATTCCGGCTACGGCGGCCAATCTCATTGAGATTAGCCAACTGCGCAGGAGATATTATAGTGCTCAAGTGTACGCGCAGACACAAGTGCACTCTCTATTCCTGTCACTCTCATACTTGGGTAGGACGACCACTCGACACGACCGGTGAGAGTTAAGGCGCAGGACCGAGGCTTTACGTGCTCTCCGAGGCACGGGGGTGAAACACCGCCAACTTCCTAACTCCGGACTGCTACTGAGACTTAATATACAGAAAGACTCAATAACTAAACTTGGCCCGACCCGGGACTCGAACCCAGGACCTCCGGGTGTGCAGCCGTACATGCTAGCCACTACACCACCGAGGCAGTTATAGACACACTATAAACACACTGGGAGCGGCCCACCTCGGTGGGCGGTGTGTCATGTGGGTTAATCTTGGTACTTTTCTGATAGCACAGTGGACCATAGGAATAACTCCTTGGTTGTGTGGTGTGCTTCGTCAGACCTGCCGTCTCGGCGTCGTGGTTGAGTGAGTAAGTAATCATGCAACGCCCCGTTAAGACATCGGAGAGAGAGAGAGAGAGAGAGAACAACTAATTTTTATCTCTCTAACAAAAAAACGGACCCTACGAAGCGCAGAGAAACAGCTGCTCTATCGCAAAATTCTTAGCTGACATCTCATATCTATAGTTGCTAAATTATAGCTTCATAAGTAATTTTTAAGGTTTAGTGTTTACTGTTTAGTTAATGGATTAATGAGTGACTCTTTATATAAATACTTGTATATTTTACTAGCGACTCACGCTCGCTTCGCTCAGGTCCGTCCCTAGCTTAATTCCCCATACAAGCATCCCCATTTTCACCCCCTTAAGGAATGATTTCATTTTTTTCATTCGATTTTGATGATAAAAAGTATCTTTCCCAGGGTCTCAAACTATCATTGTACCAAATTTCATCTAAATCGGTTCAGTAGATCTAGTTATTACCACTACAACGTCACTAACTCACAAACTTTAAATCTTTATAATATTAGTATACATTACCATCATATTTTCATATTACTACCGCGGTAGTTGGCACAGTTTGTAAGAGCTATTGTAAAAGTTATTTATTAGTAAGTTTATGTCAATTCCATAGAAATTTCGAACACTAAGTAAAATATTTAAAAAGTTTTAGGTTCTTTAGAACCAAAATCGATGTATTTTATTCTATTGCATTATTTATAGTACCCATAATATTAATAGGTGATAAACACAGTTGGCTAAGACGGTAATGTATGTGTCAAACCAATCAGACAGTTTGGCCACGAGCGTTGGCTGGGCATCGGTTCCCAGCACGCTAGAACTGCTAATTTTTAGATCATAGTGTTAAAATCTAGTATATTTAAAAAAATATTATAAATAAATAAAATATATAAAAATCGTATAGAAGCCTTGTAAGTAACACTATATTGGTATTTCGTAACAAGTTTTGTATTAAAGAAGTGATTTTCGTGGTTTTGGGCATATAAAAGCTACAATGCGTGGTAAGTACTATATTTTTTTTAATTCTGACCGACTCAAGAGAGACCATACTGTATTCACCGGATGGACAAATGAAGGTTCTCATTACGTGGAAGAAAACATTTCTCTAGGGGCGAAATATTTAATTATAAAGTTTTAACTTAAAAAGTAAATTACAAAGTTGAAAGTATACCTACACTATACGTACTCTTACTTTACTATATCTAAATATAATTAAATGAAAGGTAAAGAAGTTAAGAATTTCTAATAGGTACCACTATTAATATTTTTGTTCAATTTGATTAACAAAGTAAATAAATTTAAAATTAAATAACAGATAATTAAGGATTCTTTTAATTATTTTAGTGTTCTGGTTAGCGGTGGTGTTACTGTATGTAGGTGGAGGAAAATGTGCTTTTCGAAATTTCGAAGCTCTAAAGACAATCGTAAATATAGGTAAGTTAAACTAAAATAAAATAACTTTCAAATAAGGTATCTATATTTAATATTTAAAAATATTTATCTATTACTCAAAAAAAAAGACATATATACCTAAGAAGTAGGTATGTATTGTGATGAAAAACTGTACCTACCTATTGATGTCCTCAAGTGCTGTTTTTAGATCGACTTCAAATTATATATTCTTTTTTAATTTATAAATAAATTAGATATATGTAGGTACTTAAAAATAGTTTCACATAAATTTTAAGAAATAAATTATGTATGGGATGTATACTAGTATACTGTGATCGCAGATCACATAATATAGGCAATTATTATGTTCCAGGTGTAATTTTACCACCAAATACCGTAACCGAAGTGGCTTTCGCATCAGCTCTGGCAAGAGCGTCGATGGAAAGTGAAAAGTACAATTTTGCAATGAAAATAGTTTATGCTCCACATGGAGACAGTTTTGCTGCCTCTAAGGCGGGTAAGGCGGCTTTCATAACCAATGCCATCTTAAATATTATTTATATCATGTGTTTGTGGTTCTACCACGCGAGTCATATTTTAACTATATCATAGACAAAAAATTAATACTTTAAATCCGAGGAATTTTAAATATGAGTAAAACCGCGAAAAAAATTATTTTAAACGTCAAATATTCGCGTATGTCTAATAAAGTGTATATAACTGGCGTAATTGTAATTCATTGTGTTCTTCACTGCTAAATCGAATTGCAGCTAGTTTGTCCAAATCATGGAATCTTCCCGGGAAAATCTGGACTTGAACTCAGTTCATGACCAAAAAAAATATCAGCCCCTTCTCTCAAGAAATACAGTTTATCCACCATAATATAGATATATCGTTAATTATTATTTTGTTTTTCAGCTTGTGACTTGTTAGGTAGCGGTGTGATAGCCATTTTTGGACCAACTGACGCTACTTCTGCTGCCGCAGTAGGAGCCCGATGCCGAGCAGCTAGAGTACCTCATATACAAGTAAAATTATGCTATATTATATATATAATTTATTATCAATATGCATAGCATTTGATACAGACACTGTTAAAAGTATTTAAATTTCCTTAATTCCAGTTTTTTTTCTAATTTCTTTCATAATATAAAAACCGTTATTCTGACTTTACCCATCAAGTAAAATATATTTTAGCAATCATTATAAATTGGTCTTGGTTATTTGTTTATTGCTTAATGAAGCTGATTAAAATATATAGGAAAAAAATAGTCGTCATAGTAAATCCGTGGGTATCGGAGAACTGTAGGTACATTGTGCCGTAGCTACTAGTGCTTTACCCTGGATTGTTGGTTCATGGTGGCTTGCACTAAAGTATAGAGTAACATAAAACGTTTATTTGTTAGGTATCCTCGTTACCCCAATTATAACTTGACTAGTTATACAAGTAAAACAAAGTACCTGACTATTTTATTCATACTACTGTTAATTTTAATTAATATTGTAATTTATATTAAAAAAAAACATTAAAATCAGTTGCATGAAAACCTACAAGAAAATGTTTCTGATAGGCTATATGGCAACCACCTTCAGTCAGAGGAACGGAACCTCAGAGTCCACCGGGCATTAATTTATACCCTGAAGCCGTGGCCTTATCAAAAGCTGTCGCTCTATATATAAAAGACACTGATTGGATCACATATACACTACTCTACGATGATGAACAAGGTAAATACTTATGCAAATGAGAAAATGATTAAATATTTTCTTCCATGAGCAAAACAGGTATGGACTAAATATTTCACAACAATTTTCTCATATATGCAGTTCATTTACAATGGCCCATTAGTCTAAAAGTAGCATTCGGTGCACTACAGAGTCTTCTTTCTTACGAAGTAATTCTAAATTATATATTAAATCAATTTAGGTAAATTCAGATTTTAATTAATGGCTAGATTATGTACCTTTATAGTGTAAAAAATGAAATAAGGATATTAGTTTGCAAAATAGCTATCTATTTAATCTTGGATCTCCAGTTCTATTCGTAATCATCTATTAGAAAACAGCTAAAAGGTTGTATAAAAAATGTTGAATGTTAAATGGCTACCTGGAAAAAAGACACTTCCATGTGAGAAATAAAAAATGATAATGTAAATAACATACCTAACATTTCAGGTCTAATAAGACTGCAGGAAGTTCTTAAGTATGCAGATAAAGGGCATAAGTGGCTTATACGTAAATTGAAACCTGGAGAAGATAATCGCCAACTGCTGAAATCATTGAAAGCATATGGAGAAACCAGGGTTATTATCGACTGCCCTTCTGACAGAGTACTCGATTATTTACGACAAGCATTTGAGGTCAAGTTCTTTGAAGATTACATGGTAAGTGGATTAAAAGGGGAAAATCAAAAGGCTTTAAGAATTATAATGAAAAAAGAACTTATTTTTGCAATCGATAAAATGTATTGTGATTACGTATTTTGTTTTAGAGTTAATATTACAAAATACGTAAATAAAAACAACACAATATTTGGTGGTACGAAAGTCGAAAACTTCGGCGTCCGAGTCGTTAAAATTCAGCTGCAAAATATATTCGAAAATCGTTTCGGCATTACGAATATGGAAAACTGGAGGGTTTGTTTCTTGGTCATTTAAACGCATCAAAACGCGGGAACACGATAGTATATATATAAGATATATTATTATTATTTATCACCCCTCAGCCCACCACACACATAATTATAGTCATTTTTTTATCAAAACTTGGGATCCATGGTAGAAAAATTTGATTTATTGTTCGTTAACTACTTCTTTTTTTCTGTATTTTATATTATACAGAAAAAAGAAGTAGTTGAAGAACAATAAACAAAATATTTAATAAAATTAAAACACTAATTTCAGAGCTACGTACTTATGTCACTGGACGCACACACATTGGACCTTCAAGAGCTAAGACAAGGACTATCAAATGTGACGTGCCTAAGGATATTCGACCACTCAGACTCAATAACAAAATCTTTCCATGCTGATTGGAAGGCTAGAGCGTCGTCGGATATTAAAGTTCCTCGACAAACACATGAAATAACTGTAAGTTATCGAACTACTATAGTTACCTACATATGCGAAAGTTTGTATGTGTTTTGTGTGTGTTTGTGTATATCTTTATAAAACAGCTGGACGGATTTGGATGCTTACTACACAAATAAACTTTGACCTGCAGTAACACAAAAGCTGAAAAGCACTTACGGACGCACACGAACGAAACCAAGGTAAGTTGGTATACAAATAGTATAATTTTATATATCTTACTTTAATTGATTAAAACAAATTAGTTTAATCTTTCAATTTCGATATGTGCTCATTACACTAATATCATTAATGCGAGAGTTTAAAATGACTAATATCTCCTTACGCTGCAGCAGCAACGAATTGATTGGAATTTGAAATGGACATATCAGATAGCTTATACCGTGTACTAACGCATACAAATCTTTGTACTAACGTACCATGCAAGTGAATCCGCAGATTTTAGTAAAAAATATTCCATGTTACTTTTACATCATACGTTAGTGTAATCTATACTTATAATAAAATTGTAACTACGCCGAATCTGTACATTAAATATTTTTTGAAAAATCTTATTGAAATAGACATTATTATCGATACAGAGGCCCAATCTATTTTAGAATTTTTGTCTGTCTGTCTGTCTATTACCGCATCACGGAAAAACCACTGGAGAGATTTTGACGAGATTTGGTATGGTGATAGCTTATTATCCGGGTCAACATATAGGATACTTTTTACCGCGATTAAATGTCGCACTTCTGAGAAAAAGTGCAAAATCTGCATGTAAGAGTATACTAATCTGTAAAACCTAAGAATTTGGTTTTTAGTCATCTGAACGTGGGCGGAGCCGCGGGCAATGCTAATATGCAATATTTCCTACACAATACTAGATAGACTTTGTTTTTAACATTCTTTTTAGGTCGAAGCAGCCTTAGCTAGTGATGCTGCACGTTTGATAACTGATGCTATGATACATGCTCCAGAAGAATTCAAAATAGAAGCACAGGCAATCCAGTGTGACTCAGACGATCAGTGGGAAATAGGAGAAGAGTTTAACCATCATTTACTAACGGTAATTAATAAATTTTCTTATTTATAAGGAAATTATCTTTACTTCCTAATATCTGATATTATTCTTATATAAATATCGTTTTTCAGAATCCAATAACTGGTATCACCGGTCGCATTGCTGTGGACAATACGACTGGCGAACGTACAAATTTCGACGTAGAAATAATGGAACTATCCAACAGTGGTTTCAATAGCATTGCAAAATGGAATGCTGAATCCGGTTTCCTATATTCTCGATCAGCAAATGAAGTATCTGATCTCTTAGCGGAGAAATGGCAAAATAAGACCTTTAGAGTCGTGTCTCGTATAGATGCTCCATACTTAGTTGAAAGGATCCCAAAAGATGGCGAAGTTTTAACCGGAAACGATAGGTACGAAGGATACTCAAAAGATCTAATTCATGAAATATTGAAGGAGACTTTACATTTAAACTACGTACTTGAAATTGTCCCAGGCAATGGGTATGGATCTTACAATAAAGATACAAAAAAATGGGACGGTTTAATTGGACACCTGCTTGAGAGGGTAAGTAAATCGATTATTGAAATACAAATATTTTTTAAAAGTATATACGTTTCAGATATTCAGTTGTTGTCTTTGCAAATATACGATCTTCTAGTTCCCCACCTGTCATATGAGTGACGACCTCAAGATTATACTTTGTATTTAAACCATAAATCTAGTTCGCTATTGCGGTTTATTTAGTAACGAGGATGGGTATGTGTTTTAATGATAGTTCCTAAAGTATTTAAAACTAGCCGCTCACCCTCGCTTCGTTCGCGTTCACCTCTGGGAAAACAAAAACAAACCTATCCCACAGGAACCGTAATTTTTTCCAAGATAAAGAGCCTATGTGTTATTCCAGACTATAATCTATCTCTGTGCCAAATTTCATCCAAATCCGTTCAGCCGTTCTGGCGTGATAGAGTAACAAACATCCATATATACTAGAAACTTTCACATTTATAATATGAATACGGATTAATTAATATTTTTTGTTAACAGAAAGCAGAGTTAGCTATTTGCGATCTAACTATAACCTATGAGAGGAGAACTGCTGTCGATTTTACAACACCTTTCATGACATTAGGAATCAGCATATTGTATTCAAAACCAAAACCACCAGAAACTGAGCTTTTCTCGTTTTTGAAACCGTTCTCTGTCGATGTCTGGATTTACATGGCTGCTGCTTATTTGATGGTATCACTGTTGTTACACATATTGGCCAGGTACGTTGTGTAGATAAAAATGGAATTTATAAAGTTAAATTTAATTTATAAATATTAAAAGTCATATTTAGAAACTTAATATAGGTATATTTCATTTATTATGTATACATGTAGCATAAAATGAAAATTTTTGTACATTTTTTCCTCTTGGTACTTAGATTGGCTCCTAATGATTGGGAAAATCCTCATCCTTGCGACAAATCTCCAGAAGAATTAGAAAATATTTGGCACATCAAGAACTCCTGCTGGCTCACTGTTGGTTCTATAATGACACAAGGATCCGACATTTTGCCTAAGTAAGACCATTATATTCTAGGTATTGTGCAATTTTATCTTTCTTATCTTAATTATTTATTTCAATAAAAAAAAATGTTTGACTTAATCCATGTTTTTTCGAAATTGTGCAAAATTACTTTGAGGGTATCTTTAAGTAGAGGTTTAATTCGTACAGATGACATCACATTCTCTTCTGATGTGATAGCTACTTGAGCTACGCTAATGGAGAAGTTTTCATTTTTTTATGTATTAATTAAAATTTAAGTTAAAAATCTCAGCAAATGAAAAAATTATGAATGCTTGTAAGAATAATTTTGTGACGTCACATGACCAGAACAACCGAAATTTTAATTATTTTTTTTGTTATTTATGGTAAAGTTTGTGAATTGAGAGTTTGTGACGTTGTGGGGGGTATCTCTGGATCTACTGAAACGATTTAGATGAAATTTGGTAAGAAGATACTTTGAGACCCTGGGTAGGACATAGAATACTTTTTATCCCGGAAATCATCCCATAAATGGGGTGAAAATGGGGATGAAAGTTTGTATGGGGAATCAATCAATCTAGCGAGGGTGAGTCTGGAGAATACGGCGGGTGGGGTAAGCCTTCCCATTTCAACTTTTCTAAGTATGTTTTGACAACTCTTACAACACGAGGCCGAGAATTGTCATGTTGCAAAATTACTTTATCATGTCTTTCAAAGGCAATCGTCGGCTCAAACGCATTAATTGCGTTCGATAAAGATCTCCTGTGATTTTTTGAGACGGTTTTACCAGCTTATAATATATTACACCGAGCTGGTCCCACCAAACACAGAGCATAAACATTCGGTTTAGCCGTAATCGCAGAAGCTTGGCCGGGATATCCCCATAATTTTCGGCGCTTGGGGTTATCGTAAAAACCCATTTTTCGTCACCAGTCACAATGCGATGCAAAACTCGTTTCCGTTTTTATCTTTCAAGCAGAAGTTCACAAATACAGATTCAGAATTCACAAACAAAAATTACCACTTCCCGCAAATGACGACAATTCGGCTCATAAATAGACCTTTTATTCGAGAATAATTATATGATGTAAACACAAATCAACTACTGTTGCTATCAGGTTATGTTCACAAGATACTAAAAAGTATTTTAAGTCGTCCATAATGTATGTACTCGACGTCTAATTATCGCTAGCATCATCTTAAAAAAACGGCGGGAGCAAAGTTGTATACCTTAATAGTTTTAAGTTTTCACTTCTGTCGACAGTCCTCATGACTGCTTTTTATATATTTTTTTAACAGAGGTTATTCCACACGATGGGTGTGTGGTATGTGGTGGTTCTTTGCTTTGATCATGTGTTCGTCTTACACCGCAAACCTTGCAGCGTTTCTTACTAATGCGGCGATGGACGATTCTATAAAAAGTGCTGAAGATTTGGCCATGCAGACTAAAATCAAATATGGGGCGGTAACTGGAGGATCAACATCATCTTTTTTTAAAGTATTACATATATTACTTATAGTACCTAATAAAGATTTACAAACATATGAGTAAATTTTAGAGACAATACGTGCTGCGTTTCTCAACACCCAAAAATTAATGAATGACGTGTAAATTTTTCTTTTATCTCGCATGTTAGAAGATGTAGCTAATAATGAGAAATAGATATGCAACCTTTTTTATTACTTAAAATTTTGGTGCTTATTGATTTGTTGAAAATTTTACATCCTACTAACTAATATTATAAACGTGAAAGCTTCTTATAATGTATGTATGGATGTATAGACTTATGGATGTTTGTTATTCTTTCACGCAAAAACTACTAAATGGATTTTGATAAAACTTTACAATAATATAGCTCAGACAGACAATAATATAGATCAGAATAACACATATACTACTTTTTATCTCGAAAAAATGTACAGTTCCCGTGGGATAGATTTGTTTTAGTTTTTCTATAGGCGAACCTGAGCGAAGCGAGGATGAGCCGCTAGTAGTTAATAAATATTTTAGCGTTCGAATCACTCAACTTATCAAAGGATGTGGGCAGCCATGGAGTCTGCTCGGCCGTCAGTATTTGTCAAAAATAATAACGAAGGCTTAGAAAGAGTACTAAAAGGCAAAAGAGGATATGCTTTCTTAATGGAATCCACAGCTATTGAGTATCAATTGGAAAGAAATTGCAACTTAATGCAAGTTGGCGGTCTACTAGATTCTAAGGGATATGGCATAGCTATGCCGTTTTGTAAGTATATCTGACTTTTGTTTCAAAATTATTTTTAATTCTGGCGTCCCTTTGTATCACTTGAGTGTATCGAAATAAAAAGTATTTAATGGCTAATTTCCAGACTAGACAAGTCTAGAAATCATCACGATTTCTTACTCTGTAGCTTCGTCTGTGAAGGACAAATCAACAAACAGTCATTTGCAATTATAAAATTAGTACAGTGTTATAGAAATACTAAAGTACGCAACGTTCTTACGTAGTGCATAAATTATTTTTTTAAAGCCTGTGATAGCCCGTGTACCCCTATTTAAAAACTCCAATAGGATCTCATCAAAAGCGACAAAAGCCACATAGAAACCAATAAATATTTATTGGTTTCTATTGGCTTCTATGTGGCTTTTGTCGCTTTTGATGAGATCCTATTGGAGGTTTTCAATAGGGATACTGTATAGCCCATGATTTGATAAAAATATATTTTATAAACTATATAGAATTACCATCTAATATAACTACTTAATCTTATTATTTAATATAACATTAATCTAATTTAACATAACTTTGACGCTGCTGGTGTTGGCATGAATAAGCTAACTTTACCAAAGAATTTCTCTTATCGCGTTTTATTCGATGAGAGAGAATGCTGTAATCATTCGTCTTTTTTTCACACTCTCTTTCCTCTCAGTTGTCAACGTCCATACTATATACCTACCTGTTGCAGCTTACTTAACCTGATGGTACCTGATGGCAGGCTGTATGTAACTTTGTTTACAAAACCTTTTGTTTAATAAGCAATATCACTTTAAACTTAAATCCCATCAGTACTTCGCTGCAATAATAAAAATTATTCTTCGAAGCCACCGCTAATGTTTTATAGGCGAATACTATGAACTTTGTTCCTCATTTCTAATGAAGTTGTAACTGAATCTCATGATGTTTTATTAAAATATTATATATTCTATTTTTAGATTCTTCATACCGAACGGCAGTTGATAATGCGGTTTTAAAATTAGCTGAGAGTGGTAAATTAGTAGAACTTAAAAACCGATGGTGGAAGCTTTCTGAAAAGGAAGCATGTGCTGTAAGCATCGATTAAAAAGTTACTAGATACACAATCCCATGTAAAAGTTCTCTTAAAACTGTCACCAATTGTGTTTAGGTAATTATTATTCTAGTTGAAATAAATAAACAACAATATAAATTGAACCTTAAATACAAAGCTTAAAGTTGTTTTCACAAAAAAAGATAGAAGCGCGCTCAAATGTTTCAAATGAGCGCTCATTCGGTTAGGCTATTTTTTGTCACTGATTGTGTATCTAGTATATTTTTTTCCTTGGTAGTAAGTATATTAAAAAATACTGAAATTACTAGAATATCATATCAAAGAAGTGATAATATTCCTTACTGAAAACTAACATTTCTAGAACTATTTCAGATAAACCATGCAAAATGTTCCTAATGTTCTATTATGTAACGGACTTAAATTCGTAGTGTAGTATGCACAATGACATACAATATACATAGCAAGACTCGCAGCTATTATAAAAAAATTACATATGTATGTCTCCGACTGCATAAACTAGTTAACAGAAATAAATATTTTCAGGCCGAAGAAGTTGCAGAAGATGCAGCGGCAGCAGAATTAGGTGTAGATAACGTTGGTGGTGTATTTGTTGTACTGGGCATAGGTTGTGGTATGGCTGCTGCGATGGGAGGTTTCGAATTTTTGTGGCACGTGAGAAGTGTAGCTGTTGAGCAAAAGGTCAGTAATTTTGGAATTATTTATATACTAACTAGCAGAACCCGCGGCTACGCTCGACAAATTTCAAGTAGTTTTTATCATAAATATTTTTGGATTGTATTATATAGTGTTTTCCCGTGGGAATTAGGTAGTCTCCCATGGTAAAAAGTAGCCTACGTCACTCTCCAACGGTCCAACTATCTCCACACAAAAATCACGCCAATCTGTTACTCTGTTTCGACGTGAAAGATGGACAAACAAACAAACAAACAAACAAACAAACAAACAAACAAACAAACAAGCAAGCACACTTTCACATTTATAATATTAGTATGGATATATATGGATGTTATTGAAAAAAAATTACGTTCATTTTCTTATTTGGAATCTACTAATTTTACGCTTTAGAAATAGATCGTACAATTATACACTGGCGTGCAAAAAAATCGGGCCACCCTTTAATTTTAAGCATAATTTTTTGTTGACAATTGTTTGGTGAAAAAAAATACCGCAAAGGTAATTAAGGAGATTAGACGCCTTTGTTTCCTTCAAAAAAGTCATAAAATTCCTGGAAATGCACGTGTGCGCTTAATTATAGTCAATTAGCAGTAATTAGTGAATATTTGCATAATATGGATTGAAGCCACAAATACTGTTTTTTGTTATTAGCTTTAGCTTTTAGTTATAGCTTCTAAAGCTTAGTTGAGTTCCAATTATTGAACAAGAGACTTCTACTTTGATCTGCGATTATTAGAAATACTGCAAGATGGATCTGACCGAGGCTGAATCATCTCGAATTGTGACTTTGCTTGAAACTGGACAAAGTCAACGTCAAGTGGCTCAAGCTTTTTCTGTGAGCCGTTCTACGGTCCAGAGAGTGTACAAACGTTACATAGAGACTGGTAGCTTTGTACGACGACATAGTTCCGGCCGACGAAGAGCCACATCAGAGCGTGATGATCGATTTACTGTGTCATCCGCTCTATGAAATCGTCATCGCACAGGGTTTGACGTTCGAAATCTCCTGAGAGAAGTGAGAGGTGTTAATGTTAGCGAGTGGACAGTAAGGCGCCGACTTAGAGCCGCTTCCTTGACGCCACGCAAGTCCACAACTGGCCCCAAACTCACACATCGAAATGCAAGATTACTTTTTGCCCGAGATCACGTGAATTGGAATTTGGAGCAGTGGAAGAAGGTTCTTATTACTGACGAAAGCAGAATGTGTTTGTATGGTGCCGACGGCCGTAATTTTGTTTACCGGCGACCAGGTAAAAGATATGCACCATGCACTATGCGGGAAACAGTGTCATATGGAGGGGGCTCAGTTATGTTTTGGGCAGGATTCTGTTACGAAGCGAAAACCGAGCTTATATTCATAGAAAATGGATCCCTTACAGCCGCTATGTATATAACGGAGGTTTTAGAAGATCATGTGATGCCTTTTACTGGGTTCATTGGAGAAGATTTTCTGCTTCTACAAGATAATGCTCGCCCACACACTGCTACATCAGTAAGGCAGTATCTTCAAGAGGTCGGAGTGTCGACTATTGCCTGGCCAGCGCGAAGCCCTGACCTCAACCCGATAGAGCATGTATGGGACCATCTCAAAAAAAAAGTTAGAAGTCGCGTAGTAGTCCCGAGCAACATTCAAGAATTAAAAAGCGCCTTATTGGAAGAATGGGAGTCTATTACACAAGATTATCTGAAAAAGTGTGTCAAATCTCTGAAAAACCGATTAAAAGCTTTAATTAAAAATAGAGGCGGTAATACGCATTATTAAAAATCATAAAACCAATCGAAATGTTTTAATTTTCCCATTAATTTGCGGCTTATATTTTTATGCGAAACTCGTGAAAAATCATTAAATTTGATTTTCCTCTATTTTCGAGCAATAATTTTTATTTAAATTATTCAACGATTATTGATTTAGGTACCTAGGGTATACAGCTACCCATATATAATAACAAAATTAATAAAAAAATATCATATCTTAAGTTTGTCCATTTTCTCTAGGTGGCCCGATTTTTTTGCATGCCAGTGTATATTTATAACAATATTTTTCAAGAACAAGTAATAAAAATAAAACATTGTGATAGAATTTGGTCAAAGACTTTAATAAAATCACGACATTGTAAAATCATGTCTTTTGATTTTTGGTTTTATCAAGCTTCGAAGTTCTAACTTTCACTCGAAAAGTTAAAATGGTTGAAAGAATGGCTTATATCAACTACAATAATTCTAACCTAACTCTTTATATTTATTTTTCTAGATGACTCCAACAGAAGCATTTTGGGCGGAACTGGCATTTGCATTAAGTTTCTGGGAAACAGAGAAACCCGTGCAGCATTCCCGGTCTTCATCCTCAGCATCTGGATCAAATATAGCTTCGAGAGCCTCATCTGTTCTACGATCAGCAGTGGACTTGTTCCACCTTGATGTATTTAATAAACCAAACTAAATTAAAAAATCAAAATACAACAGCTAATACTTACACATATTTAAATTATAATTTGTCTTAAAGTAAGCTGGGTTTAATGAGCCCTAATATGAATTTTTAAAAAAACTAGGGCCTTTTCTACAGAATTCCTTCTACAATTGTCGAAATATAGAATCCAAAAAAATATACATATGTGGCAGTGGGAATGACATCCTTATGAAGTAATAAAATATAAGTAGCTTAATGTAAAATGTTTCCTTTTATTATAAATCTCTCTTGTTTCATTTAAAATACAACGTCAGAAAAAAAATTGCGAGAATAAAAAACTTAATTAAACAAACAATCAACAATTTATTGTAAATAAATTAATTATAAATTTTATTAATAAAATTAAAATAAATAATTTTATTCTTCAAATCATTCAACAGTTTTGAGAAAAAAACTCTATGGTTGCGATTCACTCAGCTTCCAATACCACAGACTTAGTCCAGTAATTGTATAACTCGCGTCATCTAAAAAGAACGCTGGAAGAAAGTGGACAGGGTATGTTTGTGCATGGGTATACTCGCGCACAAAAGTACTAAGCCTATTATTTTATTTTTCATAGCATTTCGCTCGCGGCTTCATATATTAGTTATTGGTAGGGACATTGAAAAATATATTAGATTGAATATCATTAAATAGAATTTTATTCATTATTAAAATATGTTTGATTCAGTGTCTATTAATCTACTTACAAAAAATTTAATTAATACGTTTAATACATTTTTTTAATTATTAACTACATTATTATCAGACTCTCTCTTTGTAAAACAATATACGTCAAAAATAATTTTTCTCTTTTCTATATATAAAACCATTTCGTAATTAAAAACTTTTGTGTGCGCGATGGTATTTCGAACTGACGAACCAATAGCGGGTCGGCAAGTATGCGGCGCGTGCCCCGCGGACCCGCGCCGCCCCTCTCCGCCCCTCTTACCACTAAATCGCTTCTGCGCAGCTTGACAGCCAGCGTTCATTTTAGATGACGCCAGTTATACTGAAACGTTCTTTGAAGGACGCCTATAGAATTAATAATAATATGTTAAATGGTATCATTTGTAGTAGTTACGTATATGTATAAAAAACGTAACAGTAACTTAACAGTATATTTATTTTAAAAGATAATATTTATGTTTAAGAAATCCAAAAACAATATTTTGATATTGTTTTTATTTTAATGAATTGTTTTTTTTTTTAATTAATATCTAAACTTGTTTTAAGGCTCATAAGTTCCATTCCTGGATGTTGAAATTATTGTTACATGAATTACTTATTATGAACGATAACAAGTAATGCTAAGAGGTATTTTTCCGAACCATATGACAATTATCTATTCAAAAATCATTTATTGAGATCGTAAAGAAAAAAATCTATGCATATAATAAAACTAGAGGTTGAATGTCTGTACATAGAAAAAAAATGCTAAAAACCGAGTCAGGGGCATGTACGAAGAGAAATAGAACAAATCCAGATTTAATAAAAAATGTTCCTCTGTCTGTTTGTCTGTTTGTACGGGCTAATCTCCGAAACTGTTGGACCGATTTAAATGAAGTTTTTCTTGGTGGTACCTTATATCAACGGTCAAAATTTTAGATACTTTTCATCCCGGAAATTTAAAGGGTTCCCGTGGGGTAGTTAAAAAACTATAGTAACTTATACAGCTAAGTACACAAAAATTACTGATTGGATTTTAATGAAACTTTACAATAATATAGTTCATACATCCTAATTACAATTGGCTACATTTTATCCCGGAAAAATGTACGGTTCCAGTGGGATTTTTGTTTGTCTAATAGTGTTGAATAATTTTAGAATTTAGCTTATCTACACAGGGCCCCTGTGATCCTTACGTGCCCAGGGCCTCCAAAAGGTAAAAGACGGCCCTGTAAACAACGTGATATCATCAATAATAATTATTCTAAAGCGAAACACTTGTACAAATGAATTTGGCCATTATTATCTTCTTCATAATCTAAATGAGTAATTACTTAATTTAAAAATTTAAATACGTATTAGGAATTATTTTGGAAATAATAACCAGGTTTTGTTTGGTTGAAAGAAAATAAATGTTTAGGTACTTAGGTACCTGGTACATATTTTTGGACGTTAATTATATGTGTGTAATGAGGGCGCCACACATATGGCCTATTTACATTAAATCTGAGATTAGCAATTTATTACAAAATCTCTTTTATACTTAGTTTTTTGCTTCTATTGTGTTAGCATCTTACTTGTGCAATGTATAATAATTGGATGTTAGACCAGCTGAATGAAGATTGAGAAGGAGAGATGAATTCTGTGGTGGTCCGGACTGAATGATGGATCAACACCCACCATAAACCGCTGTTCGTAGAAACGTGAAATTTCGAGAACGTATTCCTAATATGATGTAGGCATCATCTAAAAAAGTATTTTTCGAAATTTACACCCTAAGAGGGTACAATAGGGGATAAAAGATTGTATGAAACTGTCATTTTTAATGTAAAATACACAGAAGAGTTAGCTTTAAGATAAAAAAATAAGAAATATATTTATTTGATTTTTTTGGAATTAATCCTTAAAGGGATAAAAGGGGGTAATAAAGTTCATATGGGCAAAGAATTATTTATGAACAGAATTACTAGAAACTTGGTATTAATGCTCTTCAATATAATTAAATACATACGTGTTTTAGCATTTTTAGAAATTCAATCCCATAAGGTGTTATAATGGGGGATGGTTTGTATGAAACTCTGTACAAAAAAAATATATATTCACCTATTGAAGATTTAAGTTTTAAAATCACTTTCTTTAAAATGATGTCCACATAGCCTTAATGTAAAGATTGTGACTTCGCCAATTTTGGTCGTCTTATTGCTTTAGCCCACAATTTCTTCAGTTTTTGTCTTTTGGGAACAAATGATATCCATTTTCTTTGCATCCTGGCATTGCACAATCATGTCATTTTAATTAAATGAAAAAATCCATCCACACTACAGAGCTTTACAATATACTGAGGGCCATAGTGATCGCGACATCTTGCGGGAGAAAAAGGCAAAATTTTTCCCCATTACTTAAGTCGTCTAGTGTATCACACATGAGACAAATTTGTAAAAAAGGTTGTAGATCTAAGGTTATAGTAATACAAAAATATAATGTACATCTCTTTAAAATGTTTAATACACATTCATTATAACTTAAAATAATTAATCTATATTTATTACTTAAAACATAAAAAAAATATTGATCCTCAGCATTTGAGGAGCTGAGAAGAATTATTGTAATTCTGTATTGGCTAAATTTCAAAATTAAAATGAATTTCTCATATATTTTCTCCATTTTAAATAATACAGTAAATGAGTTACAATGTTATTCCTCATATTAATATAATACATTTAGTTTGTTTATTCAATTGCCACAAGAACTTTACTTTTACCACTTGATTTGTATTTAAAAATCTTTTCTTTCCTACGAGACTTCCAATATTTTGTATCTTCTTTTGACAGAACATGTTCCCCACTTACTGCCACTGCATTTACTTTATCTGTGTTTGAAAATATGTTTTCTTTTATAAAAATATACATAGCTTAAAAAATCAAACTCAGATTCACACTTAAATTGTTGAATAGGTGAACAGATTTTAATATAATTTAATAGCAACCTATGATTGCAAGTTATACTGTGACTTTACCTGCTTATCATGCAAGCAGAACTGTGGACAAATTCGTATTTACCTATGGCCTAATTAATGGAACTTTAACAATTTATTTAAATATATAACATAGAAAATTGTTTTTTGTGAATTATTCATAATATGAATTCACTAACAAAGCTTTTTATTAAGTCTTTTACTTCTTTTACTATAGCCTGACTTTACAAGCATATGCCCAAAATTCTGATAATTAAAAAAGTATAGGATGAATTGGTACCAAAGTCCCATGTACTTTAATAATTGATTTACTATATGCTTCACAATAAGGCTTACCAATTTCACTTAATTCTTCAATATTTTTGTCCACTTGACGTTTTTTGTGTTTATGAATTTTCTTAGATTTCATGTTATGTAATTCTGTATCAGTATCCTTCACTTCTTCGCATGATAAGAAACATTCAGAATTCTTAAAAAGTTTAACTCCACCTTTGATTTTTCGTTTTCTAAAATCATAAATGAAAAATATTAAAAAAATATTTCAAGTCAATACTGATTTATTGTTTTACTATTTACCTACTTTATCTTACTTCCTTCAATATTTATAAATTCTATATTTTTAGCAATGAGAGCAGAAACTTTGGCTCCAATCCGGTTTTGCAACTCATCTGGCACTTTTATATCATTGTAATGTGTAGATTCTTCTAAATATCTCTCAGAACGAGGTTTGTCTTTAAAATAAAAGAAAAACAAATAATTTATGATAACTTAATATACTTATAAAATATATTTTTAATTATTATATTATGTCAATTACATAATTACAATTTAATATTATTATATTTACAATACAAATTTTCGTAAAAAGCAGTACCATTTTTTTCACTGTGCCCCGGCGTTTGATTTTTAGAGTCGTTTATAAATTTAACAAATGTAGTATCAACAGCTTCTCTGAAACGAGAAAGATCTTCTTCTTCTGATGAATCTGACATGTTTCTATAAAAATTATTAATTTTAGCAGTATTTTTGTTTACATTTTTATGTAAAATGTCAAAATACACGTGCTGTTGACGTACCTATTTTTATTTGTCATCCATAATAATTTTTAATACCTACTATAAGTCCCGAAAAGTCAAAACTCAAAAGTGAAAAGAGAGACTGTCCACCGACGTCTATAAATAATCTTTCAAGTTTTGAGGTGCAGAAATGAAATAAAAGTAATATGGTTTGTAAAATGAAATTTGTTTCCTTCTTTAGTCACTTATTATTCCAATATTTTATTATTTTTATAATAATTAGGGATAATATCAACAAATGGTATACTATTTGTTGCTATTATCCCTAATAATTTTATAAAATTCAGAACGTCTTTAAAGTTTATATTTTGTATTTTGTTAAACTTGAAACTATGTCAATTGTCAAATGTCAGCATCAGCTGTCAAGAAAATATAATTTGGGGGTTAGGTTTTTAAAAATTAAAATACTAATTAATAATTAAATAACAAATTGTGATTTATAAGTTTATAGAAAATCAAATAACAGAATTATGTCTGAATACGCTAAACCCCCCGTTGATCCAGATTTAGCTAAATTCTCGGAAAAGAATGATTATGATTCTCTCGCGAAATATTTAGTTGGAAACATATATAGATACCGAGAAAATATTATTATACCTAGAATATTAGGACCCGTAATTATAAAAACAAATGAGGAGAAAATGATTGAAGCCACAGTAGAAAGCTGCCCATTTAAATCACTAACTAGTTGCATTATTGGTAAGTCTTATAATTTTGTATGAACTTCTGTTTTATTCAATATAAAATATAATATATGAGTATGTTATTTTATATAATAAATTTACAAATTTTACATTGTTGTTTAATATTTTTTATTATATTTCTTTTTTTTATTAAATGATGAATTATACTTGACTATTAAATATTTAACAATACATAACTTTTATAAATTTTAGGATATGGACTTGGAGCAGCTGTAGGATTGTTCACTTCATCATTAATGCCTAACATGACAGACCCAATGGCACAGCAGAATCAGACAGCTAGAGAAATATTGCGAGAAATGAAAAATTCTATGTTGAGCTATGCAAAGAATTTTGCCATGCTCGGTGCTGTATTTTCTGGGGTAGAATGCTGTATTGAAAGTGCAAGAGGAAAATCTGATTGGAAAAATGGAACATATGCTGGAGGTGTCACTGGAGGACTCATTGGTTTAAGAGGTATGTTCTGAAATTACTTTTATTTATAACATATCATTAATATTATTTAGCTCTTCTTTATAATAATAACCTAGTTATTTTTAACTAATGAAATAAATAAATTTGCAACCAACAACTTCCAAATCATCTATATAATCAAGCATCCTACTAATATTGTAAATGTGAAAGTTTGTGACTATGTATGGATGTCTGGATGTATAGACGTATGGATGTTTGTTACTCTTTTATGCAAAAACTACTAAATGGATTTTGATGAAACTACAATAATAGAGCTCATACATCAGAATAACACATAGGCTATCTATGGCATATGTTCCTGGCAAGGTATATATTAAAAAAAACATTGCATATGCTTTGAAAGTTTTTTTTTATAATAATGAAATATTTAATGTTAAACTTACTTTCAGGTGGTTTAAAGGCTGGTGTATTTGGAGCTGCGGGATTTGCTGCCTTTTCTACAGTAATTGATTACTACATGCACCAGCGTGGATAATAGATGTGTATAATTAATTTATTTTATGTGATATGTGTTAATTAGCTAATAAATAGAAAAATCTAAACATATTTTTAAATAAATTTTATACCTCTGTTTTATCCTATTGTGTTTAATGAATTTATCTACAAATCATACATAAAACAGCTTTAAATTGAATAAGCATCATTATAGTACAACAACCCTGTTGACATGATCCATGGAATGTGATAGAATGATTAAACTTATATTATAGCCTTTGCATGAAAATGCAGCATTCTTTTTTATTCATCTATGATGCACCATGATCGTTAGTTACACAGACCAGGAACAAGTTATTAACCTGTCAACGACTGCCGAGCCACAGGCGGCTTGGTTAACAATTAATTTCTTAGAATTTAACCGCGCGGTGTTAATAATTAGTTGATATTTGATTATTATATATTAACTAGCATTGCCCGCGGCTCCGCCCGCGTTTATATGACCAAAAACCAAATTCTTTGGTTTTACATATTAGTCTACTCTTACATTACAGTTTTTGTATTTTTTCTCAGAAATGAGATATTTTTCCTCGGTAAAAAGTATTCTATATGTTGACTTGGATAATCAGTTATAACCATATCAAATTTCATCAAAATCCGTCCAGTAGTTTTTCTGTGATGCGGTAACAGACAGACAGACAGACAGACAAAAATTCTAAAAACTATAGATTTGGACTTTGTATCGATAATAATGTCTATTTCAATAAGATTTTCCAAAAAATATTTAATGTACAGATTTGACTCAGAATTTTATTATATGTTTAGATATTAGATGTAATGATGGTATTGCCACTACTCATGGACAATAATTCTTTTCTAAAATATTAGTATGTAGTAAGTTTACTAATTACAGTAAAAAAAATATATTTCATGCAATAAATATATTGTTTTTATTTTAAATTTGCTCTTATATGTATTAAAAAAGTGAAATTCAAAAAGTATTTTTAACTGAATAACCTAAATATTTATGAAGTAGCAACACCAACTTATACAACAAAAAAAATAACGACCGAAAACGGAAAAACGAAAACGTTATGCGTGTGCGTGATTGATTTTTACTTATAATTCTCAAATTATGTATTGAAATGTGTGATTTCTTGTTTTAAACTAGTTCAATATTATACAAAGTAGAAGTAGAAGTGAATACTTTTATAGTGCGTTTTATTATATCGTCAAAATGAAAGATCCTTTTGTGAACGACTCTGGTATCGATTCTCCCACAAGAGATAGTTTAAGAAATGTCGAAGGATGTTATAATAAGAATATTTTTAAAGGCAAATCTTTTGCCAATTCACGCCGTGCCTTGCAGTCGGGGGCTGAAAAGATCTCACGGACATTTAAGAGCGTTAGAAACACCTTCGGGAATTTGTCACAGGTAATTTTTCTTCTATATATATTCATATGAAGTGAAAAAAATGTGTTTCTACCAATATATGTATTAAAAATTTTACATGTATAGATTTTGATTGAATTGATCAAAATGTCACGTACTTTAGAGCTGTTTTTAATTTGACGCGTTCTTTATATTTATATAGTTTTTAAACATTTTTTACTAATTTATTCCTTTTTATACATAGCATTTCAGACTTAGTGGTAGACGTAGACATAGGCTGACGGAGGCAGGCTCTCCATGCCGAGTCCCAACCACTCCTGTAACTAAGAAAAAACTGGTAAAATTTTTATCTAAGTCTATTTTAATTGCTTAAATTAATTTCTTTTACATTTAAAATTACACTTTACAGTCTACACTGGAGGTTTCAGGACAAAAGTTTTTCTATAAATTGTGGCACTTTTTTGATATTGTATTATTGATTTTAGATATTACTAATTTTACTGTACATAATTTTTACAGATATCGATACTTTTGTGCCTGACTAAAGGCATATAATCCTTACAAATATTACTTTAAGTAGACTTGCAGGAAATCACAATGGGAATAAAATAATCATTCAGAAAGCTATCATGCATAATTAAAAAAAAAATCATTAATTTTGATATTTTATTTATCCATTCTGGTCTTAAAGATAGATTATATGTATCACTTTTTGTAAAGTAAGATGAAATTACATTAGCCATTCAATATTGCTTTGTAATACATTATTTTACCATTTCATAATCAATATATTTTATTTATAACTCTGTGTTCTCACACATTTTCCACTCTTTACACTTTGCTATTTCCTACACCTAAAGGTTGCCTGGAAAAAATTGCTATTTTTTATTTTAGCAATAAGGCCGCCTCTTGTGCACTTTCCTGTAATTGTATCGTTTTTATCTTCTTTTTGTGAGTTACAAACTTACTTACAAAAAGAATAATTTAAATAAAATTATATTTTAATTCATTAATTATTATTATTTTAAACATGCTTAAAAGAACAATGTTTTATTTTTATTTTAAGTCAAATTAATTTTTACAAAGAATAATATTTTTAATTTATTTTTGTAGATATCGGGTAGAAGTCCAACTAAGCTGTACAGTCCCTTTGGAATAGAAACACCTCATAACCGTGACTTCAGGATGTCTCCTTACATGCCAGACACTCCAGAGCATGGGTATTTTAGTCTTTTCATTATTTATTCTGACATAATATATTTTTTGAAAATTACATATTATGATAAAAAACCAGGAAAAATTAAAATGGAAAAATTAGTTAATATTTTTTTAAATTAAGTATTATTTAAAGGTTAAATCATTTATCATATACTTATCACTTATGTTCGCTATGCTCGGATGTTTCCCTAGGTATATTTTAAATAGTTAGGTTGGCCATACATGGGCAGCTTGAAGTAGCTAGTATCAACTGCTTCAAGCTGCGACCACATGGCAAACCACAGTCTTCTATGTACACACACATACATATACATAGCGCGGGGAAAGTTCATCGTGCGGTCAAGCATTCGCCAGGCATACATTGACTGCTCGAGCTGTCGACGGCTGTCGCGCTGTTACCTCCGTCAGCGCTCATCATTCCATGTCGTTGTATAACAATACCAGACCGATATCGGACCGAGAACGGACTGTGATCGGTACTATAGTGTGGAGCGGCCCTTATAGATGGTGTGAATGCACTCATTGTTTATTGCATAAAAATACTTCAGCGGACTGATATCAGACCGAGAACGAACCGTTAGCGGCACTATAGTGTGGACCGGACCTAACTCTCACCGCAAGTGTCGAAGTATCGTCCCATAGGACTTTGAGAGTGAAAGGTATAGACAGTGCACGTTGTGTCTGCGCTCTCTCTCACACGCGCTGCGCTATAATATCTCCTGTAGTTGGCTATTCATTGTAAGATTGACGGTCATGGCCTAAATCGGTCAGGAATCAGGACATCTATTGAAATTTTTTTTTTGAAATGATTTCTTATTTATGAATGATTGAATTTCTTTTTCTTTCAGAATATCTCCAAAACGACGCAAAAGTGTAACGCACTCTTGGCATATTTTGGCGAAAAAGCGACCGCGGGCGCTTTTCCCGTAACGTAAAAATAAACATACATTTATAACAAAATATCCCACCGCTTATTGTAAGTAAACTAGCTTTGTTTATTACACTGACATTGATTTCGCGCCTAAAATTAAATATAGCGGCATTTTAAAAATGACGTAATTTAAATTCGATTTTTATGACAAATTCGAATGTATTGTATATTAAAGTTTTTAAGTGCTTTTAATTAATTTTAACCCCTTTCTAGTTTTAGGCGTGAACAAAGTGAGCTGAATTTAATTAATAGTATTATTTTGTATGGTGCTATGGAGTTTCGTGAGCGCTTCTCAAATAGAAAGGCCTTCTATGGACGGACTGATTGTCATTTTTATACATATATATAAAATTTAGCGGTTTTTAAACATTCCGATATTAGATTTTTTTTTATTATTACATTGAAATGTTTTTACTAAATAGTTACAATGAGTACCTATTGTGGGACCATCCATAATAACGTATAAATAATTCTGTTTTAACATCCCACTGCTGGGCAAAAAGCTTCCCTCAATGTGAGAATAAATAGGTCATGACCCACCATGTCATCGCCCACTAGCATAACAGTTTTTGTTTTCTTGAAATTTATTTAGGTTTTTCTATTGAATTAGGTTTCATAATAATGTAAGCAAGTGGTAATCATGGTAGGAATGAGATATGAATATCTAAGTGATATAGTCATTGGAACCTGCTTACTTGGTTCTTCCATATAGCATTACCAATACGGCAATACCTCTAGTATTTCTATACATAAATGAATCTGTAATCAAAATAATTTGCCAAAAGCAGTGAAAATGTATCGTAAATACTCAGTCGATTCTCTACATCTATGGTCTAATATAATACTCCTTTAATGATATGAAATGTATATATGAAAATATCACAACGTTAGAGGGAGATAACAACTGCTTTCTGTCTCTTTCCTTACTACTCGACCTCTAAGTGCGTATGTATCGCGAATTTAGTACGACAATTATTTTATCGCCTGGATACCTTAATTATTGTTTTATAGATAATCTGTTTACGATTTAAAAAAAAAAATGGATAACAATCCACAGATTAAATAAATAATTCAGAATATCGGTCTCATTTTAGTTCTACGTTTTGCCGATAGGGAATATGCTCACAGCAAAGTCGACTTATACACGCACAGTATAAAATTATTAAGTGCATATCCAGTATTAAATACGCCAAAATGTATTGCTTGTATATCTCTATACAGTATTTACGCTTTATGTGACAATATTTTATAAGCTACTAATTTAATTTAGATTTAAGATATAATTTCTAATTTTAAAGAAATGATTGAAATGACATTATTTTTCAGTTTAAAAACCAATGATTATTTTTTTTATAATTTTTTTATTGGTTTAGCTTCTTGAATATTTAGTTAAACTTTAGTTGTTTTTGCTTATTCAACATCCACTATGACACTAAATTACTTCTTTATAATATGCTTTTAAATGCTTCGTTTGTATATAGGTACCTAATGTACAAACTAAGTGTGTAAACAAATCCGTTTTAAAAATCTTTGCAAGAGACCTGTACTTGCAATGAACAACATTGTAATTCAATGACGAGATAATTTTAAAATACGAACGATTTTTTCCATATATTTTAAGTCTAAATTCAAAATTGGTACAATACTGAGTTACAATATTTTATTTTGCAGGTTTTTTTAGTATTGCTCGGTTTTAAGTCTTAGATAGCTATATTTTGTCTATCATTTAGACAAAAACTATTGTTTTTTCGACGCGAGAAACTCGATAAAAAAGATGAGAAATGTAACTTACCATAATTAATACATAAAGTGTAATTTTTCAACTTTTTTATATCCATTCGAGGTTCGATATTAATATCTTGGGAGGCAAGAAAGTAGAAATTCTTTGTATGAATCCCAAACCCGTTTTAGTTTAAAAATATTTAGTACTTTTTTGAGGTCAATATGTTCCTTAAAATAAAAAAAGACTTTATTTAACTATTTGAATAGCTTTGAATGTAATCCTAAATAAGAAAAATCGTGGTATTTTCTTATAGTTTTTTTTGTCATTTCAATCATTCTAGTGTCATTTGTTCGTTCATTCAGTAGATTCTATGAGGATCATGTTTTGAGCCGAGTGAATGTAAACTTTAATCATTCGTCTTTGAATGTAATTTTTTATAAGGGGCCATTCTTTAATTACATAAGGGTTCTGTGTGAGAGAGGGGGTTCTCAAAATGAATGGGGGGTAAAAGTCATTCTTACGTCATATTTATAAGTCGATATTTCCAATTTCTAACATAGAGTGATGGATGTCTGAGAGCTAAGCGATGAGGAAAATAACTCTTGAGATCTATTTTTTCTTTTTTAATGTAAAATTACAAAAATAAAAACCTTGGATTTACCTCAAATTATGAGTTTTAGTGCAATTGATCCTTTTCTAAAACCAGATAAAAACTTACGTAAGAAGCGGGAGGGGGAGTGCGGTTAATCTTATTGCTCTCACAAGGAGATAGGGGGGGTCAAAATTGTACTTATTAATGAGTGGTCCCTAGTTTAATTGATAAAATAATTTTATATATAAAAAAGTATTATAATATTATACCGCACACCTAGATAAACTAGTACAACACAAATTATCTCTTTTTTCAGGAATAGAAAAAGTGGTTTTACTCTTTTCCTATTTGATATATTATTATAAAGACTCCGACGAATGAACCTCCTCCATTTTGGAAGTCGGTTAAAAATAATCTTATGTGTTCTTGTATATAATTTTAGGAAGATATTTATTTGATCAATAGCTTTTCATCAAATAGCAATATCACTTGTAAGAAACTAAATATCAAACATATATAGACCTAGATATTTATTTGGAACACCAACTAAACTACTACATATTAAACACCAACGATCCCAAAAATAGTTTTATTTTTTCGTGTTAAATTAGTAATCAGGACATAATCATATGGAGTTTATGTAGTTTTTAACGCAGATTCCGTTAATAGTAATAACTCGAATTTGGATTATTTGGAGTTGTGCTAGTCTTTATGTAGGTGTGCGATATTTTGTATGCTCAATGTTGCACAATAACGTTATACAAAATATCCACCGTATATTTTAAAATGTTCCTGTATTTATAGTAACCGTACAAATATTTTCGCTCTTTTTGGATTAAAAAAACTTTTTTAAGTAGTTATTTTTAAATATATTTTTAATATCATAAATAAGACTGAATGTCTACTTACATTTAGATATCGACTTTTATTATGTATTATTTTTAATCCGGAGCATTTTTAAAAGATTTTTAATTTGGTGGTTGAAAATAAGTCAAGAAAAATTTGTTTAAACAAAATAAATCTAATAATAAATACTAACCCTTAAAGATAAAAGAAAAGAAATTGGCGTGATTTTAGAATGCATGCCATTTTGCAGCCCTTTTTAATATTAAAATAGTATTCATTATGCAAGAATACCAGATTTATATATGTGGAAGATTTATTTCCTCTACAATTTAAAGTAACAGCATATGATTGAAGTTGTATTCAGCTCTTTTTAACGTCGCACTGCTGGGCACGGGACTCCTTTCAGTATCAGGCCATAGTCCACCACGCTGGCCAATTGTGCGGGCGGACTTCACATGTCTTTTAAGAACTTGCTAGGTTCTCTCAGACATGCAGGTTTCCTCACGATGTTTTCCTTCATCGTAAGACAAGTGGCTATCATGTTGGAAATGATTAGAACATGAAAATATCAGAGGTGCGAGATACGGTATTTGAACTCGCTTCACTCGGTTTCCCAAGCGAGCACGTTACCACTGGGCTCCCATTGCCTTGAGTGATTGAAGTTACTAGAAAGATATACATACTAATATTATAAATGTGAAAGTTTGTGAGGATGGATGTATAGATGTTTGTTACTCTTTCACGCCAGAACGGCTGAACGGATCTGAATGAAATTTAGCATAGAGATAGGTTATAGTTTGGAATAGCACTTATGTTACTTTTTATCCGGGAAAAAGTACGTTCCCGTAGATGGATTTGTTTTTGTCTAGGGACGAACCCAAGTGAAGCGAGGGTGAGTCGCTGTTATATTATATAGGCTTGGTTACTGAAAGATAGTCTTTTGTGAAGAGGTTAGATCTTATATATTTAAAATTTAAAAACATTGTAGGCGAATGATTTGTAAGATCATCATGCAAAAACGAAAATGACTACTTTTTAATAAATGTCAGTTACTAGGTTTCGAAGCTCAACCGAACTAATTCACTTTAATTTTTTTTTATTTAACACTTCCGTCCTTATTGTACAAACCTTTTTTACAAATGAAGAAAAAAATACTTTAAAACTTAATGAAATAAAATTGATCTACTTTCTACCATCAAATTAAAATGTATAGATAAATGATTATTTTTATTTTATCTGTATTTTCAGGCTATGCTTAGTGTATCGTGTATAATGGCTATTTATATTTAATAAACTTTTTTACAAGTAAAATTTGTTTTGATTATTATTTCTATTTGTAAGTGCACATTGTTTAATTTTCCTACTCCCTCTACTATTTTATTATTAAAAAAATAACCTATTTAAAATTCAAACAGAAGCATTTCAGGTTTAAGTCGAATGGAAGTAGAATCGAACCCACTACCTCCGAAATTTAGGTACCATTCAATTCAACGATTTAGGACTAATGGAGACCATCTATACAGAATCACAGATAAATAAAATTGATGTGTCTGTGTGTAAGTCAAAATAATAGCTTTTTACTGAATGCAAATGAAATTATATACGGTATTTATAAGAAAAACACAATTTTTAATTTTTTTGTCTATCTGTATTTCCGTTTGTTCCCGCTAATCTTCGAAATCGCTGGAATAATTTTGACGGTACTTTCATTGGCAGATAGCTGATGTTATAAGGAGTAACTAAGGCTACTTTTATTTCAGAAAAACAATTAGGGTTCCGCTTAAAAAAATTAAAATGAACCGTATGTACGTCCGTACATAAATATTGTAATAGTTTGAAAGCTTAAAATAAGAGCAGTTATTAAATTAATTACAAAAAAAAACATTTAACCGATTATTTATTGATAACAATTCCAATTGTAAGTTTAGAAAACAAATTTAAAAAATAAGTATGAGAAATAAAACAAAATATGATAATTAACTCTTTATAAAAACTTAACATTAACCTTATTTATGAGTGCTTCGCGCACTATTTATGAGGTACTAACAGTTGTCTAAACGTCATATTAAAAGAGTAGAAGATTTATGTAGCAAGTTCCACGGCTTCACTCGCTATTTATGTTAGCAGTAGAAAACTTCAAAGAAATTTTCATTACTAGCTACTCCACCTGCACCGTTTAGGTTCGTCCCTAGTTACATTTTAACGTTTAGTATACATTTATCAGAGATGAAATATTCTCCCGCAGTAAAAAGTATCCTATATGTTGACCCGGATAACCAGCTATCATCATACCAAACATCAAAATCTGTCCAGTGCTTCTCTCGTGATGTGGTCACAGACAAGACAGACAGAAATTCTAAAAACTATAGATTCGGCCTCTGTTTCGATAATAATGAGTAATTCAAAAAGATTTTCCAAAAAATATTTATTGAACAGATTAGACTCAGAATTTGCTTATATGTATAGATAAAGCTTTCATATATATATATATTCTTTCTGTTGTCACTAACATGATTTTAAATACCATGTTTTTATACTACGACAGTATATAAGATTAGTATAGACTAATTAGTACTTTCTTAGATTTACGCGAATATTTGACATTTTAAATAAAACTATCTTTTCGGATCTATTTTGATTTTTTGGTGCACGACGTTTAAAATGCTCGTGAAAAAAGTGAAAAAATCGAAAAAGATTTTATGAACGTCATAACTTATTCCGACTTCGGCGTAACGCAAAGGAAGGTTATGTGTTTGACCTGTATGTACATATATATGTATGTCCGATCCTTTTCCCTCGCAATTACTATACGGCTCAACCGGTTTTAATGATTCATACGTCATTGGATTCGTCTAAATGACATTAGTGTTAAAGGCTTTATGGATAGGTATTATTAACGATCATTGAACAAACTTTAAAGCTTTGCTATTACACAAAAAAAGAATGACAAAGTAATTGTATTAATCAAACGTACGTGTGTGTGTGTTTACCAATTATATGCTGATAAAACATGTCCTCTACTGCATAACATTATTTTCCTTCGTTAACTTATTCCTTTCTTTTTAGTTCGATTTTTATTTAAGATCTTCATTTATAAAGAAGTTACTATTAGACATTAACTTTGCCAATAACTACTAACAATTAGGGGTGTATTGCAAAGCGAAGGCTCATCACTAGTCTTTATACAAATTTGGGCTGTCAGCGCAAATGTCAAATACCTACATTAAACTTTGTAGCCATTAACAAAGAGTTGAATTGTACATTCGACTTTTGAGACTATATAAAAATGGTAAAATTATAATCATATTTATATATTTTTACTGTCCCATTGGAACTAGATTTGACATACAGATAGATTATTTCTTGGATACTTTTTATAATAGTTGATCCATACTTAATATTATAAATGTGAGTGTTTGTTTGTTCTTCCTTCACGTCGAAACAGAGTGGGGATTGGCGTGATGATGGAGAAGTGACATAGGCTACTTTTTACTGCGGGAGATTATATCATTCCCACGGGAAAACACGATACAATACAACCCACAACAACTCATCATACTTATGTATATATCTATATTCTATACAGATAAATAAAATTGCAAGTGTCTGTTTGTAATGTGCATATGAAATTATATGCAGTACCTACTTATAAGATTTTTTTTTTAAATGTAAATGTTTGTTCCGGATAATCTCTGAAACGGCTAGACTGATTTTGACTGGACTTTCACTGGAAGATAGCTGATGGGATGGGATGGGATAGGGAGTAACATAGGCTACTTTTATTTTAAAAAAAGGATTAGGGTTCCGCTCAAAAAAATGAAAACGTACCCGAGCGAAGCGAGGGTGAGCTGCTAGTAATATATATGTGTAGTCTATCTATTCCATACTAATCATTAAAACGCAACTAGGGACGAAGCCGAGCAAACCGAGGATGAATCAGTCACTTATATTAATAACTCTTAGTACTGAATGTACCAATAGATGGCGCTATCCAAGAACATTAAAAGGCAGAAAGTTATTTAGTTACGATAAGCGAGTGAACCTGTGGTGGCTAATTTTGACAAATCCTCTATCATTTCAAATACGATTGTTTTTTATAACATTGTTCACTTTTACATGTTCTGCTCCAACTATCGTAAATATATTCACATTATTTTAAATAAATCACAAGTTTTTTTTAAATTTATGAAACTTCAGATTATTCTATTTATTTTCTATTCTCCTACTTCAGACTATTCTTTAAAATGATTGTAATTACAAAACGTCTTCGTCAACTAAATATTCTGTTTTAATAAAAAATAAATTCTTAAATAGACTTTGACTTACTTTGAATAAACGGAGATAAAATTCACGAGTAACTAAGAAACAGTATTGACTACTGTTTAAATTCATTAATATAATATCAATTGCCAAACGAGTCTTAGGGGCTTGTATACATCTTAATATATAAATTTTCCATGTCACGTTGTTGCTCCACGATGAACTCCGAAACTAATTAGATCTTCATGTATTTTTTTTAATATGTAAATTGCATTTAAAATATAGGGTAGTTTTTATCCCGATAGTTTCCTTTTTTATTGTAAAATGAACGTTTTTAATGTGTGCCACAGCAACATGTGGCCGGATCTACTAATAAATAATAATGCAAATATCTAAAGTATTCAGATTTTAAAGGACATGTAAAAGTAGACATCGAAAATTCTAGGAACGAGTTACAATAATTCCATGCGTTAATTATAAAAAAACCTAACTTTTACAATCAACTAGAAAACGATATTGTTCTTATTATAATTTGTTTTTTTTTGCCATAGACTAAAATTATGTCACATGTCATATTTAATTACAGGCAAATGTCATGTCTACATATTATATTTATTTCAATTAAAAAAAACACAATGCCTTTTAATAAAGAAGGCAACGTTATTCAGTTTGGAATCTAGATCGAATATCAAGATTTAAATACCCTGGGCGAGAATCGAACCGGCGACTTACGCTATGATATACGTCATTAGGATATGTCATTTAAATATACACATATTTTTGCTTCATTTTGTCGTCTGAAGAAGAGTATAGTATGAATAATAACCTTAAAGGTATGAAAAATACGTTTTGCTCTTTGATGTGCAAAAACTGAAGATACCGAATTAGCGTCTCAACTTTCAAGTGTCCTCAAAAAGCGCACGATTCGAAATTGAATTGCGCTTTTTTCAAATCTTTTTTGTTCATTGCTTTTCAGATGACAAAATTAAAACGCACGTTGTTTTTTAAATAACTACTTTATGTGGTGTGCGTAAGTTCGAATTTGTGCTTAGACAATTAGAACTTTTGATTTTTGAATTTTATTCTTTGGTTTGACTTAACGTCACATGTCGACGCCATGTTTTAAAGAAACATTTGTTAGGAAATGTGTATCCATGTTTTTATACATCACTTATTATAGTATTCAATTTTTTTTACGAATTTTAATTTCAATCTATAAAAAGAGATCGATGATCTGTTTGCATAAGAACGAAAGAGAGAATAAATTAGTTAAATTGCTTAGTGCGATAAGACAGCACATGAATTGCACGCATGCGCATTTAAAAATCCCTTAATCTTATCTGCAATATAATGAAAAAATTTAGTTTAAAACAAAACTTCTTTGAAGATTAATGATTTATTTACTAAAAAAATCTCTTAGCCACTATTATAAAGCGAAAATTTGTTGGTGTGACTGAAAATTGTGTGTAACATACACATATACATTTCACTACTTTACGTTGAAACATTTGGATTTGGTTTACCAAGTAGACCTAGGAACACACTCGAGGGTAAATCCCTAGTAGTAAATAGGTATCAAAGATCTTTGTATCAAAATTAAACATACAATAATCTTCTTTAGATAACAAAATATAAAGTCCTCTCAGTGCTTATTTGTAAAATCAACCAATTTACCGTCACTTTTTAATACCGAATTATTGACTTAAATATCAATTCCATTTGTATAAAATACACATTTTACTTCACAATATCTCAAAAATATAAATTCTATCTATATATGTATATAAATCTTGGAAATAATGCTTTGTTTTTAATATAGAGGAAAAAACTCTGTACTGTAAAGTACAACAAGTATTGGTAGTTTGAACAAATAAGCACTGAGACGACGACAAGCTAAGCTAAGCTTAAACCCTCACTTAATGTGCTAAAATTTATACTTGAATTTATTTTAAACGACAATTATATGGCAAAAAAACAGATGTCAAAGACGAAATAAAGTAAAATATGTTACAACATAATGAAATCCAAAACAACAATGTCAAAAATGATGAAATATTTTTATTATATCTATATAGTAGCGTAAAGCTGTTATGAAGTTTTGTTAAATTCACATCTGAAGTCAACTTTTTAAATATTAGTTTAATTTTTTAGGCAATTTTCTTTTTGCTGACGTTACTTTTCCACATATATAATCACTTATATGCATGTTTTAGTTTCACTTGTGAGAGTCAGTTCACTTTGGTTTATAGTATTTTACTTTAGCACTTATATTCACTTATACACTATATTTCACGTTGTCCTTACCTAAAAGAATGTGGGTCCATTTCTTCGTGGATATTTCTGGAACAAATTTTGTATTTTTTTTAATCTTGTTATAATTGATATATACATTTACTTAGCACATTATACTAAACAACTCAATAACATCGCAATATAAGCAAATGATAATCAAGAAATAATACTAATAAAAAAAAATACACTCAAAATATATTTTTTATAATTTTTTCGCGCATTTATTTTGAGAAGACTTCGAGACGTCTAAAACCTTAGTCTCTCCCGTGACTATGATTGCTGTAAAGGATTCGAAACGTCGGGTACCAAATAAACGTCGGGTATTAATATAAATTCGCGAAAAATCGGAAAATATAATTTTATTTAAGATGTCAAATAATCGTGTAAATCTAAGTAAGTACTACCTCAAACCTTTAATTTTGTAGGTCAGAATAATATAGATGATGTCATAGCACTAAACATGAAGCCAAACAATGGTTTTAGAATAGTAAACAAATGACAATTTATATACTGAGCAATAAGTAAATAAATGTTAATAAATAAAAATAGCTAACGGATTTTTGTATATTAATTTCACTAAGACATTTATATAAAAAAAGCCTTATTATTTAAAGATAATAAACGATGTGTATGTCAATATCGAGAATAGTAGCATAAACATTATTGACATTATTAAATAAAACTATCTTTTCGGATTATTTCGCGGATTTATTTTGATTTTTGGTACCCGACGTTTCGAATGCTTTACAGCATCCATGGTCACGGGAGAGTCTCTCCCGTGATGCTGTAAAGCATTCGAAAAGATAGTTTTATTTAATAATGTCAAACATACGCGTAAATCTAAGAAAGTATTAAACATTATTGACTTTGACATTTATTTTGGCGGACTTTGCCAAAACTATTTTTATAATCTGAGTTGGTAGTCGTTATTAAGAACTTCTTTATTTGCTCTGAAATTGACATACAGTATGTATTTTTGATATATAAATTAATTGTATTCAGCCCTTTTTAACGTCCCACTGCCGAGCACTGGCCTTACATACGATACGAGGGGGATCAGGCTATAGTCCACCACGCTGGCCAAGTGCGGGCGGACTTTACATATCTTTCGAAAACTTGCTAGTTTCTTTTACATGCAGTCCATCGTCAATCAGGTCATAATCATGTTGGAAATGATTCGCACATGATAATATCAAAGGTGCGAGGCCCGGGATTTGAACTCGCTTTACTCGGTTTCCCAAGCGAGCGCGTTACCACGGGGCTACCACTGCCTATATAAATAATTCATATTTAAAAAAAACTTACACTAGGACTTCCATGAAATTGTTGATCAGATCTTCTTTTATACGCTGGTCGTAATGGCGGGCGCATATTCGGATTTCTTAGTAGTTGCCTTTTGTTATTACTCGGCCACATTTTGATATTATTTCTTGTAGAAAATTTGGCATCACTATCTGCAGAGCTCGAATTTGATACATCATTGAAAAGTTTCAATTTATTAAGATCTATAGTTCTAGTGAATTTCGGCTCGATGGGAATTTTATTCTGTAAAAAAGTTCGTAATAATTTCAATCTTTTAATGTACTAAAATCTAAATTAATTAGTGCATAATATTGTTGTTGTTCCGATAACTAACTTCTCAAGATTTCTTAAATGTTAAACATGTATTTTTTTTTGTATGTAACGTATCTGCTCTTAACTCCGAGATCTCTGGGCGTTCCTTTAAACAGCCCGATGTAAAATATTATATATAAGTATAAAAAATGACCAATTTTGGAGGGCAGAAAGAAGCATATTATAAAAAAATATTAAAACTACCAACATTTGAACCAAAAATGTTAGTAGACTAGAAAAAATGTATTTCATATATTTAAACAAATGTAAAGGTAAATAAAATTAAGAGATTTAGGACAATAGGGATTATGCGTGTGATTTAATATAAATATAAAATATATTTTTTTATAATCTTTATTGCTTTTCAATTAAGCCTATATCAATATAAATATTTTGACGCAATTACTTTTTGATTAAAAAACAATCATTAAAAAGTACAAACACAGGTGGGAAATTCAAGTAGTTGAAACGCCCGCCATTGGTCAGACCGATTATGACGTCAAAGTATTATCATAAGAGAACGATTAGCCATTTTGTCGCTACAAATTGAGTCATTTCTCTATGTATATCATACTGTGACGTCACTCCAAGCGCGCGAAATAGCCGGCGTTTAAAATATCCGTATCGATATGTTATTAAAAAAAATCTACAAAATTTTAGTTTTCTGGAGCCGATATTTGTTTTACAATTATGTAACGATGTTAGCTATTGTATAAAAAAATCGAAAAAAATCACGCATATTCCCTATATCCCTAAAAAAACATTATATTCACTTACCAAACTATCCAAATTGGTGGTATCCGGTGAATATCTGATATCATTATCGGAAAGCCCTGAGTTGTTGGATATCCTCTCTGATTCGTTTAGCGGTGAATTGTAACAATTAGCCACCCTTAGATCCGTAAAATTCTCTACTTTGAATATAAGAAATTCTTCATACAATTCTTTATTAGAAAACGATAACTGACGTTCAAATGAAGACATCATTGAATTAGAAAGAATAGTTACATCTGTGTTTTTAATAAGTTTAAGCAACGCCCGCGCCAAATTTTCGTCGAAAGGCAAAATACACACTCGTTCTAGCACATTACTCGCAACATCACAATCAAAAGTTCTGCCAATGTTATATATAAAATCCGTCAAATTAATAAAAACTGTTTTAAAACGTGAAAAATTCTGAGATTTCGCTATCGTATTAATGAACGCATCGCATAAGAGTACGTTAGATTTAACTTTGTACTTCAGTAAATCTTCGCAAATACTCAAGTCGATATTGTTCAAATATAGTAAAGTTGTTTCTATTACTTCTATCGCTAATAAATTATCCTGATTAGAAATGCTATTCGCTCTCGTGATAAATTCCAATGTCATTTCGACCAAAACTTTTGTTAGTTTGCGACGAACACATTCTTCGATAAAGCACATTCCATATAACCGTCTAAGTGCCGACGAGCTTCTGAGTAATATGAATTCTTCTTGAAACTCTTGGTCGTTTATTTTTTTCAGTCTATTTTTAATTTCCTCATTATCGAAATACTTGTGTGGAAATTTGCAAACTATATTTTTACAACTAGACGCTAGGTTGAAAAAGCAAACGCCTTTGAAAACGAAGCTGTGAACTCCAAGTATCGGTTTCAATGACGATCCCATGATAATGGAATCGTTGTGTATCGAATTGGCTCTTTTTTCTACATCGTTTCTATCCTCATAAGTAGACATTAAAATAGAATCTTTACTTGTTAAAGACTTAGATTTTTCTACTTCACTTCTATTCTCATAAAGACACGTTAAAATAGAATCGCTATGTGTTAAATTTGACTTAGTCTTTTCTCCATCGCCGTTTCTATCTTCGTAAATAACTATATTTTCTTCAGAAGTGCTATCGTTATTTTCACGATACATAGACGTTGAATCTGCATTTGACTTCTCACAGACCGTTACTTCGTTCACGTTTTCAGGATCTTTTAGTAGAGGTCTCTTGATTTTTGTCGGTTTATACGTTATTGTTTCGGGTTTTTTAAATACATCTTTGACTGGTAAAGGAACATATTCTTCTGTATTATGTTCTCGGGGTTTCTGACACCAATTCCTTGGCGATTCCATATCAGTTATACTTTCAGCGTACAAAGATAAAGCGTCGTCTTCATCGTTGTTATATGTGTTGTTATGAACAGACTTATCTTCTAACTGATCTGGTTTCCTTTCTTGGTCGCTTAAATTTTCTTCTGTATCTGTACTTTTATCTGATTTATTTTTAATATAATGGTCTAAATTAACATTAGTTTCATGTTGTCTTTCACAATTTTCTTTTTCACTTTCATCTATATCTGGTCTATGATCTGATAAAATCTTAGTTATACTCTGACAGCGTAATATTACATCTCTTTCTTCGTACAAAAAGTTTTCACTAAATAACTTATCTTGAAATTTTGTTATATCACTGTTTGCATTTTTGTCTGTGTAACCTATCCAGTTAATAATTTCCAAGTCGAAATTCTTTAATTTTGAAGCCAATTTTTCTAAAGTACTTGTTACTTTGCTTGTATTTTGATTGTTTTGGGGTTCCTCCTCTTCATCGGAGCTACTCTCTGATGATGAAGAGCTCATATTTAATGGAAAAGCAGTTTCATGGACACCGTCATCTACTACGTGTTTTTCAGCATTATTTTCTAGATCACTCTTAGCGTTATTTTCAGTGTCTCCTATCACACTAACACATATACTATTATCATCACTTTTCATGTGCCGATCAATATTAGTAAGTTTGATCACCGGAATTTTATTGTCGATACGAAAAAAATCTTTGGATGAAACAGTAACACAAGTTGATGTACTAGAACTAGATATGTCTTTAGTCCATGAAAATTCAGAGCTCACTATAGAACATCTTCTTGTGTTAAGCGAGTCCTTTTCAGTACCAACTTTAGTATCAACTTTCGGTTCTTCTGGAACTACACCTTTTTCTGTAGTTACATCAGCTGCTTTTTTTCGAGTTTTTGGTCCAGGTCCTACTGCAGATTTTCGATTGAGAGGCAGTTTACGTTTAGAAATAGTATTCAGAGTGATTACTTGGCTATTTTCTTTAACTGATTTGTTAGCACCTGTAACTATTAAGGGATACTCGTACAATTAACAATAGATCTAAACCTTGCAAACATCCAATTCTTACTGTTTGAAGATTATTAATTAAAGTAAACCAGGTAAGGTAGCATTACCTAGCAAAATTCTACGGAATAATATCGGATATTAATAAATGTTTTTACTTATTGTTTCAAATACGTTCAGTAGTTTTTAAGCAAATTATACAAAAACTAGCGTTCACTTGGAATTGTCTACAATGTAATACATTAAATCTCTCTCCCTTCTTCCTGCCCATTTCCCAATCACTTGGGGTCGGCGCAGTACATCTTCTGTACTGCTGAAAGGATTTGGCAAAAGTTTTACGACCGGCCGCCTATTTGACGTCAACCCTCTTTGGGAATACATTAAATACTATATCTTTATAAATTAGAGCATATTTGGTACTCTCGTGTACTGTACTGTAAGCTTTCATCAAAATCTGTTCACTAGTTTTCGCGTGAAAGAGTAACAAACATACGTCCATACGTATATATACGTAGCTGGTCCGGATAGATTAGCCAGGATTCAGGACGCACAACGGACTTGGGAGTTAAAGTGCGGAAAATTGAGTCCACCCTACATTTACATTTACGTCCATACGTTCACACAAACATTCGCATTTATAATATTAGTAAGATTATTTAATTATGTACAAATTATTTAGCAAATTTTGATATAAAATCGCAAAATCAATTATAATAATATTCTGATTTATTAAATAGTATACACTAGTGTAGCATATAGCAAATAAAAAAGTATTAAGCAAACTTATAAGTATAACTGGACAAACAATAAGGAATAAATACAATATTTTTAGTAACTTATCAATCAACATATCTAATATTTTACCTGATAAAGTTTTTTTAAGGGTTCTCTTTCCTTTGACAGGGATTGGATTTTTAGATTCTTCCTTGTCAGATTCTTGTGGGATTTCTGAAAGTCATTATCAGATTTTTACCCAGAATTATAATTGTATTTGGGCTACAATCATTAATCATGGTCCCTGCTTTGTATAGGATCATGATCTACACAGATCGCTCAGTACAGATCTCAATATGTACTGAGCGATTAAATAAACACTTTTGCCTATAATCTTTTAGAACATAATATTTCTAACAGAAAAAGATTTTTTTAATTTTTGGACTGGTAGTAGAATTAAAGCAGTCAAACTTAAAACAAATAATATTGTATAATTCATTTTATCATTTTAAATAATCTATTCCATATACATATATAATATATATTATTGTTATGGTAATTAAATCTTTCTAGAATAACTCTCGCTTTGCTACATGTTTGCCCTTAGACAAAAACAAATCTATTCCACGGGAATGCTCTATTCTAGACTTTAATTATCTCTGTGTCAAATTTAATCCAGATCCATTCAGCTGTTCTAGGGTGAAAGAGTATATAACTAATAAACAAACAAACATCCATCCATCCTCACAAAATTTTCACTTTTATAATATTTTTTAGGATATCACTAAATTTAAAGTCCTATATTTAAAACTACATTCCGCCATACATAGTCCTCAAAAATTTGTTCTAGCCTGATCAAAATGCAGAGTGAGATTATTAAAGGTAAAATTTTTCCATGATTGTTACTTACTGGTTTTATTTCAATACTGTATTTTATTATTAACGTCCACATCAAAGTGTGCTTTGATTGCTTATTTACAAGATCAAAGCAGACTTTGATCGTGTCAACGCTGCTTTAAGTCGCTTTAATCAAAATGGACTTGGACTTTTCTCAAAGCCTGCTTTGACATAGTAGTTTTGATTACTACTTGATCGTGTAAACGTGCAATCAATGCGCACTTTGACGTCGGCGTTCAATCAAAGTGGACTTGGAGTCGTGTTTTTCAAAGTGAACTTCGTTTCAAAACTTTTTATCAAAGCTACTTTGTCAAAGCAGACATTGAGCGAGTCAACAGCTATCCAAGTAAACTTTGATCAAAGCCACTTTGTCAAAGTTACTTTGTCAAAGCAGTCTTTGAGCGTGTCAACGCGGCTTTAGCTTAATTTTAGAGTCAGAAAATAACATTTGGAATGTCAAGCAATGTTTTAATATTTTTTTTAGTAAAGTTAAGGCTCCTGTATGTAATTATCATAATTTATATGTTATACATAGTTTGTTTGGAAAGTTATTAACTTAAAGCTGCATTAACATGATCAGTCTACTTTGACAAAGTAGTTAATTATTAATTAAAATCATATATTTCGTATGGATACATCTAAATTAGTGCAATCATATACAAAGCAGGGGTTTAGTAATTTTAAAACTAAATTGAAAGACATTCGCAAGTTGCCGCAAGCAGTATCTTGTTCATGAATAAAGTTAAGATTATTCTGTATATGGAATTTATTTATCTTTATATATATAATTCTTCTGTGAGTGTGTATGTCACTGAACTTCTCTCAAACAACTGGACCGATTTTGATGAAATTTTTTGTGTGTGTTCAAGGGGATCTGGGAATGGTTTAGATTCACAATTTGAATAATAATTTTCATCAAAAAAATTATTAAAAAAAGTTTGAAATTTTCAAATTAAAGACGTGTAGACAGGACAATGTCTGTCGGGTCCGCTAGTTATATATAAATCTTATGAAGAGGAGGGATAAAACTCATGTGACGAGGAGAGTGCTGGAAATGAGGATAGATGGAGAGGAAGACGAAGATAGAAGATATGGATAGATTGTATGAGACAGGACATGAAACAGAAAGAGTTGAAAGATGAGGTGACAAGTATTAGGGGAGAGTGGAAGTGGAAGATTTACAGCAACAACCCCAAGTAGGTTGGGAAATGGGCAAAGGTGATGATTGTATATGGAATTTAAGTAAAATACTAAAATGCTAACTACTCATCTTTTTACAAGGCAATTATTTTTAATAAGAAACATATCAAGATTCACAATGCATGTTAAAATTAACGTCACATCACAGATTTTACAGACTTCATAGCTCTCAAAGAAAAATACTTGTGTGTTTATAGACAATAACAAATTTATCCCTCGGGAACCATACATTTTTCTGAGATAAAAGTAGACTATGTGCTATTCGAGAGTATAATCTATATTTGTACCATATTTCATTCAGATCCATTCAGCCATTCTGGAGTGAAAGAGTGACAAGCATCCATCCATTCATTCTCACAAACTTTGACATTTATGAGTAGGATGTATAAATAAATTTAAAAAGCAAACCTTCAGTTTTTGCCAGGAGTGGATCTGGACTCCCATTGCATTGTACACTTTCAATAATAATTGTATTTTTCTTAGCCACAGCTCTTCTTTTATTCTTTCCTTGTAAAGATTCTCCTAAAATTTCATTGGACACCTTATCTTTTCTTAACAATCTCTTTCTATTTAATACAGGTTTTTTCTTCGCTACAGTTTTGTTAATTTTAACCTTTTTTGTATTTGTTGTTTCAGTTGGCTCCTCTACAAGCAATCTTTTCTTTGGAAATTGTCGTCTAACAACTGTCAATTTTACATTCATAAATTATAATAATCATAGATTACTTAAAAAATGACTTATAAAAATAAAAGAAATAAAATATGCTCAAGAAAAAAACTTGAATGTCTTTCATAATAATCAAAAGAACAATTGTATGATTTATTTCAAAATAAAATTTATTTTTAATTATATGCGACCATGGCTTGTTATTTATCAAAATGTTAACTAGCTCTGATAAATAACCATAATAAATAAGCTTATTTACACTACCTTCATTGGCTAGCATAATTTTGATATCATTCTTGCCAAGCATTGGCATTACATCTCTAGCCGGGATTTTGACACTATCTATCAATGAAAAATTAAAGGATTTGTTACATAGAATAACAGTAAGTATATTAGGTTTAAATATAAAAAAAGTACTTACCTGGAACATTTTGCAATGGAATTGTAACTTTAAGTTTTGGGTTATTTTTATCATCGAGGCTTCTTTTTTTGGTACGGCTTCGCAAAGTTTTTGGTTCACCAGATATTCTTGGTACTTTTTTAGGCGGCATTTTTGCAAATTGTTGTTTACTCAGATTAATAACTACTACATCTCAAGTCATTTTTAATTGTGTAGAGTCCTCGAATAATGAAAATCTCTATATTATAAACATATTCTCTTTAACTATAATAACTGTTACCTAATATAGTACAATTAATTCAACTTTGCTTAATCAGCAAGATAAAGTAACATGAGAAAATAAAAATAGTCGTTCAACGAAATTTATTTGTGACATTTATAAAGTGTCGCCAACTGTAAAACTACTTTCACAAAAAAACGTGCTATTAAAATTTATTACCTATGCATCACAAACTACATAATAGAGAAATGCTACGCATTTATGCATCTAGTACAGACACAAAAATTTTTATTTGTCATACAAATTTTAATGAATATATGAAAATTTAATAATTTTTTTAGTATTTAAGTTCGGAAAAATCTATCTTTAATTTGTTCAGTAGGCATTACTCATTACTGAATTTTAATATTTAAATAAAATTATAGTATAAAAATACATTAAAATAAACGGTATTCATTTTCGAATAAAAACTTTTCTATGTCAGTTTATAGGTACAGGCAACTTTTATTTGTGCATTTGTAAAATGTAAATTGAGAAGGTCACTGAGGTTACTAATGTCAAAGCAAGGGTAAGAATTAAGAAATAAAAAAAAATTATCTCGTTAGTTGACACTTGTGTTATTTTACCGGTAAATTTATACAAAAATACGCTTCTAAGATGCCTGCAAAGTACAAAATTGTTATGATTCGCCATGGGGAGAGTGAATGGAACCAAAAAAATCTTTTTTGTGGCTGGTACGATGCTGACCTCAGTGACAAGGGTAAAGTGGTTTAATATTATTTGTGCTGTTATATAAAACGATTTATCTTTTATGTTTTTGGTGATTGTATATCGTTAGCAAAATAAAATTCTGTAAGAATGAAAATTTAAACTTTAAGTAAGTTATTTACTAAAAAGAACTAGATTTATTTTTCTTGAATCTATCTTGAGTTTTATAATTAAATCCTACAATTTATTCATTTAGGTCGCGAAGAAGCCGTCTCTGCCGGTAAGGCTTTAAAAGCCGAAGGTTACCAATTTGATGTTGCCCATACGTCAGTTCTAAAACGCGCACAAATAACTTTGAATAGTGTACTTCAGGAATTAGGTCAGACCGACATCCCAATTAATAAAACCTGGCGCCTGAATGAAAGGCACTATGGTGGACTTACCGGCCTCAACAAAGCTGAAACAGCAGCTAAATATGGTGAAGCACAGGTACATATTATTACCTACCTACATATAATTATTTTATATATACCTACTATTACAAGTAGGTAGTAATTTATTACATCATATTATCATATGGTAAACAAACATTATTTTGAACCTAATTTAAAAAAAACTTGTTTAGTAATGTCTTAGTTTATAAAACCGACAACTTAATTTTTTTTTTGATCTAATCAACTTTTTTTATCTAAAATAGTATATTATTATATGTATAAATAATATATTATTAATAAATTTTGATAAAATTATTCTATTTCAATGGATTATTTATATTTCATCATAAAACACATTCGTTTTTAATGATACTTATTTTCTGAAGCTATATATTTTATTAATATTATTAAATGCCATATAATAAAATTAAATTTTATTAATATTATAAGATGACTCAGAAAAAGTCTGGCATTTTCTTAAGTCTCTAGGAGTAGGTAAATCTAGAGTAAATATTAATCCTAAAAACTTAGATTTAAATTTGCTAAATCAATATTTCTCTTCTTCTAGTATTATAAATAGTACAAATAAATCGAATACACTTAATCTCCTTTCAAATCTACCTACTCCTGACTTTCCCTGTTTCAGTTTTAGTCAAATCTCCGAAAGTGATGTTAAGAGAAATATTATGGCAATCAAATCTAACGCCGTTGGGGCGGATTGTATAAGTCGCAATATGATTCTTCCTATTATTAACTTTATTGTACCTATAATAACATCTATCCTTAATGCCTCCTTAAATCTCCACAAGTTTCCTTCGTCCTGGAAAGATGGCCAAATTATTCCACTCCCAAAAAAACCTAATCCTTATTCCTTTTCTGACTACCGACCAATTTCAATTCTTCCTTTCCTATCCAAGGTCCTCGAACGCCTCGTGCATCGTCAACTAAGTATTTTTCTACATCAAAATAGTCTATTAAATTCTTTTCAATCTGGTTTTCGTCCTAGTCATAGCACGGTTACTGCGCTAACTAAAATAACAGATGACGTTAGAGAAAGCATGGACAATAAAAAGGTTACGGTATTGACACTATTAGATTTTACAAACGCTTTTAATACAGTAGATTTCGACATTTTACTTGCCATTCTAGCTTCTCTTAACATATCTCCTGAGGTGGTTGACTGGTTTCGTTCTTACTTGTGTGATCGCCGGCAGCGTATACGAATTGAAGATTCGTGCTCTGAATGGTCTATAATTAATGCTGGTGTTCCACAAGGTGGTGTCTTGTCTCCTCTCCTTTTTTCAATTTTTATTAATTCTATCTCTCAACAAATTTCTTCTCCCTACCACCTGTATGCTGACGATTTGCAAATTTATGCCATGACTACTGTGGAGAACTTGCCTATTACCATTAATAATATAAATAAAGATTTGTCACTCATATCATCATGGGGTAATTCATATGGACTCAATCTAAATCCAGATAAATCTCAAGCAATTATTTTAGGCAGCCAGAGACTATTATGCAAAGTTAAAAATATGCACATACCACCCATACTTCTTAATGGTGTCCAAATTATGTTTACTGATAAAGTGAAAAACCTGGGTATTTTAATTGACCAGTGTTTATCGTGGGGACCGCAGATAAGTGAGATGAGCAGGAAGATGTTTGGAGCGATTGCTTCTCTTCGTAGATTAAAAAATTTTCTGCCCATACCTACCAAAATTGCGCTAGCAAATTCTCTTCTACTACCGATTCTTGATTATGCTGACGTTTGTTATCTTGATATCAAAGAAGAATATTTAAATAAACTTGAGCGACTTCAAAATCTTTGTATACGGTTTATTTTCGGCCTTCGGAAATATGACCACGTTTCAGAATTTCGTAAAAAACTCAAGTGGCTTCCTATCCGTTTCCGCAGGAATACTCACATTCTCCATCTTCTTTACTGTGTGCTATTTCACCCTTCAACTCCTTTTTATTTAAAAGAGCGTTTTGAATTTTTAAGTAACTGTCATAGCCGTTCTCTTCGCTCGGAGCACAACCTAGTTCTCAAAATTCCTCCACATTCTTCATGTTTCTACTCTAACTCTTTTACTGTAAAAGCTGCCCGGCTCTGGAACACACTTCCTTTAAAAGTTAAAAGTGCCAAAAGCCTTGATAAATTTAAGCTGTTATTAAAAGAATATTACCTGTCCCTTTAGTGCTTTTTTTTATATTTAATTGTATCTATAACTATATATATTTGTAGGTACGTATGTATATAAATTAGTATGTATGTGTATTGTACGTTTATATATTTGTATGTATGTATATATGTATGTATGTACGTTTGTATGTGTATGTGTATTATGTTTATCTATTTATATTGTATGTATAATTATATCGTATAGCAAGTACACCGCCTACCATTTCTCTCACACTCTCCTTTACCTGGTAGTTGGTTGCCTGGAAGAGATCGCTTTAAGCGATAAGGCCGCCTGCTGTGCATCTTTGTTAATTTTTAATAACTGTCTGTACGTATTTTTCTCTTTGGTGTACAATAAAGAGTATTATTATTAAATGCCAATAACTTTGTTAATATTTTTTTAAATGACAGATTTCCTTTGTTTTGTGAAAGGTGCCTAAGCTAATCTATAGATTTGCATTGCATCATTATTAAATTGATTATCAATGAGCAATGTTATTAAATTTAACTATAAGCAGTCAAATAAACTTTTATTTAAATACAGCTGTACCTAATTGATGCAGATAGGCAATGACTTCAAATCTTCTTTCTTTGCTTCATCTATACATACAATAAAATTGTAACTAAGCCGAATCTGTACATTAAATTTTTTTTGGAAAATCCTATTGAAAGAAACATTATTATTTATACAGAGGGCGATTCCATAGTTTTTAGTATTTTTGTATGTTTGTCTGTTACCATATCACAGAAAAACCACTGGAGGGTTTTTGAGGAAATTTGGTATGATGATAGCTGGTTATCCGGGTCAACATATAGGATCCTTTTTACCATGGGAAAATATTTCATTTCTGAGAAAAAATGCAAAAACTGCTATGTAAGAGTATACTAACTGTAAAACCTAAATATTTGGTTTTTGATCATCTGAACGCGAGCAGAGCCGCAGGCAATGCTAGTTCTTAAATAAAAATTACCAGTAAAAATTTGAGTATCCACCAATTTTGCTAATCACTCTTAGTTTCTTTTAGAAATACATAAAATGCTATGATAGTTTTTTTAACATAATGTATTATCAAAATTGCTCAGTTTACCATCAAGAATGTTTACCATAAATTATTTCCTTTTAAAACAGGTGCAAATTTGGCGTCGTAGTTTTGACATTCCTCCGCCCGCAATGGAGAAAGATCATCCATATTATGACAACATTGTCAATGATCCACGCTATGCTGGCGACCCAAAGCCTGAGGAATTTCCCATGTTTGAGAGCTTAAAACTGACTATTGAGAGGACTCTGCCTTATTGGAATAATGTTATTGTTCCTCAGGTATGTTTCTATTTAGTAATTATATTATTAAAAAAAAGCAGGCCAAGTGCGTATCGGGCCACGCGCAATGTAGGATCCGTAGTTGTCCATCACAATAATGCGGACTAAGAAGAGGGCTTTCTGTTGTTTCATACTATGAACATTAACATTAACGGTTTCTTTTTCTGGTACTGGTTATATTTACCAATCATTCTTTTATTGGGGTTCTCTACCTCAAAAGGTAAAAAAGGAATCCTTATAAGATCACTCTCTTGTCCATATGTCAGTTTGTCTGTCTCTGTGAGTAACCACCGATTTGCTCCGGAATGGGTAGACCTAGCTAGTTGAAATTTACACCAGATATTGAGGTCTATAGTTTATATTAGGTGTATACAAATTAAGGTCCTGAGTCAATACAATAAACAGATATGGGCCCTATAGGTTTTGGGTCGAAAACCTATATGGTTGTTCCCGTTGACCTAGAATAACAAAATTTGGCAAAAAGTTAGGTCTTACAGCATAAATAAAGGAAAAATTGCATAATATAAAAACAGTTGAAAATTAAAGTTAAACAGATTTCCTAAAATTTGTATGGAACCCTCGGTGGGCAAGTTCGACTCGCACTCATCCGTAATTTCATCATATATTTAAATACACTACATACTTTATTTTTAGATTAAGGAGGGAAAGAAAATTATCATTGCTGCTCACGGCAACAGTCTTAGAGGCATTGTTAAGCATTTAGATGGTAAATATCAATAATTTGTAATTTAATATTGTTACTCTAAGTTTGATTGGTTTACAAATGCATAAAAGACAAACATGCAAAGAAAATATTAAAATAGGCAGTCATTGAGACTGCCGACAGAAGTGGAAACTTATAACTTTGGAATAACTATTTTTTTTTTAAATTAAAACACAACAAAAACAAAAATATCCCACGGGAACCGTACATTTTTCCGAGATAAAAAGTAGCTTATGTGTTATTCCAGACTATAATCTATCTCTGTGCCAAATTTCATCCAGATCTGTTCAGCCGCCCTGGTGTGAAAGAGTAACAAATATCCAAACTCACAAACTTTCACATTTATAATATTAATATGGATAGTATAAATAATGAAAATGTCATAATTTGTAAATTGAAGTTATTATTAATATGGTTTTCACATCCATTGCCACTCCGAGCAATAATTATTTATTCTGATATAGTTTATTGATCAAATCATATGACTGCGCGTCGCCAGTCTGCGCCAGACTTCGTTGACACGTCACATGTCACACATAACGTGTCGGTGACGCGAACCCTTAAGTTTTAACGTTAAAAGCATGTTATAAGACATTAACAACAAAACTGTTCACCATTAAAATTGATATTTTTTGACAACCCTTACATTTGACAGCATTTTCTGCTGTAAATTAATAGTATAAAGAAATATTTTATTTTCCAGAACTTTCCGATGCTGCCATTATGGAATTGAACCTACCTACTGGCATTCCATTTGTCTATGAATTGGATGAAAACATGAAACCAGTGGACTCAATGGTCTTCCTCGGTGATGAGGAAACTGTGAAAAAAGCTATGGCTGCTGTTGCAGCTCAAGGAAAAGCGAAGTGAAATAGATATTAAATTAAGAAAAAAACAATAAATAAAGCACTATAATTTTTTAGACAATAAAATGGTATAGATGTTTTTGACATTTAGTTGATCGAAATATATGTAAAAATGTATGAATAGGGAATATGCCTGTGATTTAAATAAAAGTGAAATATTTTTTTTATAATGTTTATTGTTTTTGAATTAATAAGCCTTTATCAACATTTTTTAATGTAATTTTTGATTAAGAAAATAATTATTAAAAAGTGCAAATATAAATGGGAAATTCAAAGTAGTTGATACGAACGCCATTGGTCAGACCGAATATAACGTCAAAGTATTATCATAACAGAACGATTAGCGATTTTGTCGCTACAAATTGCGTCGTCATTTTTCTGCTTAAGATATACTGTGACGTCACGCTAAGCGCGCGAAATGGCGGGCTATTAAAGTATCCGTATCGGTATGATATTTAAAATTTTTTAATACTACATTTTAGTTTTTGGAGCTGGATATTTTTTTTTACAATTATATAACGATGTTAGTTATTGTATAAACAATTAGAAAAATCATGCATATTCCCTATTGTCTATAGTGCTTTAATAATAATAATTTAATAAGTTTAATAAAACTACTATTTATTTAGTAAAAAGTATGAAAAATACTGTTTTGAAACTGTGGACATGTTTGAAGTGAAAACCTCTATGTTTAATATTTCCTTTTTGATCATCTCATGTTATTTTTAAATTTAGAATATTATTTATTCAAATAGTGAAAAAGCTTATAAAATATACTATATAGCTATGTGTTTTGTTATTGTTTATCACTACGTTTCACAGTGGCATTAAAATAATTTTAACTTTATTCAATTATACTATTATACATAATATTATATATATATATAAATAAAATTGAAATGCCAGTCTATGATTTCAAAATAACTGTATACTCAAGTATAGTTCCTGTCACAGATTTATAGAAAGTTCCTATGTAACAAGTATTATTTAAATATCAGAGAAGTAAATAAAAAAAAAATCTAAGAAGTTTATGGCTCGTTCAAGTCTATTGTTATTGATTTTTTACAATGGAACAAAATGATCATAATGTAATATATTTTTTTGTTATGAATATTGAAAGTTTTGGAAAGATCGTATATTTTGCGTACGATTTCGAATACATGATCGTAAATCGTATCAACTGCACAAAATTCGAATGAATATTATTTCTAGGACCACTGGCCCTAGGACTCTTTAAAGTCAGTAATGCCAACTAAGCGCTTTCGGCGCTAGATCTAACGCTTTTTTGGCTTGGAACAATAAAATGTAGCGCTTAGCGCCCAATCTAGCGCTTTTTAAATAATATTTCTCTTCTTTGAAATAACATGTAACGTAACGTAATTGTACAAAATAAATAAAACAACAAGCATCCAGAACCTCATAAATTAAAAAAACACACTATTCTCCGTGTTTTTAAAGATTAGAAACGATTACTAACTTTATTTGCTGCCCAAAAACACAGCCAAAGAATATACAGGGACCGCAAACACAATTTTATGTGTTCATTTTTTTTCAAAAGGTTTTGTACCTCTGGTACATAATGCTTAGGCGGGATTTACCATGTTAATTTCTTATTACATTAAATACTAGGGACTCACCCTCACTTCGCTCGGGTTCGTCCCTAGCTTGATTCCCATACAAACTTTCATTCCGATTTTCATCCCCTTGAGGAATGATTTCCGGGATAAAAAGTATCCTATGTCCTTCTCAGGGTCTCAAACTATCTTCTTATCAAATTTCATCTAAATCGGTCCAGTAGATCCAGAGATTACCCCCTACAACGTCACAAACTCACAATCTCACAAACTTTACCTCTTTATAATATTAGTATAGATTAAAAAACTACAAAATGTAAGTCATGGTCAAAACTATGTAGGTACCACCAAATTGTACAAGAAGATCAAGTTTCTTTTATGAAGAATATTAGCTATTAAATTGGTAGATATTTTTTGTTCTTTTATGTAACAATTTATTGAAAATAATTATAATCACCAATTTCTTTATTGTTTTTATAATTTAGCGCATTTTTTTAAAAAAATGTCCAAATCTAGCGCTTTATTGAAGTCAATTTAGCGCGTTTTCTTTAAAGAATAAAGAGTGTTGACAAGTGGCAACACTGTCTAAAGTATCTCTACAGCAATACCTTACAGAGAGCCGCAAGCTACAGAGCTTTTTCGACTTTACTAGCGAGCTAAAACAAAAACAAACCTATCCCACATGAATCGCCTGAATAGCCTATGTGTTATTCAGACTATAATCTATCTCTGTGCCAAACATCCAGATCCGTTCAGCCGTTCTAACGTGAAAGAGTAACAAACATCCATACAAACTTTCACATTTATAATATTTATACAGATGTATTTATTTTGCATTGTATAGCTCGAATAATTATTATCTATTTAAGTACACAAAATACAAGATTAAACAATACTTTTCAAAATATACCCAAATAAGATTACAATACAAAGGTCAGCGTATAAACACAATATCTTTAACTTTAAATTTCTTATCAATTCTCATCGTTTTAGTTCGCTTTTTATGCATCTTTTATCATAGTATATCTATTTTGTAAATTAATTTTATGATATGTAACTTAGATTAGAAAGAGGTCTGTTAAAATAATTGATGAATTAATATAAACATAACATTCCAAAATTTTATATATGTTATTACTTTTAACGAAAAAGATCTCGATTTAATTTAATTTACTGTCAGTAACTGAAAATCAAGTGTTACACTACCAAGCACTCTATTTCCATATGTTACATTGTAGTAAACGCGTCCTTCATTGATAAAGAACTTCTTTGGCACATAACTCGAATTAACTAGGAGATTTTCAAATCTATAATATCCCTGAAACATAAATATACATATTACACCGTTTTTTAATATGCCTTCGTTTTCTGAAATAAGAACTAATTATTTTAACTCTTGGCCTTTCTGCCTGTAAATGGTACTTTATTGAAGTGAAACTTCTTTAGAATCGACTAAATTTGACACAAGAAAGAGACAAACACATTACTTTGTACGATATACATTACACAGGCAGTAAAAATAGTACTGAATAATATGTTATGTAATCTATACATATAATAAAATTGTAACTAAGCCGAATCTGTACATTAATATTTTTTGGAAAATCCTATTGAAATAAACATTATTATCAATACAGAGGACATCAGAGAAAAACCATTGGAGGGATTTTGATGAAATGGTATGGTGATAGCTGGTTATCCGTGTCAACATATAGGATACTTTTTACCACGGGAAAATATCTCATTTCTGAGAAAAAATACAAAAACTGCAATGTAAGAGTATACTAATATGTAAAACCTAAGAATTTAGTTTTTGGTCATCTGAACGCAGCCGCGGGCAATGCTAGTAAGTTAAATAAAATGTAAAATGACTTTTAAACTTGGTAAATATAAAACTGAACCTTACTATTATCCTACTCCTGATACTTTATATATGTTCATCTCATTCTGTCTTAGGTTAGTTTTCTGAAGTTTCACTTCTACCGTGTGGGAATTCTACACACACGCACTTTTTTTTGTTATGTTGGATAGTTAAGCGGTTTTGTGGTATTGGAAATAATGTGGTTATTTACAAAAAAATATAAGTTTAGTCAGTTGTAGATAAAATTGAGGATTTCTTCATAGATAAACACAACGACTACTTGACCACACTTGGGACTCGAACCCAGAACCTCAGAATCTGCAGCCATACATTCTAGCCACTACCAACGAGATAGTCATCAGTAATTAGATTCTCATTAAACATGTACTTATTAAGACTAAACGAAGTGTAGAAATACTTCCCTGTTTTTTGACTCCGAAGTGGTAATATAGGTATCAAATATTTTACATAAACAAATATTTAGTTGCTTACAGGTCCTAATGGGCATAATAACTTCGGATAAGGGCGTTCTAATAGTGGTAATCGATAATACGCTGGTGTCAATATACTTCCAAACATGTTATTTCCAGTAATGAAGTCACAAGTGCCATAATGTAATTCCAAAAACGTGCGTTTATACGTGTTGAGCAGGAGTTGGTAAATATAGAAACTGTGCTTAAAAAATAAACATAATATGAAATTTTATTACAATTTGATAAATAGATATTTAAATAGACGGGTTTCACCCAATTGGGAATGACATTTGTGATATGCAAAATAATTAAAAAAAAAAACAAGAGTGTCCGCTGTTTTTGCCTTTAAAAATGTAGCTTTAGCTGCTATTTGTTTGGGAGCTACAGCCTACACCTGTAAAAAATTCGTGCTTATGTTGGCGCTACATTTAGGTGGTGACAGCCATCCAACAGATTACATGAAGGATTAATTCGTGCACCGATGGAGAAAGTTCTTAAATGGTAATATACTACCGCCTTTTGTGTGGCCACTGAACTATGAGAAATCAATTTTTAATTTTTAATGATCTGAATACTAAGTTACAATGATCTGCCAGTGTCTATGTTATGAGGACACGAGCTATACTAATAATGTAATTTTTATTGTCATTGTTTTATTATTGACTAGCGACTCACCGTCGCTTCGCTCAGGTTCTTCCTTAGGTACGTTTTGACGCTTAGTATGGAATAGATTTCATTTTTTTTCGTGAAATTTTCTAATGTTTTTATAGTCATTCCGCTATTCGGGGTGAAGACAAATCCCATAAAACAAAGATCATAAAAATGGGTCCAGTCGTTCTCGAGTTAAAAGTGTTGTAACAATGTAAAATTAATAAATTATTTTTATGTTATGTAGGTACTGTTTTCATCTCTGACATCATATTATTATGCCTTCCAATACTTATTCTACAATTTCTTTATGAGCTTTTATTGAGTAAATTAAACAGTTTTAATACATATTATTTTTTTTAAACACACTATGGAATATCCGAAGTAAGGTCCTCCATCCTTTAAGCCATCATATAATATTTAAAGAAATATATCACAGAGATGT